CCCCAGGGTCATATGAATATGGAAGCATCGTCAAATAGTTTAGATTAAATTTTTTTTTCAAATCATGACACCTAGGGGTAGGTAGGGGCTACAACAGGGAATAAAAATTTTACATAGGAATATAAAGGGGAGGAAATCTGCTGATGAAGAAAGACAGTCACAGTGACTCAGGTGAACATTGTAGCCCATGGGCCTATTTTTCTTTGTTGAAGTCCATTTGAAACCTAAAACCTTTAGCTCCCTATGAAGACACCTTGTAAAGGCACTAGAATACACAAAAGAAACCATTGCCCTGTTCACATGGAGAGTTTAATTCGAATTAAACATAAGGTACTGCGAATTAAATTTGATCCGCGTTCACACGGAGAATTTGATGCGAATTAGTTTAATTCGAATTAGTTCACTGCGCATTAAATTACTTCACATTAGCTCTGTGTGAACGCTAAGCGAAGCTAATTCAAATTAAATTTTGACGCATGCGTAAGGGCAGAATTAAGTCACAGGCCACATGTCGATGGTCAAATATAGGTACTTGTGCCAATTTTGAGTGGAAAACAAAGGAAAATTATGTTAATCACTAAAATGTGTACAGACACTATATGACATTATGTCAAATGTATATCTGTTGTGCACAATATGACGTGATTTGTAAATGACGTCATAATAGCCTCACTGAATAGCCTTGTTGTAGATATAAAATTATAATTCGCATTAGTTTACTTAGCATTAGCTGTCGTGTGAACGCAATTTAATTCGCATTAGTTTAATTCGCGTCATTTTACTTCGCATTAATTTACTGCGAATTGAACTCTCCGTGTGAACAGGGCATATATATACACATTAAATGTATTAACTCTTTTACATTTACTGTGGTACTGCTCTTTGCAGAGCAAATTAAAAAGATTGGTGAAATTTGACATAACAGCAATTGATTAATAAACGTCATTTGATTATGAACCAACAAGAAATTCACCAAACGTTATTAATTTGCCCTACAAAAGTAAACAGTACTGCAGTTATCCTGAATTAATTAGGAACACTAGTGTATTGTTTTTGCTCACCATTAAAACAATTACCCAATGAAATTGTTGTAAAAATATAAAATATGAAAATTGACATTTAAATGTTTCCCCTTAAAATATTTATTTCATGATTTGCATTATTTAACTTTTGACTGTCAAAATGGCTCTTCTATCTGTTAGCTGTACCAGTTCTTAAAGGCACTAAATTTATCTGTGGTAATGCTATATTTGCCATCATTGCATGGAATTGTGGTAGCAAAAGAATTCTGGGAAAGCTGCACACAAAAATTTGCTTCATGAATATTCAGACTTAATTTTGAATTTCCTCAGTTCTGACAGGTTAGTCTATAGAGCTCACTGTTTTAAACAAACACGCAGTGTTCGTCAGGATGGCCAGATACTGTTTAACAACCAGCGACATCCAAAAAAAAAAATTCATTGCTTAAAATGGAAAGAACTTAGAGATAAGGTAGATTAAATTAAAAATTTAGATAGATTTTGTTTTATCACAAGGCCCCTGGGCTTAAACAGTCACCTGAGTGTCTTAAGACATGTCTGGAGCAATATTACTTTCATTTTTCTTTTTCTTCATTAGTCTAAGACCTAAGAACCTTTATGTATCTTCATTTGCTCAAAATAGAAATGTGAACAAATTTGAGTACACTGCGCAAGGAAATTATCATTAAAATTTATAATAATTTGTAACCCTTTTCTTCTTGGAAAGATTTTTTTAAAAATTCCTTTATGAAGTAAAATGTAACATAGAAACACCCCCCCCCCCTTACCACCACATATTTAATTCTTTTTTGCATTAAAATTACTACATATGAATTTGATCATTTGTAGCAATGCACAGTTGAAGTCATTTTTGTACCCTGCTCCAAAGTAGACAGGGGTATACTGTTTTACCCTTGTGTGTCTGTCTTCTCTGTGTGTCTGTCCATAACAAAGTTTCATCGCAGTTTTCTTGGCAACTACTCATTGCAGATGTTTGAAATTTTAGCAGTCTTTGTTTAGGCATGCCATATGGTTTGATTCATTTATGTACAAATCTGATGTCAACTTCCTGTTTTTCTGTGCATCTGTTCGTACCAAAATTTTGTCACAGTTTTCTCAGCAACTACTCATCACAGATGCTTGAAATTTTAGCACACTCTTTGTTTAGGCATGCCATAGGGTGGGATTAATTTTTGTAAGAATCCGATTTTTACTTCCTGTTTATCTGTGTGTCTGTCCCTACCAAATTTCCATCGCAGTTTTCTCACCAACTACTTATCGCAGATGCTTGAAATTTTAGCACACTCTTTGTTTTGGCATGCCACATGTTGGGATTCATGAGAGCGAGGGTATTACTAGTGAGCATTGGCTCACAGACTTCTTGTTAAAGATTTTTTTCCATTGTTAAACTTGAGTGTTCAAAGAAAAACATGTTGCCTGCAACTGCAATAGCAACATTCAAGATATAAATAAAGCTAAGTTGTGTGCAGATTTTTATTCATTACAATTCACGCAATCGCCTGAAAAGAGAAAAAACAACATCCATAGAAAGGAAGACTCTGTGAACATTATTTTGTATAAAAATATAAGCAGAAGTATTCATTATAATTAGACACACTGAAAGTGTCAGAACATCTTCTGCTATAGAATTTTAGGTTGAAGACAAAGATACTTAATGCATGGAATTCGTTAACATTTTTAGTTAAAGGGGGGTATCAAAATTATTATTTTATGGCTTCCACATTCTTTTCTTTTTGCAAATGATGTTGAATAAATGAAGTAAGTCTTTAAAGGAGTAATAAATTCTTCACTGGACAGTAATGAATGCAGTATGAAAAATGTGGACAAATGTCACACATTGGTATTCACCTTGCAAATGTACTAGGGCAGTCAAATAAAATAATGATTGTCATTAGTTCTTGCCGTAATTACACTAAGCTACTTAAAGAAAACCTTTATAATTATGGGTGAAACGATATGCCTTCTTCACAGTTCGATACGTATCGTAAAATTTGGTCTCGGTTCGGTTATTTTCGATACGATACATTTTGATAGAAGGAAACAAATTCAACTGTTGTTTTACATGTTTTATGCTTCCTTTTACTTGATCTAGTCAAATAATTTATGTGCAAAAATGGATAGAAGAAATCAATTTAATTGATTTGACTGTTAAAAATTATTTTACAAACTGTAAGTCCACAAAAATTTACGTTTTTTAACTAATTATACTGAGAAGCATGTTTATACATTATGCCAAACCCGACTGAATGACGATCCCGACCGAAAAACGAACCGAACCGAAAATAGAGATTTTGTACTGTGTATCGAACCGAGAAAAAATACCGCGGTGAATCGATACCGCGGTGAACCGTTTCACTCCTATTTATAATGTCTTAGGCATCTCATCTCTTGGCTGTTTTGTGGTCAAAGTTTTAACAGATTTGATTAAAGTTTTATATGTTAGGAATCAAAAAAAAAAAAAGAAAAGAAAAGAAAGAAAGAAAAAGAAAGAGAGAGTATTGACCAGAGTTTATGTGTTAACTACTTTAATTTATGATTTAATTAAGTGTTAGGGGAACACAAAGTTAAAAATTGTTTTTAATTAATATTTCATATATGTATATATATATATATATATATATATATATATATATATATATATATATATATATATATATATATATATATATATATATATATTCAAAATGCAGTGTTCTTAGGTAAAAATGTAGAAGTTATGAATATGAATGGGGTGGTGATGGGCTATCATTTCACTTCTGTTTTAGCTATAGCCATGAGAATATATTTTTTAAACCATATGTAGATCTTAAAGTTAAGATCTTGAAAGCAACTCCCCTGTTTCGGTCATTGTACACAAGTAAAATAGGGATTTACTTGTGAACGTTTCCTCGGAAGTTATACTTTTTTTGGTGATACTGTATTTCTGGCCTCAGACTCCAAGTTAAGTGTTGAAATGTCAGATGAACTTGATGACCGAAAAACAGTAGTCATTAGTTTGTATTACTGTTGAAGAAGGCAGATTTTAACACTGTTATCTGTCAGGTTTACTTGCCCAGTTTAAAATAATTATTCATCAGATAAGCTTCTATTGACCTTTTCTTGAATGGGAGTTGTGGAGAGAAGAAATTGTGTTATGTACTTTGTACACATATAGATCATTTGAAAGACCTTAATACACAAATGTAGTAAATAATTAGCAGAGAAGTGTTGTAATAAGAAAAAAAGTTAATGACAAATTAAAATTCAAATATTTTTGATAGTAAATAAAATTAGGTAAGAGTTAGATGTGCATCAAGTAGACAGCCTGTCTCTTCTGAAGCATAGAATTTTGAAAATGTGTGGGCCGAATGAATGCCTTTTGCTCATGCATTTTAACAGTATATTTAAAAAGTTTATGTAATACAATATGAAAGGTTACTGAAGAGATTCAGTTGTGGGTTACAATACCCTTGTCACAGTACTTTACTGCCTTATCACAACTTTTTAAAGCTTCCAGTCTCTAATGTTAGAAGTTCCGCTTGAGTGCTAGTCCATGTTGTATTTGATATTACCTATAAATTACAATGACATCTTTGTTTTTACCTGTTGGTAGTACGATCCCCTGCAGTGAGGCTTATTTAGGTACATAGGCCATTCAATTTGACAAAGGAACCTTGATTTAGGAAATTAGATGTTGACCACTTAAGTGTGAACTATTATTTATTCAAAGGAAAGTATTTATTTTTGCAACTGAGCTTCGGGACCAGTTTAAATATATGGATTAAAAAATTCAAATGCAGGAAATGTTGAAGTACTAGACTTACTTCTTTGATTTGGATGTTCATCTTAAATGGATGACTGCCCATCATTGTACTCGGGTTAACATCCCTCGAAATGGGGCGAGGGAGGGACACACCCTATCTGTGTGTGTGCATGGACCCCGAACTTCTCAATCACCACACCCTCATGTTTCTGTTTCAGTTCAGAGGTTGGACCTCCAGAGAAACAGTGCCGATGATAGCGACAATGTTAGGGGACAGATTGTCATCAGTCTCATTTCGCGGGATCGAGGAGGTTCAGGATCAGGGCCTGTAAATACTGATGCCCCTGCTCTGATCCCACAGGATCCCAATGAACTCCCAGAAGGGTAAGCATTCAGTTTTGAGTAAAAAGTTTATATTTTTTTTATTCTTTATTTATTTATTTTTTTTTTGATGATCCACTTGAAGATTAAAGGGATATTTTAAAACAATTTTATTGTTTAAAATTTGATTTATATATAAGACTAAGTTCTGTTATTTTAGCTGATAACCTTTTGTAAAGAGAACACTAACTCCGATTTGTTGAGACTCTATCCCATGACTGTCAATTTGGAAAAGTGTTTCCGTCCTAAATTGACTAATTAAGTCAGTAACAATGTTACTTAGAGTGTTAAAAATGACAGCAAACCAAATGTAAAACTACATGTACCAGGCCACTGTGTGCCACCCCTGATGAAGGCAATTTTTATTGAATATTTAATCATATTCTTTTTGTTTTGGCTTAATTTTATAAAAAATGAAAGCTGTAAACAATTTAATGCGTATTTCTCACAGTGGGTGGAAAGATGACATTTAAAAGAAATTATATATTGTGAAGGTGTTATAGAATATCTGAGTATAAAAAATAACTTCACATTTATTTTGTCACTTTAATAGTCAGAAGAAGTATTAAGTAATATATATGATTTGGCAGAGGGGAATGAAAGTTCAGTCTTAAAAATAATAAGAAAAAAAGTATGTATGAAACTTGTAGGACAAAAAGTCTAGATTTTTTAGATGTGTTTGCTTTTCAGGAAACTTTATTTCATGTCATTGTTTTCTCTCTTACATTTGTTTCATTCATTACTTTGGTAGGTGGGAGGAACGACAGACGGCTAGTGGAAGGGTTCACTATGTAAACCACATTACCAGGACTACACAGTGGGAGAGGCCCACAAGGTGACAATAATTTATTATCCTTATGTCTCTGAAGACTGTAAATAATTAAATAATCAGACCTCTACCTACACCTGATCTTTATGGCTGTCTTTCCTGGGGGGAGCTGACCACTTACAGCTTATTTATTGCTCATTAAGAAGATAATTTTGATGTGTTTTGTGAGATTGTTGTGGGGTTGTCTGTCACTTTATCCATTTAAGTGTTAAGTAGATAAATATTATTGCATGTGTAGAATCTGTATTTGATCTCCTGGTGATAATATGTTTATGTTTGATATTTAGATTTCATCATGATTGGGCCTGTTTTGGTTTCAATTAAATACAAAGTTGATTTTAGAATAGAATAAAAATTACTGAAAAATAAGGAGAAATATATCATAATATGATTCCTGGAGTTTCCAAACAGAAATGTTGATTTTGTAAGGAGAAAAAAAAAAGATGATTAAAAAAATATAAACATTTGTCAATTGAGGATAAAAGTTTACAAAAGATAGTATTTTGTTGTAGGCCTGCTACAGAGTCTGTCAGGACGAGTAACTCCAGTAACAGCCTACAGAGCGTAAATCCTCCCAGTAGTCGGCCCAATAATCGGGCCGTTCCCAACAACAACAATAACAATAGTATCAATAATAATGAGGACAATGACTGTTCCAGTAACCCACCGTTACCAAGGAGACGATCCACCAGACATCGGAACTATCTCAATCGGTCTCAACTTCACAATGCAATAGAGTTACCAGATGGTTATGGTAAGGACTTGTATGCTAGTCAGTTCAGAGTAAAGAGGTCTCTTTTTTTTTTTTAAGTTCCCACAACCTAGTTGGGGGGGGGGGGGGCTTATGTAATACATGTATCCAGGGCTCGACATTAACTTTTTTTCCTACTTGTCCATTCAGACAAGTGACCAAGACATTTACTTGTCCGAACTTCAACTTCACTTGTCCGAAAATTTTCAATAAAGATCTAATACTGTTAACTGAAAAACTAAAAATAAAGTCCATTACATATGCATGATGTTATTTATAAATACAACAAACACATAAAACAAAATTTTATCTAGACTTTCTGTCCTGACAACATAAATGCTGTCAACATAAAACAGAATCCAAACTTCGTCAGTTCCATGCCTTTGCAGTAGTATGCAATTTGTTAACTTAGATCCCGATGGAGTGTACTCAATTACAAAGCGATCTATATCAGGATCGAAGTTCGGTTTATATGTACTGTTTCCGTCTTAAAGTACTGGTAAACTTTCAACAGTCGTTCTTTTTAAAATTTAGAGACTTCTTTACATTAAAATGCACTTGTCCAATCAGACAAGTGCCCAGCAATATTCACTTGTCCGTATTTTTTTTTCACTGGTACCGGACAAGCGTTAATGTCGAGCCCTGGTACCATCAGCATCAGTGTCTGAATCTTCGATTCCCTATGTTTAATCTTGTGAAAATGGAGATCAGAAAATTTAAGTTACAGCCAATCCTCATTATCTCGAACTGGATGAGATTGAGAAAAAAACTTCTGATCAGACATCCGAAGGTTTAAGGTATTTAGAGGGGTCAAATACTTAAAGTAAAAGTGCTTGGGACTTTCAAATCACTTCAACATATCCAAGGCATTTGAGATATTGGTGTTCGAGATGCTGAAATTCAGCTGTATTTGTTTTTAAGTATTTTACTATAGAGTGGGATGAATGAAGAATGTATATTTCTTGTAGTGGAAAAAAAGCAAATTAAAAAATATTTAACAGAAAGATTAGAATTTGATATGATATCACATTTTTTTTTCTTTAGAACAAAGAACCACTCAACAAGGACAAGTGTACTTTTTACACACCAGAACTGGTGTGAGTACGTGGCATGATCCCAGAGTCCCAAGGTCAGAAGCAATAAAAATAATTTAATAAAAAATGGAAAAGTATTAAAAAAACTTGTACACTAATTGCATTGGCCTAAAATTGAGGAAAAAAATATTACACCAGTCAGAAACATAGTAAGGAATTGGCAGGATATGCATGTGAATTTCCAAAACTACATGTATCTTTGTTTTGTTTCAGGGATCTGTCCGGATCAGAAATCCAGGATGAGGAGTTAGGGAATCTGCCGGTGGGATGGGAAGTCCGTCACACTGGGAGTGGGAGGGTCTACTTTGTGGACCACAATAACAGAACCACCCAGTTTACAGACCCCAGACTCTCTGCAAATATTCGCAGGCTTCAGACTCGAACGTAAGTTGTTTGTTTATATGATTATTCCGCATGCCAGGGTAAAAAGATTCAAACTAAAACACATTTTTTAATGCAATGAAGAAATAAAGTTTGATATTTAAAATTGATAATTCTTTACATTAAGATATAAATGAGATCGATGGCCTTTAGAGTACATCTTAAGGAGAATGAGACAATTAATATGCTTTGTACTTAGGACAGATGATAGTGCATGAATTAAGACAATTAATGTACTTTGTACTTAGGATAGAGGAGAGTGCACCGCCTGTCACTTCAAGAAGAATCATTGACAAAGAAAATGATTCTCCAGTCCCAAAGTACAAAAGAGATTTGGTGCAGAAGCTTAAGATCCTCAAACTCGAGTTACAGAACCTCCAACCCCAAGGGGGGCATTGCAGAATGGAGGTATCAAGGGAGGAAATATTTGAGGTAGAAGTTTACAAACTATGTAAATGTCCTTTGAGGAGCTCAGCCCCCTACCCCTAAAGAGTTTGAAACAAGTTTCTCTGCTGAAATTCCTTTTTTTATAAAGGTCATAAGCCATCATAAATAAGGCCCATTTATCCCCATAAGTGTTTTATTTTTTGATATACTTGTTTTCAGTCAGTTTTGTAAATATCTAATCTCTCTTTTAATTTTATTTTTACTTAGTTTGCACCAAGTATTGACCAAAACAAAAACAAAAACAAAAAAAAAACAACAACAACAACAAAAAACAAACAAACAACAACAAAAAACAACAAAAAAACCCCAATAAACATGACATGTTATGCCTTACAGGATTCCTACAGAACTGTGATGAAGTTACGAGCCAAAGACCTCAGAAAGAGACTAATGGTGAAATTCAAAAGAGAAGAGGGACTGGATTATGGAGGGGTGGCCAGGTATAACTTAGTTTATGTGAATTTATGTGATGCAAAATTATAGACCCAAATTATCATCACTTTTATCATAATTCAGTAAATATTTATTAGAAACTATGTCAAGTTATCTATGAAGTTAGAAATTGATTTTTGAATTTGTAAATGAATACAAAATATGCTTGAAAGCTTTATTTTTGTGAAAAAGTTCATTTATTTTAATTGTTTCATGATACTTTGATATATTTTGTGCTTGAGAGTGATGCCTCTGTAATCTGAAATAAAATGGAGCACAGTGAAAAGAAATTGGCTTTATAATTGAATGTTGAGGTTAATGTACGTGTAATACTGAGATAGTTATTTTGTAATGGCAGAGAGTGGCTGTACCTGTTGTCCCACGAGATGCTGAATCCTTACTACGGTCTCTTCCAGTATGCTAGAGATGATATTTATACACTGCAGATTAATGCAGACTCAGGAGTTAATCCTGTAAGTTAATACCTCTTAGTTAAGATTAATGATATAAAGTGTAGAATTAGAATGTTAAACTCTCAGGAAAAAAAATTCTGTTGACATATGTAAAGTTAAATGCACTTCTGTATTTTACAAGGTGGTTCAATGCATGATACACATTTTGACTGATTACTTTTTAGGAACACTTGTCCTATTTCCACTTTGTGGGCCGAATCATTGGTATAGCAATATTCCATGGTCATTATTTGGACGGGGGTTTCACTTTGCCATTCTACAAACAGCTACTTGCCAAACCTGTGACTCTGAATGATCTAGAGAATGTGGACCCAGAACTCCATAGGAGTCTGGTCTGGTTACTGTGAGTGTGCTCATAAAACTCAGTCTGATTTAGTGCTTTTGTGTATGGTAACCGAATTTGTATAGACCTCAAGAACCTGATTATTGAATTTCTATACCCTGCTTACAAAGAGAGAGAATACAGCGAATATTTTTTTCCTGTAATTTCAGAGAGAACAACATTGAGGCAGTGCTAGATCACACATTTTCAGTGGAACACAATTCTTTCGGTAAGGTCCAGGAATATGAACTGAAGCCAGGTGGAAGACATGTGGAGGTTACAGAAGAAAACAAATCAGAATATGTCAAGTAGGTTACAGTATTATGAGTTCAAATTCTGTATTTTACAATTATTTTTAGAAAGAGGATGTCTATAAATGTGGATGCCCATTTTTTTTGTTCTGTTTGGCATTTCTATGATATTTTTACTTTGTTGTTTAAAATTCCTAGTTTTCACATAGAGACCATTTAGAATACTGTAAACATACTTTTTCCACAGGGTCATAATTCTGTGGAATCACAATCTCTGCTCAATCTGTGGGTAGAAAATTATGTTGATTTCTTAGATTGCCACTATCAGCCTTAAATGTACTTCGTATATGCTGGGACAAATTTCTGTGGAAAATTTCTGACTGCGTACATAGCGTAAATAAATACCATGTGAAAAAAGTACTTCTACATTATTTAAGTATTGATATTATAAAAGAGACAAGTCTTTCAAAAGCTTATGTTCATAATATAATATGATATTTTGCCTTCGTAGATTGTATGTACAGTGGAGATTTATGAGGGGAATTGAAGCTCAATTTTTAGCCTTACAGAAAGGTTTTAATGAAATAATTCCTCAACATTTATTAAAGCCTTTTGATGAGAGGGAACTGGAGGTAATTATTTAGTTGAATATGTTATAAAGACTGTAATATTTCATAGTAGAAATATATAGATTGCAATCAAAGACTCTTTATGTACATGTATATATAACAACATCTTTAAATAAAATATGATGTAGTAAAAAAAAAAACCTATTGCCTCAACTGAACCCAGACGCTTATAAAAATTCCTGGATGTGCTTAAATATCCATATATCAATCTACCTCAAAAAGTTGCATAGACTGTTCTTTATTCTAAGACACACCATTGTAAAAATCCAATGATAATGCCTCTTAGCTTTTCTAGGTATTTTGGAAACAGACTTTGTCCAGAAATAGACTTTGTTTATTGGCTATTGGAGAGTAAATAAATCTGAAAAAAAATCAGATATAACCCGAAATTGATGAGTTATCAAATGTTGTCAGTAATGCCTACTTTTGCTCCCGAAGTTTTTAGGTTAAATCTATTAATAATACTCATTCATATCTGTGCTATACATGCACAATTCAAATTTTATACATGGTTTTTGATATAGTTCTATGGTTTAAGGGAGACTACTGTAAATCAAAATCTTGACAATGAATGCAAAACCACAAAATTATTATCAATATACTGACTGATGCAGTCAATCTGCATGTAATGCTTATATTCATTCATGACCCATCCATTCGAACAGCAGTAAACATTTTCCAGCAAACGTTTTTGTTGGTAGGCTATAAAAATATCATTGTTTTGAACATATTTTATTGACAATGTGTCAAAGGGATTGGACACAAGTTCTGAAAACTTAGATAGTCCTCTCCCATACATAAAATCTTAATAGCCATACAACATTTACAAAGATTTACAATTTTACAATATTATACATGAACGTAGAAGAACAAAGACAATAATTATTATTGCTAAGGAATATCAGTTGATATAATGATGATTATAATGACGTCAATAACCATATTAAAATAGTTTCAAAAGGTAGTAAATACAAGTACATGTAAGTGTTAATTGAAACGACCAGTATCCTGAATAAATTTTTGAACAATACCAAATATTTTTTCATTTTCCTGCAAAGATAATGATTCATCTCCCCATAGCAGTTTATGCACATTTAACATTTTTACATTATTAATTACAAGTAGTGCATTCAACATTAAACGTCTAGCTTCAAGATGTTTTCTACACACAAAGAAATAATGATGACTATCCTCCTTATATCCACAAGAACAATTTGGATTCGTTATAATGTTACATCTATACAAGTCATGATTTAAAATACAATTGTGCCTTAATCTTGTATGTAAAATGTTCAAATACCCTTTGCCGTATGATAGATACTTGGGAGGCTTGTCATTATTATTATTCAATTTTCTTTTAAAAATTCCTATTGAAGTTATTTCCCTTGTTTCGTTACTCAATGAATTCCATTTGCGAATAGTATCAGGGACAAATGACTTATTTAGTAATTCAAGCCTGCACTTCGGTAAAAAATAATTACTTGAATTATGAGTATTATAATTTGAAACATGTTTCTAACTACTGGTACTATATTTTTTAAATAACCAGGAACTAGGTTATTGTGGATTTTAAACATTGTTAAAAGTTTAGCTTTATCCCTTCTTATTATAAGAGGTTCCCATCCTGTTTCAACATACAACGAGTTTCTTGACGCTAATACTGACAGACCTGTCACAATTCTTGCAGCACTCAACTGAACCTTTTCGAGTTTTCAATATCATTGGTCTAAGTTCAAGTGTATTGACATATCCTGTTGTTTAAAACACCTGGTCTATTAATCATATAGTTAAAATGCATTATTTCTTTAAAAATCCTCTCTGCCCCAGTGCTCCTGGATATTAAACAAACAAAGTGCATAATTCTAGTGAGTGAGGGTGTCACTTTGGAAATTATACTATGAGATAGTAGTTGAGTATCACATAAAATGGGACAAACTTACTGGAATTATTAAAAATGGAATTGGGAAATAGTGTATAATAATTCTTTTTAATAAATTTTTCTATAAATAGTTATTATAATTACATTTAAGTTAATGATTGGTGGACTTGGAAAGATTGATTTGAATGATTGGAAAGCTCACACAAGGTTAAAACACTGCACAGCAGAGAGCAATATTGTCAAATGGTTCTGGCGATCTGTGGAGGAGTTTGATGATGAGATGCGGGCCAGGTTGCTTCAGTTCGTGACAGGAAGTTCTCGTGTTCCATTACAAGGCTTTAAAGCCTTACAAGGTCAGTATGATAGAAATCTATTATCCAAATTAGAAGTCTGAGATTTAAATAAAGGCTGAACAAGAGAATTTTTTAAATCTTTTAACTGATTTTTCTTTAATTATTTGTACTGGTCAGTTTGTTTCAGTTCATAAAAAGATCATTCTTGTTGTAGGTTCAACTGGAAATGCAGGTCCAAGACTGTTCACTATTCATCAAGTGGATGCCAACACTGACAATCTTCCAAAGGCACACACATGGTAATAACATGCATAACAATCTTAGGCTACGTTAAAATCTTTTTTTTCACCTAATAATAAAATTTTACTTTCACTTTATGAAAAAAAAACTTACTTTCACTTTATGAAAAAAAGTTACTTTCACTTTATGAAAAAAACTCTTACCTCACTTTATGAAAAAATCTACTTTCACTTTATGAAAAATCTTTGGAATGATGATGGTTAACTCATTTTTCTCTAATCTGCAGAATTTGATGGAGTTATAGTTCTTCCTTTCCTAATAAAATTAAAATTTTATACTTATTTGAATATTCTTTTTCAGTTTCAACAGAATAGACATACCACCATATGAGAATTATGAGAAACTGTACTCTAAGTTATCCTGTGCAGTGGAGGAGACTTGTGGTTTCGCTGTGGAGTGATAGAAACTGTGTGACCTTTCACTGACCTTCAGGTGGAGTGATAGAAACTGTATTACCTTTAGCTGACCTTCAGTTGGATCAATATCTGGTGCTGCATTATGCGTTGTGATGGATCAAACTGACTCAAGTTCATAGTGTTTTTTTTTAGTTCAGTATATGTCGAGTTGATGTATTCCTGGTAATCTGTTATATTTAATCAAATTTATATTTTTGTTTAGTTTTGTATGTGTGAAGATAATTATGATCTCCCATAGACTTGTTTATATACAAATCAAATACTAAGAGACATGTCACCAGTATTTCAGTTCAGTATCTAATTTTGTATGAAAATGATATAAATGCACATTTTTTTCTACTTGGGGGCCATTGCAGTATGATATGTACCAGATATGATGGGTTGATTGAACACATATAGCTTTCTTTTGAACATGGTTGTCCATAAAAAAGGCCAGGAATCTAATTCATTCATTGAATTCATGCTAGTCAGACCATATTCTTTCCAGAATCAATTTACCAAATGTCCCAGAAATTATATATGTAAAGTATACAACTTCAATTTGATTATATGTGTATATACTTCATCATTTTCAGTTTGTACAGTGTTCATAATATTATGCACACATTTCTGATTTTACTCATTGAGAATATTTTGCATGTACAGAACTTCCTAAGAGTTTTATTGCCACCTCTAGAAATTGTATCATACAAGTGACTCCGTTTTCTGACAGCAAAAATGAAAGAAAAAAAAATCATGGTAAATTTGTAAGTTGTACAGTTTTATTTTGATAGTGTATGCTAGTGATTCTGTGTAAATGAATCTTACAAGATTTTATATTGTGATTGAAAAGCCCTACATGACATAATTTTAAGAATTTTATTATTCTTTAATTTTGCATGCTTAAAAAAAAAAGAAATTGTTTTAGAATGCAGTCAGCAGGTTGTGAAAAAAAGTGTCAATAAATGTCTCATGGAAACCGATTGGTAATTTGATCAGGTTTTTAATAATTAAAAAAAAAGAAGGAACTTCTGTCTGCAAACAAATTAGTTTACATAGCAACTCTGATGTGGTTGTGAATCTGTCATTTCTTACATGTTTTAGAGCAGATATTAAAATCAGGAAGTTTTTTTTAAAGAAAAGATTATTGATAAAAACACTTTCAGGGAATTTTTATTTGCAAAATGGAAACAAAGATTGGGCAAGCAATTTCTTTAAAGGGAGGGGGGCTGATATGCTAGATACCGTCCAAAGTTATTGATGTAAAATTTGAACTTTTTTTTATTTTAAAATTCATCTCCACAATTTTTGAAATTAAACTGTGATAGAGAAACTCCTATTTGAAGAGAAATTTTCCAGAAAACACATGTAACTGCCATATTTTCATGTTTCACTTCAAGTGTTTTGAGGGATAATAGCAAGATATTTTAAGTCACAGGAACAATTTTTCTAACAAACATTTTATACATCAGTGCTACTATTTTTAATTTATGAACATAGTTATGTGGCAAATTTTATAATGGAACATTTGAACAAAGGAAAAGTTTTTAACCAGTTTTCCAAGTAACTGCTTAAATTAATATTTTTAGTTGAATGCCTATTGATGTATTCTTTGTAAAAATATATGATGTAAAATTATGATAATTATTACTAAAATTTTTAAATTGTCACCCAGTGCATGTGCTTGATGCACAGTTTGATATATATAAATATATACTTAACTGCATTTTTAATTTAATTTGACATATATTTACTTAGTTGTGACTAAAACTAACCTTAGCTAGCTCTCTCACATATGTAGAGAGCAACAAGAACAAGCAATTTTCATTGTCAACAAATATAGTGGTTGTGATTGTACAAGATAGTTATTTTTCAGTTTATCAAAACATATTTTTAGAAAATCTTGGAGCACCTCTTTGGTAATCTGGACTATTGTTTGTCCTGTGGAGCAAATGGAATTTTTATAGAAAAATTAGTTGTTGATTGTATTCAAATGGCATATTCCTAGAAGTTCCTCATTATTTACAATTTTCCTGGTGAAAATCATAACAAATTAAAAATATTTCAGCGAACAGTTTTATTATTAACATTAATACATGTAACATTACTTGTACACATTTTTATGCATTTTTCATTGTTACAATGAAATATGTCATATATTTTTAATGAAAGAATGAGTGATAAATGTTGTTTACTTCTGGCATTCACATATTATTCAATGTCTTCTTCCTCTGTGAATTTTTATTCTTATTTATTCTTGTATTGTGATGGTCACATTTTCCTCCAATTTGCTGTCATTGTTGATGATGTTGACTCTGTGTGTTAAATCAACATGTGCCTTCATCAACAGGTTTGTTGAATGTGGTTATGTCTGAGTAATGTTGGCAGCACAAACTGATTTTTTTCTGTCATTAACAGAACATGTACTAATAGTAGTATTCCTCAACAGTTGTATAAAAATAAATCTTTTCAACAACAAATTACTTGGTATATTTCTCCTTTCCTCTTTAACAGGGAAGCATATTCCAATCAGATATTAAAAAAGTGTATTTGAATTGTTTAAATGCTTTGTCATTGCGCTACAGATAGCTTGAAATTTTCATGTTAATGTTTCATAAAGACATCTAGATATTATTCCTCATCATTGTAGGATATACCATCGAAGTCCTCCAAAAGAAGACCGACATCCCGGCCGGATGTGACAGATGTAGTTGTACGATGTATGGAGGTATCATTTGAGCTCTTGTGTGATTTGAAGTTGATAATATGCCAGGCATCTGTAAGAAAACTGTGCAGTAGGTCATCTATTCCGTATGCTTCCTCTTTTCTTTTGATGTTAGTCCGAATTTCTTGGATGCTTTTGTTAAGGGTTGCATTTAACATAGTCATTACAATCCAAATGACGAACATTACAAATGTAAAATAGTAGAATTCGGCTATAATTGGACATGTTTGTATTAATCCATGAAGACTGTTTCGTCCTATCAGTGAGTTCACTATTGTAGTGATGGAAACAAAAATATTTTTGTATGTTTCGAGGTGAGCCCCGAAGAGAAGGTACCCAACACCTGCATAGGCAAAGAAGACCAAAACAAACATGAAGAAGCAACCCATTAAGTTTCTCCTGGCATTAGATAATACCAAGGCTAGCTGAGTTATGTTTCGACTGTAGTTCAAAACTCGGAGAATTCTCAAGGTCGTTAAGAAGACAAGAAAAGAAATGAATGCATTAAGTATTTCATCCCATAAAGCAATGTGTCCAAAGTTAACGAACTTGAATTTTTGTTCTGTAAACTTGGTGATTGTCCATGAAGTGAAAAGCATTCTAGTTATGTACATGGGTATGCCAATTACTGTTAATACTAAAATAATGAGGTCAAACAAACGCCAAGAGTCTTTGAAAAACGCTCTTTTATGTTTGGCTATTTGCGTAATGAAATGGATGAAGAAAATTAATGCACACACTGCAAGAACAATTTCACACAGGAATATGAAAACACCAAAGTTTCCTATATGCTGATAAACTCTCAGTGGATAAATATGTGATGTCGTAAAAACACCACCAGTTTGAGGAAACTCGGTCATGAGTGATACGTATGTAAAGAGATTGATATTGCTGTTGTATTGAGTAAATTCTACAAAAACTGCTCTTGTTTGTCGATCTATCCACGTGTTGTTATAAAGTTCGTCCACCACCATGTTGGCATACTTTAAATGAATTCCAAGATCAGCGATGAAACCACCGCCTCCATAGGTTCCTCGAAGTCCGATGGTCGGTACACCCCAGACTTCAGTGGCGCTTGTGAACTGCCATGCCTTTGAGGACCAGAGTGTTGTGTTATCTACACACGAATCGGATTCCCAGCTTTGGCAGTAAGATCGCTCATCTTCTGATGAAATGTAGTAGTTGGCATAGCATGTGAAATCCAGCAGCAAGGGAATGAAACACTTCTCTGAAAATACAGACAAATTAGGTTTACAGTGAATCGAAAACAGGTGATAAAAAATGCAAAGATTTACTAGTATTTAACTAAAACTTTCAGCTAAAAGGACCCTGAAAAATGGTTAGTACTAGTATCTTGATGAAGACCCACCCTGTCTGACTCGAAGCTGACGAAGTCGGACAGCTCCTAGTCTGTAATTTAATTGGTCTTCCGTGTATTGACGTTCGAATGCGTTCAGAAGCTGTCCGTTATATAATTGTTGAGGGAATGTGAATGGAATTAATGTGTTTTTCAACCAGTCGTAAAAACCATCAACACTGCGAATCTACAAGTCAAAATAATACCTAAATTATTTTGACACGCTTCGCTAATTCAACAAACCTGTGTAGAAATATGGAAAAAAGTGAATGGGGAAAAATGGTTGTCTTTGGTCTATCTTACTTTGTCATAACGCAGTGTTTGAAGGCTACTGTTTTTGTCAGGACTGTGTAAAAGCCGATGGTTCAAGTAATGTCTGATCTGATACGAGTGGAAATCCCTGTTGTTGTAGCTGATGAAGTAAAGAATTGCCAAGAAACAGAGGTAGAGCAGTAGTTCAACGAAGATCCGCTTGACTCTCATTTCTCTTAATCTTTTTCGTTTCATATTTTCGAGTGTTTCCTCCTCGAAAGGTGCTCCATAGAATGAAATATCTGTAACATGGAAGTCCAAAAATATAAAAGACACTGAAAACGTTAAGCCTTAATTTATACTCATATGGACATCAAATTTCACTGACTTTAGAAACACAATTTCTGTCTCGACTGTGAAGAAATTGCGAGTTAATTACTTTTGGAAGATAGCGATAACGTTAAGAAATTAAAAAAAAATCAAATGAGACCTTGTAAAGAGAACTTGTATCGATTGTGGTTGACATTTTATATTGTACAGAACATAGTAAACAAAAAGAAATAACAGGAACAAACTGTTGGTTTCTCTAGCAAACGCTACGGCCCTGGTTTGTGACTGTTTCAGTAGGTTTGTCGTATCATATACGCTATCCTCAAGCGATTTCTTGATGATGATCGAGAAAAATATAGCCATTGCAAAAACCTACAAAAAATATATTTACTTGATTTAATTACCATGGGGATTTCACTATTGATAAGACATAATTTATAAGAAAACGTTCATATATTAACAAAGCATTGAGAAACAAACCTTTATTGGATCAACCACAAACATTGATTCAAAAAATGACATGAAAAACGTCTTCAGCCATTCTTCAGACTTTGTTTTGCCCCATTCCATGCTATACAAAATCACAAAAAACCCTGAAGCCAAGATCGAAACAGCAACAATACCATATGCAACAAACACACATTTCTTTGGCAAACGGAATTTTTCTTTTTCACTACGAGTCCTAAAAGTTTCTACATCTTCTTCATCTTGGCCTTGAGAATTTTCTGACCATTTTGATTTCCTGAATATCATCGTTACTGCTAGAATAACAGGAAAGGTCATAATAACTCCTATGAATGAGATATATATTGAGGACAGAGCAAATTTGATAGGACCAATTTGTATCTGATCCACAGATTCGCCCTTTCCGTAGAACATAGCATTTGAAATCATTGTCAAGAAAAGCAGTGTCGCACAGCATGAAAGGCGCTCACAACGAGTGAATACACTTTTTTCTGGACGAAAAACCACAGATAGCCATAGATGACTGTCTGTTATATTTTCCCGACTGTTTTCTGTAAAGTTTACATTGAAAGTTCGAAGGGACTCAGGAGTTGATACAGGCACCGTGCATTGAATGGAACTCTCATCCGAATCCAGACTTAGCCATCGATTGCAGAAAAAGACAAATCTGCAAATCAAAGGATAGCTCTGCAATCATTAAGGTTATCCACATTATAATACAAAACATTGTTATCAGAAATTATCCAGAATTATGATATTCTTTTATATTTATCGCGATTTTCACGTATCGAGAAGAAGGAAAATCACACCTCTTTCCTGTTTGTGCATCTTCAACGACTATTTTAATCAGATTCCACGAAGCGTCCCCTCCATCTCCACTGTTGTCATGCCAAATATTCAGGAAAGTTAAATCACCGAGATTATTCTGCACAGTCATCACGTAAGTACAGACACTTCCGGTCTCAAAACCCTGAAATTTTAAAGAGTGCATTCATTCTATGAGAATCAAAACATTTCAAAGAGCTGGATAAAAATTCAGGTATAAGATTTCTAGCATTCCGACTGCCTACCTTTTTGACTCCGTCTGTGAGATGCCGGACCCCGGTGTCTCTAAGGCGACTAGTCATGACGAAGCTGACGTTACTCTTGGTGCCCGAGTTCCTAGATAGGCCGGTATAAACAGTAACCAGATATACGAATTTGTCTGTCTTCAGGTTGTCATTCATGTATAACAGCTTCCACTAGCAGAAATTTAGATAGACCGTATTAACTCTTTAAAATCCTACTAAAAAGACGCTTTCCATTCGTTAAGTAATAAAAAAATCTTTCATTTTCTACATAAGTGCTTTTGTCGAATTTAAATCCACCACTCTCTTAATACCTTTTCTTGATCTTTCTTGTCATAACGCCGCGCTATCAGAAGACCAGTGAGATAAAGAACGATGATGGCTGTAACTGTACCAAATACTGCACCGTTTCCAATGATGTCAAATTTATCAAAGACCGTAGAAAAATCGATAGAATTTGGTGGAACAAAGAAGGATGTAGCAAAGTTATCTCCTGGAGGATTTTTGCATTCACAAACTGTCTCTTTACCATTCGTTTCCGAAGTTAACTGAAAATGAACAAAAGGAGGTTCTCACAGGGTTAAATTCCGATAAAAAAATCCATCAAATTTAGTGGGTTCTTTTTTTATTGAAAAAAAAACTAACAGACAAGACAGGGGAAGCATGAAATGTGACAGGGCGCGTTTTGAGCGAATATCACGCCAAATACCTGGCATGCAGTTTTGTCCCATTTGCCTCCATCCCATACTCGACACCCCGTGGTCCAGCCACTGATACGGTAAGTTGCAGTTGTGGTGCTGTTGTAAACAGATCGGCGACGCCTAGAAGTCCTTGGTCTGGGAACTGATGTTAAAGAAAAAAATCTCTATTATTTACGTCAAATCATTAATTCTTTGAAAGACTTTGGAATGCCACATTCATGTAACAGTGATCCAGTTTATTGGTATGCGGGAGGGCCAACTATTATTCTTTGTTACAGAATTTTAGAAGTCCCATAAACATTTTGAAGCTAGCGACATTATGATTGCTTTACTCATGTGTATGAAAGATGATTGAATGATTGATTGTTTGTTGTTTTACGCCCCGTTCGAGTATGAAAGAAACTCAAGGACTATTTAATTACTTACTGGATGCAACATGGACAGATATATAGATCAAGCACGGTCCAGGGCAGAAATTGATTGGAAGAAGACAGGAGAAACCAACATCAGTCCAGTCACTAGGGACGATAACTTTTGTCCATTCGTGGTCACCGACGGTAGGAATACTGTCTTTTTTGACATATACAACGTGCGACGTTGTATTCATTGTACTGTTGTCACATTCAACACTAAAGACCAAATTATCCAACGGGTTCCTCCACCAGATTTTATAAGAAAAAATCTGCGAACTGGGCTCTTCTGGATCGTCAGGGAACGCTAAAACGACGTCTCTTTTTGTCACCGACGGAGATACGCTGAATTTGGTCTTCACCGAAGGGAGTTTAGTATGGTTGCCCAGAACGATATGTACTGTAGGTGACTGTATGTTTTTTGCTTCCGAATCCCATATGAAAGGCGTTTTTGAGTATTTGGTAACCTGAAATACAAACATTTAAATTCCTTTATAAACTAGAGCAAACCAAGTCCAGTGAGTCTGTACACATTATAACTGCGCAGTGCTACATGTATGCAAGCACATTTTCAACTTTTTGTTGTTTATAATTAATTGCAGTTAAAACACCGTTAGTTAAAAATGTACACATTCAATGCTTTGAAAGGAATGGCAATTACTGGATATTCTTTTTAACATCCGTTCAAGGTAATCCTGAGATGGACACCACTCTGAAAAATGAAACTATGAACAAATGTCAAACTATCTCTCATAAGAAAATCGAGAATGAACGGATAACAACTAACCTGTATATAATCTTGTTCTGTCTTACTGACATCAAGTTTGATTTTTAAATCTTTTCTGTCAATTTCCTGGTCAACTCGGCGTTTTTCCATACTTGTTGTTAAGCCTGGTCGAGTGACTTCTACTTCAAACTGTTTCCTATAGGCAATCTCCTTCAGTACGGTTCCAAGCTCAACAATGGAGTTCTGCATGCTTGGGACAGTTCTACTTGCCTAACATATTGAATATTACTCAAAATTATGAAACCTAACAGATTTAAGAATGGATTGAAAAAGTATTAAACTTATAAAAACCCGAAAGATGTAAGACCCCACACCATTTTTCAAATTAAAAAAAAGGAAATGAAGAAACCCAGTAATCCAGTTAGAAAAGTCACAGTTCCATGACAAGAGTAGTGGGAAGGTTAAAGATCTTCTGTCATTAAAAGCTGTTTGTCTTGGTTTTGTACCATGATAAAGAATAACTCTATCTAGCAAACAATTTTTAGATACCATTTTGACTAAGGAGTTTTACCTACGTTTCGACTGAGGAGTTTTATGTACCATTTTGATTCAGCAGTTTTAAATGTATCATTTCGACTGAGGAGTTTTACGTACCATTTCGATTGAGGAGTTTTACGTACCATTTCGACTGAGGAGTTCATTTTCTCCCTGTATGATGCCACAGACAGGGAAGTGAAGAGAGCTCTTTCTTCTGGTGAAAACCCGGAACCATCGTACCCGTTGATGTGATCTGTAGAGGAATACTCTTTCGCTATTTCATAAATGTCATTTGTTTCTGGAATGTCTTGACTTAGTTTTGGAATCAGAACATTCAGAAGATTATCAACCGATCGTAAGACAGCTGCAAAACAAAAAAGTCGTAAAATGTTTTTTTAACTCTTCATGAAAGATCGGAAATCCAAATGTGATCAGAAAGCTTATCTCTTAATATTTATTCTACACCAACCTTCTGAGGTAGATAGATAATCTTCATATACAGGGAACATGGCTTCTTTGGATGTGTTGATGAAGTTGCCAATTACGTCATTCGTAGCATTCAGCGCCGCGGCCTAAAGAAAAAAATTGTTAGCTCATAAAAACTTATTTACCTGAACTTATTTGAAAGTGGTCACAAATCAATAAGAACAGTACAGCCAATCCATACCATAACTTCTTTGGTTACCAGTTGCTTCTTCTCCATGGCAGATCCCGAGGAAAACGCCATTTGTCTTTGTCTTACGGTGTTGTCTATTCTAAGCGAACTTGTAGACGTTGAAAGAAGGTTTGTCATATTCTTCATTCCCTGTTATATAGCCTTTGATTACAGCCTTTTAAACAATTTCTTTGAGTGCTCTTATTGAACAGTCAGACATCGGACAAGATTAACTCTAAATGAACTTAGAAACGTTTCCTATGTTAATGCCATGAAAGTATGAGGTGGGAGAGAAATATAATGAATTAATCCTACCTCTGTGAGCAATTCTAGGGTAGAGTTAACATCTACTGGGACTGTGGCGAGTTCTTGAAAGAGGTTGTCAAATGTTGTGTTGTCACCCACGCTACTCCACGATCCTGGGTCTTCCACTAATGTGTCGATCAAACTCGGTGGTGGAAGTGTCTAGAGAGATGGTGAAGAAAGAGAACGTTTACAAAAGAATCGCCTGATAAATATCGATCCCATATAACATCCATAAAATGGATTAATATCGATTGTGTAAGTAGGCTTCAGTCTTCAAAGAGAAAGAAGGCAGGACTTGGTCAAACTGGCGGACAAAATCAACCAAAGACCATTGAATTGGGAGTTTTTGTACATTTAAGAATTATACCATTTTCTCCGATTACACAGTAATACACTAGAAGCTGCTGTCAGGAATAAGTTATAATACACACACTAGAATCTCTTCTCTTGGCCAATTGAAAATGGAACATGTATATAAGGGCCGATTTGAAATGGGATTATGTACGACTTGTCACCACTTTAAAATACGTTCCTAATAATAGAGTGCTAGCGCGCAAAAAGCCTTCGCCTAATATTTAACATATAACAGATACAAGTGTATGTATTCCAACTATCATCGCCAGTAGTATTATACGAAACCTTTTCCATCTAAAAGCCAAGCCTATCATTAACAAAATTATTTTTCGTTTGAATACCTCTAAAAATGTGAAATCTAACTGAGATTGGAAAGATAGATAGGGATATAACAACAATAAACGCTTTCTTAAAAAAAGTTTACAGATGGAATCTAGAAATTTTGGACGAAAGATATATATCTATGATCAATGGGGCCTGGGGGGGGGGGGGGCAAATACATACCTCCCGATTGGTGGTACTAATAGTTGTTTCTACTGCCATGGAAACCAGACCCACATCCTCCTGCTCAATCGCAGTTTCTATCAGTGTCTGTGAATTTTTTAAATAGTCTTCTACGCTCACAGCCATCATTGGTGAAAAGACCTGCAAAAGTGTCTTATAGCTATCCGAGTCTTCCAAGAATGACTATTGATGCTATGGTGAAAAGGTTGCCCTCAAACAGAAAATGAAAAAAGGTGAAGATAACGAACAGTGATCGAACTCCAAAAAAAAAAAAATTATAAACAATACAAATATGTGGAGAGGGCATAAAACGGGGACCACTGGAAATTCCAGACGTGGGATCAGATGCCTAGGAGGAGAAAGCATCCCCTGTTGACCGGTCACACCCGTGTGAGCCCTATGTATTGATCAGATAGACGGAACATTCCTTAGTCAAATTCAGTATAAAACAAAGGCTAATACATGTAATTGGAATGAAACACGTCAGGCTGTTAAAATCCCTTTAACATCAAATTATCTGAAAGGAAGCGAATGATTGGTTATTATCCAGCCTACTATATTAAGTTTTTACCGTGTTTTTCGTAATTTTTAAGAAAAATCAGGTTATTGAAATGGAGAAAATGGCAGGTACTGCCAAAGGGGTACAACATTTGTTAACTTCTCCTACAGTTTTTAAGATAGGATCTACTTTGCAGATCAATTGTACATATATCAAAGATGTGCATAGTATTTTGATTTTGATTTTTGATAATTTATGAGATAAATAACAGGTTGAAGGCCACAGAAAGTGTTTTCTTCTTTTCACATATAAGATTTTGGACAAATTCTGCTTCACATGAATACGAAAAAGGTCTGCTAATAACGGGGCACAATTGGTACCCATGGAAATTCCAATAGATTGTTGGAAGACCTGGTCTCCAAAAACCACATAGATATTGTCAATCAGAAACCCAAGCATCTTTTTAATGTCAACTTCAGAGTACTTGTGTGTACAATCAGAATGTTTTTAACAAAATAATTTTGCAAATGATGCTTTAATACAAGTTTTCATTAATATCGTTCTGCTAACTCTTTTTCCCGTTAATCGCGCTTATGGCATTGGTTTCACAAAAATAAACAGCTTCTCTATTGATACAAGAGAATAACACTTAACGTCAATGCGTGCCTGTTCCCTGAATAGTACTCACCGGGATAGAGGGAAAGTTACAAGTTGTGAAATCATCAAAGACGTCTAGTACTTCCACATATGTATTTATTAACCAATTGTCTTCTTCGTGTCCGTAGTTGAAATAAATGCCCTCTAGGTATCTTTCATCTATTGAAAGAGGGAACTCGGTTAACCACTGCTGATAATTTTTTTTCCAGGTATTAAAAAAATGCTACATGTAAGCTACACACTAAATTCGCACTATTAAACAATCCGAGATGACTTACTGCCTTGATAAAGGAGAGTCTTCTCCTGGGTTTGAGAATCTTCTTGGAATATCCGAAAACTTATCTGTTCCTTCCAGTCTATTTCTTTGTTTTTCTGTTTTCTAAACCCTTCATCTTTCCATGAATTAATGACCAATATTATGTCACCAGCTAAAAAAAAATATTTTTTTACAAAAGCAAAATAAGCACAGACGCATGTATCTCTGTTCTCCAATATTACAGATTTCAGAAATATGGGATTTTGGTTTACATTGAGATAAAATGCAAGAAATTATGGCTTTGCACAGATATGTCTGGACAACCTGACAAAGTTCCTGTACGTTACAGAATACGATTTATGTATAACATGTACTGATAAAAACTATGCATAAATAAATAGAAATTTTTTAGACAACATTTGTTTAACATTAATTTTCTATAGGCAATTTTGAATTTTATTGTATGAAAAAATGAATCAATCATAAAAGGTAAAATAGGGAACGACACTGAAAAGCGTCCCCCTAAACGATTTCTTCAGCTGGCGGGTGGGTAATAGTGTATGAGGTGTTACCTCTTGATGTTTCAAATCTACAGTATCCGCCATATGGAGGTTCTGTCGTCTCAAGAATCATCTGCATTTCTGCCCATCTGTCGTCTATGTTCATCCTCATCGTCAGCAGATAATAAGACAAACGACGGAAGGAATTGGCTTTAACGAAGAATTTCTGTTCCGATGGATCTGGAATGTATTAGAAACCTCTTCCAGCAAAACAAAACCACGTTAAAAACCCCTGTTGGAAAATATTTCTATGGATGGATTGCTTTTTTTAAGTGGATTTAAGTATTGTACTGAATAAGACACGAACCTGTTTCTAACCAGTTTTCCCAGTCTCCTATATTGCTTGTTGTTCTTGTTGCTGGGTCGAATTCCATTAACTTCCAACTATAGACAAGCTTTGCTAGATCGCTGGCAGTACATGTTGTACACTCTGCTCTTAAGGACATTACTATAGATGTGGCCACTTTTGTTTTACAATTTAACAAGCACCTGCATGTGGTGTTTGAAAGGTTAGTTTCAATCAAAAGCATAAGACAACTAGTTGTTCTGCATACACATTACAGAAAACATTACAGAAATAGTGAATCACCAATACTCTGGACATCTAATGCAAAAAAATAACGTTGAACAAATAACCGCCAATACAGTCATGTCCAATGTCAAAGTGCCATAAACGAATTGAAAATATATGTATTACTACATAGAAGATTACTTACCTACATGTACATAATTCAGAGGTACGACTACTTACTGTATTTTCATATCTGGAACTGTATCGCTGGGAGAACCAAAGAAGCTAGAATTCGGAAATACGATCTGGATTCTTTGTTGATAAATGTTTTCAGCGTCCAGAATAGCTACTTTGACTGTGACGATATATCCTACAGCTTTGGTCCGATGATTCGGATCAGTGACTACTTCCGCATAGCCCGTGGTGGTCTCCGAGAAAGAGATGCATTTACTGTTTTCAAACAGCTTAATCACAAGGTTCCATGCTTCTGTCTCCCACGCTATCATATCTGAGATATTCAGACCTGCAATTTGTTCTGCACGAGTTGTCAGCTCTACAAGATGTTTGTCGAAATCCTGAAGTGTCGAGATGGTAAAATTCTCCTTAGGCAGTCCATATATTATCCGATTTAATTCTGTCAAAGCCTCCGTCATTATTCGTAGATGTCTGATTAAGGAATTCATATTTGGTAGAAATTCTGTCTCTATCATATCTGTTTCCTGTTTTGTAATGTTTGATTCCAATTTAAGCAATGGCAAACCATTTTTTATATCTGCATAGGCTCTTTTTGCAACATCTCTGTGGTCTAATATTTCTTGAATATAGTTCTCGTTAGTAAACTCTCGTAGCAAGGAATATAGTTCGGCGCTCATCAAATTGTCGAGGTAACATGGATTCGGGATTTTGTTTGTTGTACTTACAAATGATGAATATTCTTCACAGCTTTGGGGATGGGTAATATTTTCTAAGTTTAAATGTCTATAAGTGTGTGTGTCGTTAAAATACACCATATTCGTCTGAATAGTAAGGTTGAGATATTTCTCCGACATGTCAGCTAAGCTTTGTATGAAGTCCCAGGATACGGTTACATTAGCTAAGAATGTGAAAGATTCGGGAATAATGAATGTCATCAACATATCTAAAGAATCCGTCGGAAACTCCAAACAACTCCAAGAAAATGTCAGACCATCTCTATGACCGGGTCCCTTTGTGAGATCATAAGATCCACTCCAGGCATCAAGTATGGTTTTCCCGGGGCCCGACATTCTACCAGATCCACCCTGAATGATGACATTTGGGGGAGGCAACTGCAGTTTGAAGTACATATATCCCTCGACAAATTCATACGATCCTGGATAATACTCAATTCTTACAAAAAGTCGATACAGGCCAAATGGGAACGCCCCAGGGCGTATCTGAAAGACTGATGCTTCTGACACATAGGACAGAGTCTCGTTTTCAGAGTGTTCATCGCACATGTACAAAGTCCAGTTTTTGTAAAGACTTGACAGAGAACATTTGATTTGTGTTTTCGGCAGAATTTCTATATTGGCTGACGAATACAGTACTAAAGGGTCATCTCTTGTCACGTAATTGCCTCCAAACACTGATCCCTCTAAACATGGCGGAAACTCTGAAAATTATTAATAACTATTTGTACTCAACTCTACCTCAACACAGACTTGGTTGCAAACTTTATATTTACATTCTTGATATTAATGTTTCTTTGCAATGACCATACTAACGTACAAAAACACACACACACACACACACACAAACAAAGTGGATGCATTGTTGCATTAGACATTTTCTAGATCAGCGGAGTATTCCCCTCCGGCTAGAGGTTGTTAGAGGAATTCCATTGTTTACATAAAGATGAAAGGCCTCAAACTGTTCATTCTATGAGAGAAAGAACTAACCGAGGGCTGAGAGAAAGAACTAATCGAGGGCTGGAGGCCCTCGATTAGTTCTTTCTTTCACAGAATGCACAACTCGAGGCCTTTCTCCTACTTAAACCATGATTTCCTTTGTTCTGAGAATTAAATTAAAATGTACAAAACTGGTATCAGGTATAACAGGTAGCAGACATACAATGACAAGTTCATTGTTTACAGAATGGACAGTCACAGGAATTTGTTGAATAGCTATGGTGTTTCCAGATTCAAATAACAAAAGGTCTTTGACTAAAAAATGGACAGATACAGGTAGATTTGGGGGGATACAAGTATGCGGTGCTTCAAAATCAATTTATAGTTTGCGTTATAAAGGCATACATGTTTTACTCCGATGGACAGCATATGACAGAATCAAAATCTAATGAACCAAAAAATATACAAAATCAGTGATATTTGTATCTGGAAACAGAGAATAGTTAGGAGTAAAAAATATTAGCCAAACTTTGACCCCACAATGAACTTCTCCGACAAAATACAGCTGATAATCAAATTCGAAGCATATCTTGGATTGTTTTATTTTAATTCAATTTTTGAGGATATATACACTGCAGCAGTGTAATGGTGAGAGGCAAATTGTGCTGCGAGTGTTGGATTAGCCATGAGCCAAACTTAAAATGGATTCTTCTCCAGGGAATGATGTTTCCGAAATTTAAATCAAATGTGAAATTGTGTCATTTGAATTCCAGTTTTGTGAAAACTGAGTTTTGAGTATTGAAATAATGTGCATTATCCATGGATTTAAAAGTGTAAAATCGAGCAGATGCTGTGCAGACACTGTTTTCTGGATCAACTTAGATCTCCGTGTTATTTACATGTAAATTAAATGGTATTTAATGTATTTGTTTTTGGTTCCTCCTTTGGTACTTTCCAAAGTTTACCTGTAACTCTCCATTCTGTTTGTTTTAACTGTCCATTCTTTTTGTAAAAAAACTGTCCATTCTTAAAAATAATGGACAGTTTTCCAAAACAAGTTGCCCAAAGACCAGAAAAATAGTATGATTAGGATTGACAAAATAACTGGCCTAGTATCTATGCTCCCATTTATCACTATTATCATGCAGACAATTAACAAAATATTTATTTTTTTACCCCATATTATTACCTCTCACATTGATGTCCCTTTGCCTTCGAAGAACAATTAAAAAGACAAGTTATTTTTGTCTCATTTTTATTCATCTATTATTTCCACATTTGAACTATGAAAGTACTTTTTGTATTATACAATAAATATTCTTGCATAATTATTCTATTAAACTTTCGAATACATTATTTACAGTGATTAATTATCAATGGTGAATGGAAAGGGACATAACTTCGCCCTTGTAGAATACAAATTAATAGAGCTCTAGTCAGGACCAGAACACTTACCTAAATGCCCCAGATGTTCAAAATTTTTGTAAAAATAACCTTGCTTATTTAAACTTTTACTTTGTTTGTCTCCAATATACCCAGGAGCAGAGAAGATTTTCAAAGAAACAATGCATTTTCACTACAGATTTAACAATTAGTTAAAGATTTTCAAAGAATTCACATTTTCACCATATTATCAACAGAACCCCCCCCCCCCCCCTGAAATACCAGAACCCCTGGGACCATAAGTTTTATAAAAAAAAATTTAAGAAGCACCCTTGCTCATCATTATTGTGCACTTTGTTTATATGCTCAAAACCCAGGAGCAGACAGGCTTATTTAATAGAATTAATGCATTTTCACTGTATAATCAATAGAGCCCCGCCCTAACACCAGAACCCCTGACACAAGGGCCATGAAATTCACAATTTCTGAAGTGACAGCCTTGCTCATAATAACTATATACTAAGTTAGTTTATTTAATAGCAAGGAGCAGAGAAGAAGATTTTCAAAGAATCAATGCATTTTCACTATATAACCGATAAAGCCCCGCCCTAACACCAGAACCCCTAATCCTGGGACAATGAAATTCACAATTTTTGAAGAGGTCGCCATTCTCATCAAAACTATGTACTTAGTTAGTTTATTTAAAACCCAGGAGCAGAGAAGAAGATTTTCAAAAAAAACATTTTCACTATATAATCAATAGAGCCCTGTCCTTACACCAGAACCCACAGGGGGCATGAAATTCACAATTATTGAAGAGGAACTCTTGCTCATCATAAATATGTACTTAGTTTATTTAATTCCCAGAAGCAGAGAAAAAGATTTTAAAAGAATCAATGCATTTTCAGTATATAATCAATACAGCCCAGCCCTAAAACCAGAATAACTGACCAAGGGGCCATGAAATTCACAATTACTGAAGAAGCAGCTATGCTAATCATAACTATGTACTAATACCCATGCAGAAAAGAAGATTTTCAAAGAATTAATGGATTTTCACTATATAATCAATAGAGCCCCACCCTAACACCAGAACCCCTGACCCTGGGGCCAGGAAATTCATATTTTTTGAAAAGGCAGTCATGCTCATCATAACTATATACTTAGCTATTTTTTTTTTTATTCAGATGCAGAGAAGATTTTCAAAGGTTAAATGCACTTTCACTATATGATCTATATAGCCCCATCCTAGCACCAGAACCCTAGACCCTGGGGCCATGAATTTCAAAATTTTGGTAGAGGGCTCAATGCTTATTACATGTACAACCATACCAACAGTTTGACTGCATGATGTCCAGCAGTAAAGAAGAAGATTTTTAAAGATTACATTAATTTTGTTGGTGTTAGCCCCCCCCCTTCAGCCCCCCCCCCCGGGGGGGGGGGGAGGGGAGGTACCATGAAATTCATAATTTTTTTTCCCCGTCACTCATAGATACTATATGCCAAATTGGTTGAAATTGTTTAAGCGGTTTCAGAGAAGAAGCTGAAAGTGTTCAAATGTTAACAGAACGACGCACGACACACGACGACAGACAAAAACAGATATAAGCAATAGGTCACCTGATTGACTCAGGTGACCTAAAGAATGGACACTTACAGGTAACTTAATGGATTGTTTGGGGTGTTAGCTCAACAACAAGCTATAGAATGGACAACACAAACAAAAAGTTTACGTCACAATCATGTTTTAAATAAATGGTTATGTTATAAATTACACGATAATTAGTAGCAATGTAAACACCGTTCATTAAAATCAAAACTATATTACTTAGGATACTAAGCATCATACATACAGGGTATTTACAAAGTTTGATCGAATTCGGACCAAAACTGTAAAAGGAGTATAGCGTTTTGAAAGTTTTACAGATAGTTCTTACTATTTTTTGTTACTATGGCAGAACCGTTCGGTGGGGGAAAAAACGATATGCAAAATAATGTATCTTAGTGTATTCTACATGTGTACCTTTTATTGAAAACAGACCAAATTGAGGAGGAGTATCAATTTGAAACGCAAAGAAAAGACAGACGAACAGACAGACTGACGGACGGATGGAGTACACTTTACAATCACAGAAGTTCTTATGGTCTCTGATCAGTAGAACTTTAAAAAAGAGTTACTGAGCTCAGAAAATGATAAACCCCCCCCCCCCCCCCGCCTCCCAGATGATTCAGTATAATGGTGAAGTCCATGTTTTGCTATGGGAGACCCGAAAAACATGTCCGATGTAAAATTAAAATAGGGGGTCACAATGGCACTACGTAATAAAGATTCTGTGAAAGTATCATTAAATTTTATGCAGTGGTATAGGAGGAGTTGCGGATAAGAGATGGGTACCCTTCAATATTATAGAAAGAATGGCAGTGTCTATGTTTTGCTAAAGGAAACCCGAAATATGAGTCTGATCAAAAAGTAATATAGAAAGTGCACAATGGCACTATGTAACAAGATTCTGTGAAATCTCATTAAATTTTATTCAGTGGTGTAAGAGGAATTGCGGATAAGAGATGTGTACCCCAAAGTGTAACGGACGGGCGGACGGACATCCCCATCACTGCATACCCCCCGCCTTTTAAGCGGAGGAGGGGGTATAATAAGGCCTATAATATATTTGGTCATTTTATGCACTTACCTTCACATTCGGCATCAGATAAATTACTTCCCGGACAATAACTTGCTAAAATTCCACATGGTTCCGGATTTGTACATGTCCTGGTTCTGTTTTTTATTCCATGGCCCATAGGTACAGAGCAAGCAGAGTAGTTAGACCAAGCCGTCCATCCTCCATCAAGGTATTTAGCTAAATAGATGAATGAAAAAACTAATTATCTACTCAGCGGAACCTTGGACATAAAAATCGCGTATATATATAAGTGTTAACATTACATATAGGTATAAACATTACATATTGACTAATTTATTAAAATGATCTCTAATGATTTTATTCATTGTTAAAAAATAACACAAAAATAATGAAGTTTTATGCTTTCAGGTAAAATCAATTTAAGATTTGTTGTCAAAAATGCTTAATTATTTAGATTTCTGTGATTAAAAAAATGAATTACCTTCTTTAATATAGTACGAAAAGGTCGCTATATTCTATAATTAATTGATATATATTAGATCATGGATTTTGGTTCTACAGAGGGTATAAAATCATGAATGATGCTTCGAATACCCCACAATAGGCCGAAGTTTATTCTTTAAAAAATTGTCGACTTTTACAATTATCTCTTAACAATTTTATGACTGAATTCTATAATGTGCATTTTTCTACACCACGTTCATTCCGGACGGCATATGGTACTTTCAGCTTTTCAAATACTAGTATGGACTTTTACTAATTATCTGACTTAAAAGTCGATATTTTAGTATTATAATAGGGTGTTTGTGTGACAAGGATGTAGATTACATAAATATGTATGCCAATTAAGTTAACGAATATCAATGTCGCTGTCGTGTAAAATTTCTGAGTGCTTCGATTTCTGAATAAAAAAAAAATATTTCATAACGTCAATATTTTATTTCTAATGTATTCACTGCTGTTTTTTTTTTTAAATTTTAAATGGACACGGTTTTTAAAAAAAGAAAGTACTTCGTATTTAAACATCAATCTCTTGTATAACACAATCTTTTTACGTATGCTACAATTTCTAATAAAGGAAATTTAAAGCATCTTCTTTTAAATGTCATTACTTGCGTTCTTATCGTCAAAGTCTCCATCACAGATTTTGCCGCCATGAGCAGGTGCTGGCTTGTTGCATTTTCTAACTCTGTAAAACTCTTTGTTCACACAGGCCCAGGACCCCCAAGAGCCCCAGGCCCCATCAACTGTGGACATCAAAACAAGACATTAAACAAAAATAGTTCATCAATACATAATGCGGTTAAGAAAAGGCGGTCAAAAAGTAAACGAAATTATTAATTTGATAAATGAACTGTTACAAATTTTGATTAAGAACTCTTGGAATTTCTTACTGTGTTATTTAAAAACAACAAAATTATTGACCAAATTAAATAAATAAATAATAATAATGATAGACGAACCAGGTAGAAAACAGGTGCGGGTCTCGTTACTGGGACAAGTACAATTGCAAGCATTCCAGTCGGCGATCACACCAAAATCGTCTAGACAGTCCCGGGACCTCAACTGCTCACCCTTTTTACCCCCAGTTCCAGAAACATCGACACATGATCCCCAAGGTGACCATGCAGAAAGTGTGTAATTCGATGGAGCTATGAAAGAAATGAATGCTTTGTTTTTAGAAATATGGCTTTTATTTCAAAAAGTCATCCAATGTTAATCACCTTTTTGTTTTCAGTGCCAAGGAATGGTAGGAGGAAATTTTTACCGTGGTATAATATAACAGATATTCTTTTTACAAATTAAAGAGCATAAACTAAGTTACACCATCATTTTCCTTAAATATAAAAACAACGCAAAAAGGGTTCTGTTCCACCCAGTGAAAAGGTAATCTGAGAAAAACAAATAAAAAAAAACAAATAAATAAAAATAGTACATCTTTATTTTCTTTAAATTCTTTCTTTAAACACAAGTTAATATTCTCTTGAATACTCGTCATGGAATATCAAGGATCTAAATGGCATTCCACCATCACTTGCATGCTGAAGACCATATATTAATTAGCATTTTAGAATTTAAAACTGTGTGTCAAATCAGTGTATAAGTTGACCAGCTTCCTTTCTCCAGATCTGATATTTTCACGTATGTCCCATTGTTAGCTTCTCTGTCATTGTGGATTACTAATACTGAACCCCTCGATCCCTTCTTTTCCTCCACAACAAATAGTTGGACGTCAAGGCTTTAAAGACGGAACGCACTTTACCTTATTTCAAAATACTCTATCCTTACTCCTTTTTTTAATTAAATCTAAAAACTTTTGCTAATGAAATGTCATGCAAATTTTTGTATTCTGATCATATTTCTTTCACCAGAAAAGGCACAAGTTGATCTTTGTGTAATTTTCATGAAAAAAAAAATGATTCGCCAAACTGTACAGCCTTGCTACTCTTTTGCCTTGAAATACTGTCTAACTATTTACATCCAATAATTACAATATACAGACATTATCATGCAACAGTCGTTCTCTGGTTTTTAAGTCTGGACTGTAAGACTTCAGATCATATCTAAAAGAGCGGGGTCGTCTCGTGCGGTAAAAGGCGGGAAACCTCACTCTTTAGGAATTATAAAAAAGAGAAAAAGTCACAATCAAAATAGATCCAAGGGTTCCCCCCCCCCCCGTGTTTGTTTTATTGTTTCGTCTCTTCCTTTGACTTTTAATATTTTCTGCTTAGAACTCTTCAAAACATTCATGTAAAAAACTATCTAGAAATTATGATATTTTACTTCAATCTTTGTTAAGCAGCATTACCTTGCGAAACAACTGACTGTGAAACGACGGTCAGCACAGAAACACAGATTACAATTTTCCAGGCTAATTCCATAATATAAATGTGAATCGCAGTTTAAAATTACATTTTTACAAAATCCGTCAATCTTAAAACCTGTTATTTTACAAACTGGTAATTTTGACCATTTGCAATGCTTTTACCTTAAGCTAAATTCAATACTTATCGATTGTTTGTACAATAATAGTGAATGCAAATTTCAAGTGACTAAATTTGAACATAAAAGCAGTGTGATGCCGAAAAATTCATTTATCAAAACTAAAGCTACTTAGCAATAAAAACAAATCCCCATATACGTAATGAACGTGCAAACAGCTTAAGCTGACCAAAAATTGAAAGTGAAGCTGAAAGCTAATCTCACTACATGAATATAAAAACGGTGTTTATTTGTTCGTCATTGGACCAGTACAATGCAAATGTCCGATTCGCGTCCTCGGGATTTATAGATTTTCAGAGTGGAAAACAATTACATAGATCCGGACTAACGCTTGTTTTTCCAATGTTAATAAAATTGCCACATTTCGCCGTAATGAATTCAATAATAATAGGATGTTTCCACTTAAGCTGAATACCGTGGCCCCTTTTTCCAACCCTCTGATATCGTTAAATTAATCTAAAACTGGATTATTTAACACCTATATACACTACTTTTATATCTTTGTAATACTATATATTGAAAACTGTGCTGAGTTGGGTATTAGATGCGTCTCATTAATAAATGGAGTAGGCGGATCATATTTCAACCTTTAAAACTGGTCCCAAACTTATTTTATACTAACTATATTCGGCCTATATCCATTACAGACCACTCCAACTGAACACCGAGTCATAATTTGACGAGGAACCCCAGGGCCGTCACAGGATTCGGGAAACAGGGGATGAAGGGGGGATCATACAGGCATACACCCTCCCCTACACCAGATTTTTTTTATTCTGGAAGTTTTTTTTCCCCAAAATCAAAAAATATTACTTTTGAAACAAAATAAATTCGTTATTGATCTGTTTAGTAAACAGATCAATAACAAATTTATTTTGTTTCAAAAGGAATATTTTTGATTTTTTTTCTAAAAAAAAAAAACCAGTTAAACATATATTGAAAAAAAAACATCGTATCTTTATTTTAAGATAACAAAAAACAGACTCTGCTCATTGAAATTCGAAAGGCAAATTATGTGCATGATGCTTATGAGCAAAGATCTTCAAAATTATGCATAAATTTCCTTTAACTATTAACCCAGCAGGCACACAACATTGAAAAAAACTTTGAATCAACGTTGATTATATATGTTGATTCAACGTTTAGTTTATGTAAGATTTTGAAAATTGTGTTCAACGTTGAAATCTTAACGTTGATTCAATGTTGAAAATCAATGTTGATTAGACATTGAATAAAAGTTAATTCAACATTGTTGTTTTTTTTTTTTCGGGAGCGGGGGTGGATGGTGATTACTTATTTAAAATTTTAATTTTTTATTAACTAAGATGCCTTCATAACTATATGAAGGAAAACATATATAAATCTATATTGTAAACATTTAATTAACTTCCTATCAATAGATCAGTTACAATGAATTTCACAAAAATACATTTTATAAATTACATGTAATCAGTACAAAACCCAAACATTTTACAAACGTTTTCTATTTTCACCCGTGGTCAAGAAATAGTCCAATACATGAAAACATTCCAAGAAAAGATGTAAATCTTATACGGTAGCCATTTTGATGCACCAGATGCGCATTTCGACAAATTATGTCTCTTCAGTGATGCTCATACCAAAATGTCGGAAATCCGAAATCTGATAAATATTTCTTTTAAAAAATATATTTTTAATTAAATCTTGGTGTTAGAGTCCTGGTGTTGGAGTCCTGAGGGTGGTGTTGGTCTTTGTGGGTGGTGTTGGACTCCTGGGGTGCTGTTGATCTCCTGATTAGTGTTCTCTCCTGGATTATGTTGGTCTTCTGAGTGGACAGATTGGTGCAGCGTTTTAGTTGATTACCCCTACAATGTACAATTTAATATAATAAATATTTGTATAATGAAATATGTTAAAATTGTGTTCAATCTCATAATCTTTTTATTCCAAAATTATCTTTCAGTGAAAATTGACGAAAACTTTAAGGAAGCTCTATACACAAACAAAAAGTGCTTTTTGGACTAATTATTATATATATATTAAAAATATATCATATAAAGGTGTGCATATTGAGTCTGTTTAGTTCATGTTCATCATAGGGTACCTGCCTTATTTCCGCAGGAAAAATGTTCAAAGACAATGGACTACTCGTGAGCAGAAATCACCGTTGTTTACTTATATTGGGAAAATTAATGGAAAAATGAATTCCAATTACTTATTCTCGATCTAATATAATGCTAGGAATATTCTGATCTATTACAAATTGTGTAATTAACTGTAAATAACCGGGGTTTTTTTCTATCTTACTTCTAAGGGCAGATCACTCTAACTGCATAAAACTACCCTATAAGTAGAACTCTTTAGTGTGCAGTGTTTAGAGCTTCCTTAACAAACAATTAATATCTTGCGCTTTTTTCCAAATTATGAATAATCAATCCAAAGACAAATATAATTATTAAAAACGAATTATTAAAAAAATACTTATATGCAAAAATTAGTTAATTTCTTGCCATTGCAAATGATATTTATCAATAAATCTTTAAAATGCAAATTTTTAAAGTGTAATGAGAATGGTTAATGCACTGTACCATTTAATTTCCATGTGTTAACATTCATCAGCTGCTTAATTTGCTGGAGGCTGTGAGGTGCTGGAATGTCCTTCATTTACAAGGTACATCTATATCATTGTTTGGCCGTGAGATTAAATCTATCTCTTCCATTTCTTTATAAGCCATGCCTACTGTTCACAAAACACAAAATAAAATGAAGTAAATTGAAAGTGTAACAGGAAAGTAAAGAAAAAAATTGTTAAAAGCTTGTGTTGCATCAAAGCAAAAGACTTACACATGAATTTCTCAACCCAAACTTGTGCAGCAGTTCAATATTTCACAAAACACCTGGGCGTAGGAACCGAGGGGGGGGGGGGGGGGCGATATGTAGATTACTATAGTAAACATAGATACTATTTGCCTTGTGCCCCTCAATAAAAATCTCTGATGACATTTTATTTTTTTTTTTTTTTTTTTTTGCTTGTCAAGGAATTTTGGTAGTTGATGACCTTTTTTTTTTGCTTGTCAGGAAATTTTTGGTAGTGCCCCCTCAACTGTCGACTGAAAATGTATGGCTGTGCCCCCCAAACTAAATTTGCTTCCTACGGGCCTGAAACAATTATTTACAAGAAAAACTCAAATCCAAGACATGAAAAAAAAATCATTAAAAGAGGAAATTACTTTTAAAATAATGATTTACTCATCAAATAAAAAAAGGGGGAAAGGGATACATGTATACTGGAAAACAGACGGGGAATTCCTGACTGCAAACCCCCCCCCCCCCCCCCCCCCCAGTAAAGCTATACAAAGACAGATCCATAAGAATCTGAAAATAAAAAATTCAGGGTTCCTTAAGATGTTACAGATGTGAGAATGGGATGTAAACGGGACTCGGTGTGCCGTGAAAACTGCCCGAAAGCTTTCGGTGGAGATGGTAGACTTCCCCTTTCAACACTGTTCAACATGTTCAAGTGGCCACCCCCCCCCCCTTTTTTTTTTTACAGAATCTTTGATCCGTTTATGCTATATATCCTAACACATAACATACACAATATGTAATACTCTCAAACTATGAAGAGCAATTAACCAAACTATACAATGGAATAGTTTTCAATATGGTCTTCATGCATTCTTTAAAAAAAAAAATATTGAACTGAAATTGGCGTCAGTTGGAATTCGAAAACATCCATAATCACGAGCAATTAAGATAAATGCCAAATCGAGTTATATTTTTAAAATCTTAAAACAGCTGTATATATAAAATCTTAAAATTATCAAAACTTACCAGTAACTGTTATCCTGTCTTTTTGAATATTTTCCTGATGTCCTACTGCGCATGCTCTTAATTCGTACATTGGCAAATTCGTACTGAATTCATATTAATCACTGAATTTGTAAAATACATATATTTACCATTCTTGTTTGTTGTAATAGTTATTAAAGTCGGTAGTGCGACTTTGTTAAGTCCGACCTCGTTATGGTCCGACAATGTTATAGTCCGACATTATTATAGTCCGAATTACTTATCAGAGAAAAATAGGATTCCCGCTCAACGAAGATCCGACGTTAAATCAATGTTGGCAATTCAACTCAATTTGAATTCAATGTCGAATCAACGTTACATTTTCAACGTTGAAAAGTCAACGTTGAATCAAGATTGAATCTAGATTTATCAACGTCTAAACACATTTTCAACTAATATTCAACGTTTAAACAACGTTGTGTGCCTGCTGGGAAGATTCTTGCCAAAGAACATTTTAGTTACAACGTGCATTAGCATACTAACAAACAAAGAAAAACATTTTATTGATTATATCTATGCCTGTATAAATAATCATATAAAGTAGAATATCTTATTATTGATATGTACCTCATTGTATGTAGCCACTGCACGAGAAATCTAAAAAGGCGGTTTACTTAGAGATGTTATAAAATAAAGGAGATTATATTCAGTGGATGTAAATTTTAATATTTTAGGAACTTAAAAATCTCAGAGGGTGTATAAGTGACGAGGAGATGTGAATCAAGACATTATGTTGCAGGCGGTACATTTTTCCCGAAACATCTGTATATTCGTCTTTGGGATTCCTACCCCCCCCCCCCCCCCGACAGGATGTTGGGGTATGAAAGATGTTTATTTTTATTAAATTATAAACTTACTTGCTAGGTTAAAAAACACGTCTATCTCAAACAGCAGGAACTTTAAGCTGTCATCTTCAACCAATTGTTTTGATCAGCTCCACTCCAGGAAGGTGCAAGCGTATTAATTGTATTGTAAGTTTTCTGTGTCTATCTAAATACATTGATTATTCGAAATTAAAAAAAAAATATTTCTACATTAATTTTCTTTTATATGTACATTGAAAAAAAAAGTGATAATATCATGTTTTCAAATTTTAACAGAGACATATATCTCTTATTCTAATCAATGTATTTACACAAAATACACAGGAACTTGGCACGTCAAATATCAAAATCGTGAAAAACGCCCGGAAAACGTCAGATATTTCGGACTATCCTCGCTGAAACAAGCCCCTAGGTCCTCGAGGAGTGGACACTTGGTTAGTGATGCGTTCCCTGTCTAAAATACTAATTTATAAGAGCCAAGATCACATGCATGTGTATCATTTTCTTAAAGTGATATTTCATCCGTATTTGTTATTTTTATTCGAATCCTGGAAGACCTTGGCTTTTTTCAGCGGTGAGCTGATAACTCAGTGTGTACACACAGGTCACGTGCTACCCACATTAACAACAACAACAAAATCAGAATTTTGATGTAATTTGTTCCTTAGATTAGAGGTCAGTGTTAGCTTAATGACGCGCCCTCAATTTACAGAATGCTGGTAACTCGACATAATTTGATCGGGATCGGCCTGCACATACGACAGTCCTTGGTAACCAATAAATGAAAAAAAAATATTTTCATTTTAGTGTATTCATTCAAATAAAAGACCTTTTGCTGTTGTGAATGTTTTGTAAATATATGACATTTGTTGCCGTGTTAAGAAAGTTAATAATCTCTCTGTGTTTGGTTTCTTTGATAAACTTTGTTAATTTATAGGCAGATCTTCGCATCTAATGTAAACAACATGGCGGTCATAACGCGGGTTCCTGAGAAAAATCTTTGGGAAGAAATATGTAAAGGTAAAAATTTTAGACTTGTCTATTATATTTCGAACAATTGAATTGAAGTGAATCAAGCACAACCAATTTTTCTGTTATATTATCCACCATTTGATCATATTGAATGTTGTTGAAACCTAGAATTCGCTGCAAGATCAGCTCCAGCACGGTCTGAAGATGAAATGTCAGTCAAAACAGAGTATCAGGATTTTGATCCTGCCAAACATAATCCTGTTTTCTATGGAAAGATGCATGAACGAGTACAAGTTGACGCTGATGTGATGAAAGATGCAGATGTCTCTGCCAGTCACCCGTCATGCGTGGGGTACACATTCACTGATAAACCTCCTGAAACTCCTCAATCACCTCCCCCATCACCACCTCATAAAGATACATGTAAGTAAAGAATACTGATGTGGTATAGTATTGGTAAGGTTATGTAGAGAAAATGATCTTTCTTTTTCTTTAAAAATGTTTACCCAATATTTTAAGAAATAAGAGAGAATTGCTCTTCAAAAAATCTTACTTTGAACTTTTGGTTTACTAAGATTGAAACTGCATTGATTTCATTGGTTTATCATTATATAATTGATAATGTATACTCACATAGGCGTTGGAAGCAATATGGTAGGGGGGACTAAACCAGCAAAAAATTTTTGGGAGGGGCTAAGCCCCAATTTTCAATGCCTATATTATGTCTATCTTTGCAAAAAAAGGGGGGGGGTAAGCCCCCTCCCCCTGGTTCCAACGCCGCTGTTTGATTACGATACTTGAATCCTGAGTACCTTATGGTTGGCAGAAATTGCTGGGTTTAAGTTCAAGTCTGGCTCATCTTTTCTCTACATGATACATTTACTTGCTTAATTAAAATGAAAAGGTTGTATGGAAGATTTTATAAAGTTTTCAGCTTGAAAAACCTCACAAAAAATGTTAAATGTTAAAGCACACTAACCTGGCAGCTCAGGCAATAAAACCACACTGTTAGCTTGAGGTTACAGGTTCAAGTCCCATTTTCGCTGATAGTTTTTTTTATGTCTGATATTTTAATTATTTCTCAGGTACACCAAGGGAGTATTTAGAACATTATGTTTTTCCTTGGCTATTGCCTGCATTAGAGGATATGCTAAGACAGGCAAAGAAAGAAAAGTGTTTAGAAGTAAGAATTTAAAAAATAAACTTACTTACCTAAATTTTGTGAAAGTTGTCAATGGATTTTTTTTTTAATATTATAAAAGTATTACTGTAATTTTCTTAAATTGCATAATGATTGTAATGTTTTATTGAAACTTGTATCAGTATTTCAAAATGATTATTGTCTTTAAATTTCCAGAGAAAAAGAACAGCTTTTAATGCATTAGACTACATCACAGAACATTTGTACAGGTGAGCATTTTTAAATTTATCATTGACTTTGGAATTAGATATTGTTCATTTATTTTTACATTTTTTTTTGTATTTCAGAATTCTTAGTTTGATGAGCACATTTTTGTCTATTTTTAGAAATAATCCTAAGTATGATGACAGACAAGACATCAAGTTTGAGAAGATTCCTTTTGTTGCAAAGCATTGGGAAACTCAGTAAGTGTCATGTTCACATGATGTGAAATTTTGAAGGAAAAAAAGGCTTCATGCCAGAACAGTTAAAAAAATTAAATATATGATTTTGAAATAGGAATCATACAGTTTTATTATTAAAACTCAGAGAATTATGCAATGATAAATTCTTTTTCACAGCATTCATTCAAATTTAATTTACTGTATACAGGATTATTTTCGCCCTGTGTTATTTTTGCCCTCTCTCACTTGCAAACAATTTTGCCCCGTTTCAAATTCGCTCTGTCACAGTTCTGTTTAAGAAATTATAAAATGTTATATTTAATTCGCCCCGTTTTAAATTCACCCACCTGTGAGTAGTGAGAAGGGGGGAAAATAAAACGGGGGCGAAAATTTCCCTGCATACAGTATTTTAATAGGATGATACAAGTTTTTGTTGCTTGTCTTTCTTTTTTTAAGGGGGTGTTTGTTTGTTTTTGTTTGTACAAGTGAAATTTATTTCTTGTAATACTTGATTTGGAATATTTACTACAATTGATTTCTCACTTGGCAGCCCCAGGCCTCCACTCCCACTTTCCCTCATTTGGACCGAGGAGGAGGCAGCTTTGGTCATTCAGTCACAGTGGAGGGGATATCTGGTCAGTTATTGTAGCTATCATTCTAACAATACACTTTTAATATCGTTAACATTTATTCAAGAGCAAGATCTATCAGTGAGTTTCACAACCTTCTTTTACTTGGAAATATTTCTTGCCATGAAACATTTATTTAATTGTGTGTTTTTTTTAATGTAGAATGTCTCCTTGGTCATGAAATGGTAAAAAAAAAAGTTATCACGAATTCTGTACTTTTTTCAATGTTGGGTTAATTTATGCTATGGACACAGTCACAAATTTTCTGCAGAAATTTGTCACAGTGTACTTAAAGTGCATTTAAGATAAAGAACTGTAAACCAAGAAATCTGTGTACTTTCCTACCAGTAGATTGAACAGAAATTGTGATTCTGCAGAAATATGGCCCAGTGGAAAGAAGTACATTTCCAGTAATAGTTGGTTTACAATATGAAACCATGTCAATATTGTTTATCAACACATTGAAGAAGTTGTTCTGTCAACAGACTTCTATAGAAAGAGCTTATTACAAAATAGGCATTACAGAAACTTTAATGTGCACATTTCTTTATTATTTGTACTGTATAGGTAAGAAAAGATCCTGAGGTTCAAGAATTACGACAGTGGCAGCGAGAGTGGAGAGAGGAAAACGACAATATCAACCAGCGAGTCAGTGAATTCTGGGACAAAAAGATGCCAGACTGGAAGAACCCCACCCCTAATGCATCAGAGGACCAACTCAAAGTGGAAAATAAAGAAATAAAAGTGGAGTCACCCACCAGACAGAGCTAAAAATATCCACAGGAAAACTGGATATGATTGAAATGAAATATTGTTAACTTGACAAAAACAACAAAAAAAATTGCACTTAGATATTTACTGAAAATAAGCAAGTGAATGATTTCAGTTACAACGATCTTCAGAAATCCACGATAACTGAAGATTTATTTAGTTGAAGTAATAAATGGTTCAGTACTCTGTGGAAAAGTGAAAAAAAAAGTTAAGCTATAAATATCATTTTTGTATCTGTGATAATACAAATACTTGTGTTATTGTTGTGAAATAATGTTACATAACAAAAAAAGAATATTTTTGTTTAAATTTGTTTCTTATCCTAAACAGGTTTAGTGGTACATGCCAAATATTTAGGATAGTTCAAACAGTAATTTAAAAAATAGTGATTTTCCTGCTTTTCTGTCTTAAAATACAGATTTAATAAAAATCAAAATTAGGAATCAGTGGTGACTGAATTGAGATCAGTACAAGTCTCACCATAAAGGCATACTGAAAAAGTATTATATTCAGTAACACCTGCAGTGAGTGTTGCTAAGATATGTTCTTATGTAAAGGCATTGTTTTTTTTATGGATGTCAGAAACACACTGTGTCTCAGGGTACACGTATTTACAAAGCAAGACTTGATCATCATAACTTATGGGACTTCCTTGTATTCTGCAGCGAATCCTTTCCACGCCACTGTGCTATCAGTCTTGAAAACCATTATCAAAGTGTCCGATGACGTCACAGTTTTGGCTGGGATCTACAATAACAATTTTTTTCCACCAATAACAATTTTACCTAACACCTGGAACAAATTTCCGCCAAAAAAAAAAACATTACCAGTTCCAAACCCATCCAAAGTGTATGACAATTTTCTTTAAGTTCAAATGCAACGTAATGTACAAAATATTGTTGTAGTAATTATCAATAATACTCCCACAACGAAAAAAAAAGAAGACAAATGAGTTACCTCTACATCACAATAAGCTCCTAAAAGCTTGGATTTTTCCTTTATACCGTCATACAATTCAACAACATCGTACCTATAATGCAAGTGTGTTATTAAAATACGTTTTCATTTTAATAATTATTTTTAGAATCGTACCTATTATGCAAGTGTGTTGTTAAAATACGTTTTCATTTTAATAATTATTTTTAGAATGTAAAATTCAGTGAAATCGGATGATAAAAGAAAACGTAATTAATTCTTTACCCGCATTCTTCCTTGCCATCTTCTAGATCGAACACGGTAAACTCGAGACTGACTTTGGCCCCTGGGGAAGCCTGGATACTCCACTGACACTTTTCATTGTTGGGGTAGTTTTGATCACCATATTTGGCGTGGGAATAAAAGACCTTCGCCTTTGAGGTCGCGTTCAGGTTCCCTCCACAGACTTGATTAAAGAAATCAAATGCAAAGATTATGTTCTGCTCGACCAAGAAGACTATACTTCGACAGGAGCGTAAAGTTTTATTTAATACACCAGTAATACGAAATGTAATTGTGTAGCCAAAATCAGTACTTGACAGAAAAAAAAATTTAATACGTGTTCTATCATATTCTTTCATACGTCTCTGATTCTATTTATTTACTGTTGATTATATATACTTCTAGTTTAATGTTAAAATTGACACCGAGAACAATTACATTCATTGATTTTCTCTCATTTTACCCGAAGAATAGCTCGCTTGAAATCCTTTTCTTTGGACCGATCCATCTGATTTGAATTTAATGATCATCTCCTCTTCCTCCGATAAGATGTAAGCAGGAACATCAGATATGCCCCCGCAGAATTTTCCAAAAAGATTCGTAGGTGTGGTGAAAACTTCAATATAATCGTAAAGACATTGATCATGGGGTTCTATGGAGAATTCATCGAATGTGACCTTGACCCGATGACCTGGGGCTGTCTTAAAGTTCCACTCGCAGTTGGATTTGCTGGGATAGAATTTGGGCCACAAGGGGCTTACTACTACACCTTTATGATTGCGGAGATAATGTCTACAACCTTCAGCGTCTGAAAAAAAAGTATGTCCAGGTGTCAATTTTTTATTTCTATTACTAGTCGGAATCGATTCTAGGTACCTGTAATCTTTCAGAAATACATCAATCTATATTAACGATTTTTATTTTAAAAATCAAAATCTTGATTGTAAAAATGATTGTCTTTGGCTCTTGTTACATGCTGTTCCTTTTGTCCAGAAAGTAATAGTAATCTAACCTTCCTTGCAATCATGTTTATTTTCATGAAGTGTGTAACCGTTATGACATGCGCACATGTAACTTCCTATTGTATTTATACAGAGGTGTTGGCAGCCACCCTTACGTATGGCACATTCGTCCTTATCTACAAATAAAACGATAACGTATAGCTATCCATCCTAAATTTGCATCAACAACTGTCAATCAGAAAACGGCGATACACATGATTGCATACATTACACGATTCATCTAAATTCAATTTCCATTAAATTGAACATGAAATTTCAAAAAAGTCGGAGCAAATTTTTTTTATTAAGAAAATGGAGGATGTCAAACCAATGAAATATTCTGCCTGGAAACCAGTGTTCTGGACGGAGTCGTCGGAGTTGAACTTGATTTGGAGTGAATTGGACTCGGATGTGATAGTGTCCGGAAGCTGTTTCCCACAGAATCGGCCATAAGGTTTATTGTAGCCATCTCCACTGGTGATTTCAACATAATCGTACTCACATTCTTGCTAGAAAATGAAACACCTACGTTATATCAATATATTACTGCATTACAAATTATTGACAAAGATTAAATTTAAAAATATGAATCCACATATATTCAAAATCATCATCTGGACATACATGTACAAAATTTAATAGTGATGTTCGGCTTATTTCTGTTTAGTTTAAGGCATGCTAGTTTTTCTTACCATCCACTACAACAAAAAAATTGAGCAGACATTATATTTGTGAACAACTTTTGTGACTCAAGGAGACATCATACATTTGTTCCTTCAACATCAAAATGAGTGAAGTTGAGTGAGATCTTATACTGGTCTGGGGCCATCACTTGCCAAATGCACGTCTTGGAGGGAGGATATGTATCCGGAAAAGAAGGACTGAAGATTGTCCCTGCAGCCTTTTCCAGGTAACCACCACAAGCATCTACAAAAGTAAAGAGTCTGCGAAATGTTTTCCCATTACATTGTTTGAAAATAGACGTGACCAATCTGCTAATAATTTGTCCCACTGCTCCTTAGTAGTTAATATATACAAGAACAGAGCTGTATGTGCATTTATTCCGCTACTTTTTTTTCTTTGATTGTGTCATAGCGAGCAACATTTGTAAAAGTTTGTTTTCCCATTTGAAAATATCCTCCATGCAACTTAATGTCCAATCCTCTCTGAGGATAAGCTCATGCAAATATCATGAAAAATTACTGACCTTCACATTTTTTGCCATCAGAGTGAAGTTCGAATCCCAGTTTACAGTCGCATTTATAGCTTCCCATAGTATTGATACAGATCTGTTCACATCCATGAGTCCCCAAAGCACACTCATCAATTTCTTTTTTGCAAAAAAGGAGACATTTTTAATATGCATTTTCAATTTATTCACTAACCACAGCATATTTACAAAAATAGCAAATTATCTACTCTGCGAAAACAGTGACAATATAGTATGGAAGTTACGCAATCTAATTCAATCCGCTCACCTCTGTGTAGGTGAGCGGATCAAAGGATCTAAATTTAATAAAATTAGAATGAGTAATATTACCTTTAAAAAATTTCAAGGAAAATCCTCTTTTCATTACACTATCATCAGAAAAGAATTTTATATAAATTTGGTTAGATGTGGACAAGATTTCTTTAGGTGCAGAATATCCACAAAGTAGTGCCAAAATAGGAGCACTCTTGTCGGTGCCATCTCGTACTTCCAAGTGATCATATACACAGTCGTCGTGGTTTTCAATCTTGAAAATAAAGATTTCATGGGGATGAGAATTAAAATAGTGTAAGGTAAGATCCTGGGGAAATAAGAACTATTTAACCATGGACTTGTATGGAAAGTGATAAAGGAAACGTAGAGAAAAACATCAGAATCTTCACGAGAAAAAAAGAAGTTTCATCTTAACATGGAAAAATGTGCTCACATCTAAATAATCAAATTGAAGAGCTACTTTATACCCTTCGGACACTGTAATCACCCATTCGCATATTTTGTTAGCAAGGTATTCGTCAGGGTAATTAGGGCTGGTCAAATGGCCGGAATCCTTGTTGATCAAACCGCCACATTTTGCTGCAGAGGCAAAAAAAAAGTTTGACGTAATAGTACATGTACCTTTTACGATGAGGAAGGTTTATCAGGTACCTATCGCGTGATTTTTTTTACCTTCAAACTTTGCTACAAATCCTGAATCTTGGTAATAACTTGAGTGGAATTCTAACCACAGTCTGTTCCCTGTGGATTCAACGGGTGGAGGAACCGTTGTTCCGCAATAGCGGCCTGGCATGCAAATGGATTTATTTAATTAATAATGCATGTTACTCTGAGTAAATTACAGAAAGAATACTTAACAAAGTAATTAAATAAATTTGAAAAATATGTTCTAGGAGTGAAGTCTACCAAGTAAAGGCGACATCTTGTAGTGTCCGTCTCTAATTTCGAGAAAGCTGTTCGAACACACGTCTGAGGTGTCCACTGTAACAAGTGAGGTTATGTTCAGGATGATTACTTCGCCATATGCCGCCGTTATCCGCCACTGACACTGTTTGACTACACCTCGAGTTGAGTTAAACGATATGGTTCCCGAAGATTCTAGGTGGGTAGCTCCACAAGCTTCAATATTTAAAAGAAACCATAGCATACTCTTAGAATTAATTGCTATTGTTTATCAAATGCATATGTTTGATCTAACGGTTTAATAAGTTGTAAGAAATGATGTTTAAGACCCATATAGAAAGAGGAAAATCGCATAAAATCAAACACATGTCATTAATAAAATTGATGAACAGAGATAGCTTTAGGTTGTTCGTCATCTCATGTATCCCGGGAACACTTACATGGACATTTATAGAGCTTATTAGTTTGTATGATATCTCCAATACTTAGACGCTGCCTTTGACCAATTTCAGGAACTGTTTGGTTTTGTTGTGGTATAGGTTTTATTGTATCTAAGTCAGTTGTTCTTGCAAATGTGTTCCTGGCATAATGCATTATGCTAGAGAAATCATATTCCTCGCCGAGTGAGTTAATCTGGGATGTTGACATCTTTGCAAAATTATTTTCATGATCTGAAAGGACAAATGCCTATATATATATATAAATATATATATATATATATATATATATATATATATATATATATATATATATATATATATATATATATATATATATATATATATATAAAATATCAGATTAAGCACATTCAGGAACGAGGTACATGACTTACTTTCTTGGATATTCTGTGTCAAAATTTGTATGTATTTATCTCTATCCGGGCGCGTGTGTTCGTGCCAGAATCCAATCACATGACCCAATTCATGAACAACAATGCCAAGTTTATCACAATTCTTCCCAATGGAAATTGCTTGCGCTCCTCGCAATTCTCTCCCAACAAATGAGCAACACCTTCCAAAGACAAATTTATCATTGAAAGAGATCATACTGTAAAGTTGAATAGAAATATCAAAGTAAGAAAATACAATTTCTCACCCACATGGTCTTTTTGTGAATACGATGAAATCGGGTTCTGTTGTTCGTTCTACGAAGGTGATGCAAGTATAATTTTCCCAGTGGCGCATAGCAGATATAAAGATGACCTTTTGGAAAGCTAAGTTTTAATGTACAGAACTTTCATTAATCGGGACTTGACAAGGACAAAAAGACATTTAAGCTATTTATCAATGTTGGTTGGTACTATCATATCAATTTCATTCTAATTACTGGTTGACTCTTGACAAATTTGACAGATCTCCTAGTATTAATTTGAATAGTTATAATAAATTCCAAAAACTAGCTGTTAACACAGAATTATGGAATGAAAACATTTATGAAAGGGCGGTACATGTACACTTCATGCTTAATGGGTTAGATTTATTTAACCCTTATCACATCATAGACGAAAATATTAATATTTGTACGTTAAGAAGATGGGTGAACATGACGAGCGAAAAGCCTATAGTGTGACAAACATGAAGGTGAAAATTTAAATCTCAAAATTTTCCTTGATATTTCATCTAACTTAAAACATACATTATGTAAAATCTCTACAATTTGCAAAAATCTCCCAAAGATTGAAATTATTTGCTTATGGAATATTGTACACACACTGAAGAGGGCAAAAAGAGTCATTTTCTCATACTATAACACTATTTTTCGATATGAGTGGGTCTTCGCTCCATTTTTTCGAAAGTTAATCCTCGAAGTTTGCATAAAAATATACATTTTTTTGGTTTCCTAAAATATGGAGCAAGGACCCACTATACCTTAAAAATATACTTTTATGATATATCATTCGCATCTTTTCGAGAAATACTTGAAGTCCATTAAGTCAAGGGTCATATCACAAACATGATTTAAATGCCACTAATCATCAGGACTTGCGTAGTCTAGAGGAAAATTTTCCTCAGAAAAGTTTTGTTTATCATAATTTCATAAATTTCAATTATGAGAACTTTATTCTAAATACTGAATTCATAAATTGATCATCATTATTATATATCTGAAGCTATAGGCTTTCTGCACGCTATGTTCGCCCATCTCCTTTGATATTCCTTTTTACACATGCACGATATACACAATACTATGATATACCAGTGAAGTTTGAGTCTATTTCATACGGAATGACGCCATGTTGCCAAAGACGGGCTGGGTCGGCTGTTGCTGCTCGACGTCTCCGGAAGTTTCGCGGGTACATCCGGTGTGAGGGTATATATCTACAAAAACAATATTCCAATCTACAGAGCTATTTCCATTCTGCCTAACACTGTAGTATGCATATAGAACGTTTTCAAGACGTCTTTTCCTGTAATACATTGGTATGTGCATTCAAAGCATTTTTTTCTGATTGAAGTTGAAAAGTGATAATAAAGTTTATAAAGACTGAAGGAAGATCTGAACAATTTATGTTGAAATGTTCAAAAGGTTTAGACTACAAACATTTCTAAGACCCTGATTAATACGTATGGGAACACTTTTTGTGATATTGTAACAAAAGATTTTATACGTTGTATGTTTCAAGATACATTCAGTTGAGGGGATGGGCTTCTTCGTAGATTAGACAAAAATGATATCAATGCCAGCTACAAAAAACTATTCTGTGAAAGACCTATCCCCAAATTTCAAGAACTGTTGATCTCAACTCCACATGGACTGCACAACAATTAATACATTTGTACTTCAAAACAGAAAACATGCCTCTATTAAAACCCAGTTCATACAGTTTAATGCTCTGAAAACTATACAAGCCCTCACTGACTCATGCGAAAAAACAGGGGTAATAGTGTCTGGTTCTCTTTCCCTTTCAAATTAAAAAGCTTCCTTAGAAAACCTTAAAATTCTTTTCAGCAAAATGGACATTGTTTGATTAGTATTTCAATTAGTGTGAAACAACAGGGAGTGTTCTGTTAAGTCTTACGGAATCGGTCGTCTGCTTTGACTTTGGCGGGAACGCAGCAAGTTTCTGTAATAGGCTAGGCCTCCAGAATTGCAGGCAATGTCCGTAACACGGTATTCTTGAAAAAAGAAAAGTATTGAAAAAATATTACAAAAATACCATTTTATTAAAACTGGTCAATGTATGCTGCTGTTTTCTTGTGAGGATGTTTTCTTATAGCACGAATACTCAATATCTTTTTTTGTTTTGAAGTATTAACACACCTGCTGTGTCGTTAGAAATATCTCTGTGATGAAATATTAATAAAAGATGCATGTTTTTTTATAGCAATAAGAGTCAGAAATACAAAACATTTCTGTTGTATTATTGTCAAGTTTGATAGGTAGGAATAAAGTACCGAATAATCCTCTTTTCTAATTAAAAAATATTTGACTTCTCTTTAGAATTGTAAAATATTTTATAATAATATTTCCTGGATTCAAACTTTGATCAGTTTTTAATTACAGTTTAAAACATTGTTATTCATCGAGAAAAAAAATTCAAGTGGAAATGAAAGAAGGAAGTAAATATTAAGTATATAGCTGACGTTTAAAACGGCTCAGAATAATTTAGTAAAATCACTTTAAAAGCCAAATATCAATAATCAAATTCTCTAAATATTCTTTTCTTTTTGTCACCCCCCCCCCCAAAAAGAAAAATTAAAAATTAAAGCTTTTGTATACAATACAATAAATAAATAAAAATTGAAAATATCAAACCTGCTTTGCTTGGATCCGCATATTGGCCGCTGGAAATGACATCAGACCACGCAGAACCAAAGAAAATGACAAAAAATACACAACACAAGCCTAAATCCATAATGAAGCCCCTGTCTCTCTGGAATTACATTTAAATATTGATGCACCCGTTCATCCTACAGAAGGATCTCGTAAACTGATGTCAGAGCTCGGCAGCCCTCGATTTCAGAGTGTCCTTGGCAAAGCTTTTTGCTGTATTGAACCAGCTGTGTGTAATATAAATAATTGTAGATAAAAATGAGTTCGGGCGCACATGCCTTCTATCTCAAATCACACAATTATCACAACCGCATATTAAAATCTCTTTGAGAGATTCACGATATACGTTTTGGCCACTTTTGATCATTTAAAACGCACGTGGTTAGAGAGAAATTTTACACTCGAGTGAAGGAAATAAAAATCATCACAAAGACTGTAAAAAATATAATGAAGCTTTTTTCCCCTTTTCACTTTGGCTTTTTATCTCTTTCTTTCCACAAATGATTCAACGATTTCATGCCCGTATGCTTGGAAAAAGAATACAGTCCAGAGGAAACGGTCTTTCTCTACAATTCCATTTTCTTGGCATGTGAGATTGCGCATACTGTTCAAGCTAAAGACACTTTATGTATACAGGTTCTCAACTTTGACCTTTTATCTAGTCACAGCAACTTGCAATGGAAATTATCAGAATAAGTGTGAGTGTTAGAACGATATTTTCTATCATTGTTTCGGTTAGTCATTGCATATTCGCTTGTTTCTTTGCGAAACAGAGATATTCCTTGCATTCAATCTGAATTTAATGACCAGGTGGACAATTTCATTTCACCTCATGACCCTTTTTGTTTATTTTTATTTTTCAAATTTATTTATTCATTTGTTTACATATTTTATTTGTTTCTTTAATCATGTTTTGGCTAATAGATAATATTAATGATTTATTTATAATAAATAATATTAATTTATTTCTTCTTGACGAACATAATTAAGTTATAAAGAACACTGATATCCAACATTCTGGAGACACTATATTTTAAGACTTTCATCGACAGTGTGCCGTATACCTATGACATCAAGTTTCAAAAAAGTTGTAAAATATTTAAATTCTATAATGATATAGGCCTAAATATGAAAAAAAAAAAAATGTACGTATTCATGGCTGATGAAATGAATTTGTTCTCGGTATATGAAGAGAAAAAACTACCAGGAGGGAAAGATAGATTTGATACTGCTGTTTTCACCTTGGCTCAAACGGTGAAAAACCGTCTCTACAAATTGTCAGATTGTGCCAATCAAAAGAATATACCGGGCATGAATTAGTAAATACAGCTGATTATATTTATAGGATATATATACAGCAAGATATGTTATATTAAAAAAAAAAGACCAAGATAACATGTATATCTTCTTTACCTCTACTTTATATACATTTATTCTTTCAATAGTTTTAAGTCCTCTTTTTAGCCTTGATTTTGCACACATCTCAGATTTTTTATTTATAAACTTTCAGAAATTTAATCAGCATTTAAAATGTTTCATGAAACAAAAAATGTTTTTTGTTTTTTGTTTTTTTGCAAATTATGCGAACAATTTTACAATCGTAATTTGATTTGTAAGGAGATGGGCGAACATAGCGTGCAGAAAGCCTAACTTCAGATATATAAAAATCATGTTCAATTTGTGAATTTAGTATTTAAAGTAAAGTTCTCATTATTGGAATTTATGAAATTATGATAAACAAAACTTTTCTGAAGAAAATTTTCTCGGCAAAATTTATTCTTTTATTAAAAAATAATGTGGTATTCGTGGGGTTCGAACCCTAGCAGTAAAAATTCTGAGTATCATTTTCTTTCCAGACTAGCCTGCTACATGTAACCACCAGACGACACAAGTTCTGATGAATAGGGACATTTAAATCATGTTTGTGATATGACCCTTGATTTAATGGACTTCAAGTATTTCTCGTAAGGATGCGAATGTTTTGTCATAAAAGTACATTTTTAAGGTAAAGTGGGTCTTTGCTCCATATTTTTGGTAACCAAAAAATGTATATTTTTATGCAAACGTTGAGGATTAACTTTCAAAAAAATGGAGCGAAGACCAACTCATATCGAAAAATAGTGTTATAGTATGAGGAAATTACTCTTTTTGCCCTCTTTAGTGTGTGTATGCTATTTCGTAGGCAAATAATTTCAATTTGTGTCAGATTTTTGCCAATTGTAGAGATTTTACATAAAGTATATTTCAATGTTAGATGAAATATCAAGGAAAATTTTGATATAATTGAGATTAAATTTTTCACCTTCATGTTTGTCACACTATAGGCTTTTCGCTCATCATGTTCACCAAGCTTCTTTATTCTGAATACTCGTACACTTTATTGCTGCCACGAAGTAATTTACTATTATCTAGAATGATCACATTATAGATTGTATCTCTATTTGTAGAATCCTATAAGCGTTCCATTGTCAATTTTAAAGTGATGTAAATGAATTTTTGGTATATTTTCTACACCAAGAAGAGGATCAATGGATACGCTCACACGATGATGTTAGGGATAACATTATATTATCATCATCTATGAAATAAGCTTAATGAATGATAAACAAACTATAATTTGTTCGACAAAAACAAAAAACAAATATTTTGACTGTGCATGTACACTAAATTACATCTGACCGATTTATTACACAGTTTGAGGCAGCAGATTTTTTTTTTTGTTGGAAATATGACGACCGAGTTCTCCGTTGTTGAAGATTGTTTATCATGTCCAATAAAATCAGACACTTCCATTGGTATTATCGTTTATTAATTTTCAATCAGAAGTTGGAAATGATTAATGTCCGTTTTAACTCCTGTTTGAAAATTAATAATCGATAATATCTTGGGTAAGTAAAGAATAGATACATTCTGTCTATCATTTTTCAGTTGCATCACCAGACTCTCCAAATGATATAATTGGCAAATAAAGAAGCCCCTGGACACGTTATGTCAATATTTTAGTTGTTCTACATTGATACACTTTATAAACACTACATTCAGAGGTACAGGGTTAATCTTGAGACGGTTTGATCACTTGCAATAAGAATTTTCTTTACATTTAAGGTAATTTGTACCTAATCAATGAATGGTCCGATTTTTTAATCATGGTAGCATTTTGAAGGTGTTATTAAATAAAGATACTCCACAAAAGGAATTTACAAAATTTTGATCATTGTCCAATTAATTGCACCTTGAAATTTACATTGAAGTCTATGGGCAGCGCAAGTGTTTATCAAGATATTGTAAAAAATTAATTTAACCACTGGTATTTTGACAAAATTAAAAATTTCTTCTTTTCATCAAGGGTATATTACTCTTCAAAAAACGTTTAAGGTGCAAAATGGCCTGCTTCTTATATATTATCAGTCATGTGAATTTGGTTCATTTCACTTTCATCGTTATCTAGCATTGCATATTTAACTAAAGTTTAAAGTGATTCAAAACTGTTCAATATCCCTTCGTTATACATTGAATACCTTAAGTTTATCCCGATGTTATTTAATATGGAATTCATAGTAAATCATTAAACAATATACTTGAAACAAAAATTGGATATGTTAATTACTGAAATCATATTGTTTCTTTCATGAAATAAAGTTTCTTAAAAAAGGAACGTGGATTTCGAATTATAGATTTAATTTTAATCTCACTTGATGTCAAAAGTTCAGATCAAGTCAATTGCTATACTCTCTTTGGAGAAAAAAACACATTTCAAAAATTGAAAGTTTGAGGTGACTGGAATGGAAATTACAAATTTGATTTTTGAAAGATGTTAAGTATGAATTAAAAGTTAGTTTATAAGGCTGAAAAAATGAAGCAAATGAATAACACTGACATTTTGAAGGAAGTAACAATTTTTATTAGTGGAAAATTAAGTATGTTTGCATAACGATTTTCATTCATACAAAAACTACACATATATACACTTCAATTGAAAAACCATTCAAAGATCTATATTTAATAATTTTTTACACATATTCAAGTATAATGGGATCGTGAACTATTTGAACGTTAAGTTAGTATTTCACAATGGAAGGTTCCAGAGGTTTCACTTGTCACTTTGAAACCAATCATGCATGATGTGAATATGGATTCCAGATACATGGCGGGGAAGTCCGGTTTGACCTTTCAACGTAAAGGTCAACAATTTATTTAAAAAAAAACCAAACTACCTGTGAAATCAAAGCAAAAAAAGGTGCAAAGCAAACAAGCGTGCTTACAATGGTATTTACATCAGTTGAAATATCACTGCCATTAGGGTTTAAAAACAAGTTGTCAAATAGATCGAAAACAAGCATTGTGCATGACGCAATGAGAGAAAGAAATGTGAGTGACAATTGGAAAGTTGATATTTCAACTGCAAGTGTTGGTAAGGAAAGTGCAATTCCTAGAGGCGTGTTCCCCTGCACAACGGTGGTGATTAGTCGGTCAAAATAAAGTCTTTAATCAGCATATTTAATCGCCCATCATCAGTTTTAAGAATTCTGGAAATGATATAAGAAGAGTTATCATAAAAAAGCTGAAATAATTCGTAACAATAGCAATGCGCAAAATCATCGAGCGTAACAGCAACAAAAAGATACATAAAACACACAAATGTTAGAACTACTCCTCTGCATATATTTATTATCTTTTTTATCTTTACAAGCAGGTTAGTGCGCATGTGTTAAAACAATATGGAATGATAGGAAGACGTTTATGATCAGTTCACAATAAAACTGCAAAAATGAAAAGGCTAGGGTACGCCGCAATTTCTTGCCAAAAATGATCCAAATTCGTCAGGAGCTGGACGTGTATTTTTGTTTTTTATTCATATGGATGTAAATTCCTTCAAAAATATTGCAAACAGCAAGCTGACGAATGGGACGCGAGCGTACGATAGATTTGTGTTGCCTGATGCAAAAAGGACGAAAACTGTATCCAACTCTCATTCAGAGGTCATCAAGGCTTTGAATTCTGGAAAAAACAAAAACTCATATACTACATAATAGTCATGCATTACGACACTAAGTTACATTCCAAAACAAATCTGTACAAAAAATAAAATAGGAACATCACCATGTGCAATAAGGTTGTTCGAAAGTTTTGAGGGTTCAAGTACACCAACAATTTGTCTACTCTACCAAAGGATATTACATATAAAGATGACGGATACAAGAATCACTTAATCTCTTTCTAGATAGTAGGCTTAGAGTCTGAACTACAAACACAGCAGTCTTTAAATGCAACGGAACACAACTAGCAATCCACTAATCAATACTGAAAATTAGCGCAATACCGTAAACGTATTCGTCTTATTTTTTTAAAACTCATTTGTCTGTTGAATTCAATAAAATATATACCTTCATAATCAACAGTTCCGGAACCATCTGTGTCGGTTTCTGCAATCATATCATCTAATTCCTCTTCCGTGAAATCGTCTCCTATTGATTTTAAAATCCATCGTAGATCTTCTACCGGAATTGTTCCCTTATTTCCCTTGTCTAGTACCCTAAACGCTTCTCGAAGTTCTCTCTCGTCCTCGTCCATCCTTATTTTACGTTCGAACAAAACTTTGAACTGATCCCAATTCAGATATCCTTCAGCTGGAAAAAAAAATATTTTTGTTAATCTTATGTTTGTAAAAATTACATATTATGCAAAATAGAACACACCATTTTGGAAAATATAATTCAATCTAAATGAAATCTTTTAAAATCATATTGAACGATTAATTATCACAATATATAATCCATATGCAGAAGCTTATCTTTTTTCGGAAATACAATGAAGTAAAACAAACATAGGTAATGATTTGGAGTATAAGCAATAAATATAAAAACCAGATTCCTAGGACTTTCTCACTGATCAATCAACATCTTTTCGGAGTGGTATTGCTGCACTGGTCAAAGGACTCACTAAGGAGCTTATTCAAAGTGAGAATGTAAATGTACTAGTAATTATTTCTCAATATTACTTCTGTCAGATCGGAATTTATCTTGTAGAATGAAGACTGCATTAAATATATAATGCTCACTATTACTAGTATGCTAACACTATTAATATTTGTTTAATTCGAATTTTGCGTTGGGGTTACAAAATGTAGAGAGAAAAAAAATCGCTAAAAATATTTTGAAGGGAAAGGTAATAAAAATTTACCTTCTGCTTTTTCTATTGAATTTAAAGAAAGTTTTTTTTTAAATTTTTCAGGGTAAAATGTAAATATTATAGAGATGTTAATTGAAATATAAATATACATTTTCTCTGAGACTTATATTTCATTACTTAAATCAGTAGAGCTTATTCTCTTCCGAGACTTGTAGTTTTTATATCTTTTAAACAATGAATTGGTATCAAAGCCAAACCGTCTGAAGGAGGTTTCTGTCAGTAATTATTTCTATAAATTAGTATTTATTTACAACAGACCACATTTAAGTTATTATAATAGTAAGTTGTTAAATCTGCTCTGTATTTTTACTTAAAATAACTTCACCTGAAAGTTCACATACCATTAATATACTCAAAAACAAGGAAAAAAATCAGTATCATTGTATGTAACTGGGACTCGATTACTTTCTTTGGAAAGTAAAGGATAACTAGAGCTTTGTCTTGATCAGATGATAAGAAGATGATAAACTATCGAGGAAGGTAAGATTGATTTGTAGATCGACTTGTATGAAACCAAGTCTGTGAAGGCATAGTGTTTGACTTCAGTGTGGATGTATATCAAAAATGTTTCAATTTGTATACGGAGTGTACTCTTTCAAAAATTCGGTCAGTGTTTTGATCTTATCTACATAGAACCAATCGCAGCCTAACGTCAAATCTTATAATATCGCACAAAGTCACTACTGTTGATTAACATAATTTTGTTAATAAACCGCGAAACGTCATGCGGTGATTCGAGTGGTCTGGACTCACAACAAATCCAGAATTCTTTATATTGATAAGAACTTGTTTGGAGATTATGAAATTTCGAAACACATGGGGTGAAATAAACATCGAATTGATTTCGTTCAAAGTTACAAAAATAATTATCATTTACGGTACTCTTTGATGGATAACTATTTTTTTTCTAAACCATACGCAAACGACATTGAAAACAGTGATATTTCTCACATTGAAAATATACCAATAGCCGTACCTTCCTCGTCCATTTCGTCAGCCCATTCTTTCAGCTGTTCGTCATTAATTTGAAGGGCTAAACTTTTGAAGACTTTTTCCAGCTCTTTTGTTGATACCCGACCATCGCCCTTTTTGTCGAAAAGGTTAAAAGTATTGTGTGCATCTGCAATAGGAACATTCCAACATGTTTAGAGAATTTGCTTTTTGTTATATTTGAGCTTTGGCAAGGTTTTATAAGAACAAGTGCTTTCGTAACTAATTTTAGTGATGGTACCAATCTGGCTTTGTAAATACAATGTATAGTACAATTTAAACCATTTGCTTATCTAATTAAACACACAGTAAAACCAGTATCACCAGATATACATATTCATTCGTGCAGGAAAAATTGAAACCACGATAGGATATTGTTTGCTTTATTTGCGTTACAATTTGAGAAGTCTTTCTGACTCGTTCAATTTCACGTGCATTTTGTACACATGCAGCACATGTTCTACATTAACCTATCGATGCGTTCTAAGTTAATTACAGGTACTAAGTGAAGATGAAGTTTATCTACATGATCGCTGGACGTGATTTATTTTTCTTTACTTTTTTAAGACATTCTCTGCTGCAGAAAAAAAAATGTTCACCCTAACATATGGCACCTACACTGAAATTTGAATTAAAAGGATGCTCGATTAATAAACTTTGCAAATAATCTTGCGCCAGATGAATGTTTATTCACTTGCAGAGAAACAGATCTAAACAGGATGAGGCAGCAAGTCTGTGCGGATAGCACTCTGATTGACTTGTACACCGTGAGTACGTGCAGTCGCCATATTTGGCTGCGCATGTAGATAGATGAATTTCGAGATCATTCATGATTGTAATTAATAAAGTTACGATAATTTTATACTACAAAAAAAAGAACTTTTATAAAGACTTAAAGTATGTAAAATATCACAATGTTCAGTTTAATTTTGAAGAATGTAGACATATTAAAAAGGTGATATACGTCTACATCTCGACAAGTTTATCAGATATAGAAGGAGGCTGATGCAGTTTAGGCACGTATGATTAATTAACTTACCAGTATATTGCTTTTCAGATATCTTGAATTCCGACTGTAAAAAATATATGATATGTTATTAGTTACTCTATACTTAATTTTTTTTTTTTCAAATTAACGAACCGTTCGGAAAACTAAATATAACTCTTGAAAATAAGACTTCTACTCACCATCTTGATTCTAATATCTCCGAGCTCAGATTAGCAAATTTTTATTTTTCTTTCTCACTGGAAATCGTCTGCTGCGAAAGAAAATACGCATGCGTAGCCGAGTTGTCTTGGAACCCGATCTCTTCTTCTTCCCATATGCCATTTACGGATCGCAGATCACGTGAGTGTCTCGATCATATTTATAGAACAGCTGCGGCAGATTACAAATATCCTTGGTGGCCATAAATAAGCAATAATTATATAATTTTACGTGTCAGGATGCTTTTTCATTCATCGGGGTTAATTTGATAAACGGAAATTTTGAGATGTTAACACTCGCAGTTGTCAAAAGATAATATGAAACATATGTACGCATATATCTACCTAGAAATATATCATATTTATAGAAAAATATGTCCGTCCGTCCTTTTTTGAAATAAAAAATAATTGAAATATCAAGGTCTCGAAAATCTGGAGAAAAAAAAGTCTGTTAGAGACAAAAAGAAAAGGAAAAAATGATATCCAAAATTGATATAGCTTTTAAAATGAATAGAAATAATGTATAAGATTTTATTTCAAATATTTGAAAAAAAAAATGTCCATGATATGTTTTATGAATTAATTGAAACAGATATTGGCCCCTCATCAAATGCATAATGACAAATGAATGTTTTTAAATTGATCCAACGTAGATTTATTCTAGCTTTCAGTAGAAGCAGCCAAAAGTATCTTAAAGCGGTTGCATGCGGATGACTTTAGGTGCAGCATGTAGATGTTACAATGTGAGTAATATTAGTAAAACTTTTCTTGAATCTGATGAAATATCCACGTCTTGTTTGACATTAAAAATAGAGCAATGCACTTGTATTTGACATTCAATGTAGGGTTTGCTTTAAAAAATGAGATCAAGATCGAAAACATCTTGCATTATAATGTAAAAAATTAATATCTCAAGAAAATGAAAAATTTAATGGGTAGAAAAAAATAACGCATTTTACAGTTAGTTATACGTAATAATCATTGTAGGAAAGTGAGTAATACCATAAAACAGGAAGGTTTTCATACCACTGTCTGTTTATCTTGTTATTGTAATATTTGAGGAATGTTAGAGAAAAAGAGAGTAAAAAGAAAGTATCATCGATTTTCCTTCACTCCATTGGTTGATTCTATTTAAATATCTAGATTCACTGACGACGTGTGTTAAATACTCTTCTTTTTCAACAAATTAGAACCATCGCAAGGACAGATTTCCCGTAGTACAGATATTACTCGTGTAATTACTGGGCGCCATTTGTAGATAGGTACTGGCGATAATATCTTTCAGATGGTGAGTGCCGCAATGCTACACGAGGGAGATTTTGGTGGCAACGAGGACGCAATCTGATATAGGGGTTCTTCACGGTATCCCTCATGTAGGTGATCACTAACGCCGCTTCTTCTCTTCTTGTGTAGAGAGCTTGGGATTTTCAGTGCTTTTTGATGAAAATTGCCTATCATCATTATTAGACTTGTGAGAAAAAAAATTGAAGATAAAGAGTTATCTTTCTTGGATTTTTTTCCCCTATAGAACACTGCTTTGACTAAGGAGGACTGGGAATGTACCCTATGTGTGACCGATCGTCGGAGAAGAAATTTTTGTTTATATAATTATTAAATATAGACTACATCATCGAAGTAGAAAGAACGGAGTTTTGTTCCGTCAGCCGTTGACATGGTGAGTATTTGAAATACGCAATACTTCCCGTCTCCCCCTATGCTTTTATTAGTGTCCTCGACCCCATTTGAAAATTTAATCTAATTCACAGTAATTTCAGCTTATCTTAAAGAAGAAACCGATGACTTAGATTAAAATTCAAAAATAATATACTTCTTTTCGACTCTTCAACATTTTTTATTTATTTAAGTCGTGATTAAGAGGGTGTGATCATGCACGAAGTGAGCAAAACATACAATCATTAGAATGTAATTCGATACCTCTGGTATGTTGGTAATCTTCAGCAGCTTGTAGTCAATCTTCTCTCATTAATCAGAACACACACTCGTATAACATATCTGAGCAAGCAGACTGGATTAGCTACATCAAAAGAATACTACTTTAAAGTAAAGAAATGCATGTAATTGTGTTCGATTAGTTTTATGGGTAGTCTCAAGAAATAATGTATTCTATAGAAAAAGTCCGAGGAGGGAACAAATTGAGAATGATAAACTGGTATATATTGTTTTCTTTATGTACAAATCATATTTCAAAAGTTGGTATTTCAAAGCGATGACCACACATGTATTTGGTTTAAGCCTTCGTGTCTGCTCTTAGCTCATTTTCTATGAAGTGGCACTAACCACAAGGTTCCCAAAGAGGAACACGCATAAAGTGTTGATCAATAATGCTTTATATTTTCGGAAAACAGCTAATCACACGAAAGATTTTATTCACTGTTTAATTATGTATGCTGTAGAATAGAGAAAGAATCAAACATTGAGAAATACTCGCTGATTTCTATCATTTAAAGTCTACGTTGTGAAAAATTGTATTTTTAATCAAAGTTAATCTTATTTTACGTTTTTTTTTTCAAGATGCCTTATTGATGCTTTCATGGCATCGTCAAAAAAGAAATAAAGTAAAACTTGATCAAATAACAGCTCTCATTAAATTGCAGTTTTCACAACTCCCTTTCAACCAACGTGATGCCTCTGTGCATTTTTTTTGTCAGACTTTTTTTTTCAAATAGCATTTATTGTTATTTTTCATTCTTTTTTATTGTCAAACTCTTTTTTAAAGAGTATCAATTATTGTGTATTATTAAAGCTGTCAGTGTATTCTTTTAAGAATGTCAGATTGTCTCTTAGAACAGGTTATAGGTTGTAAATCTAATGGTTCATAAACGCCTTGTTTTCTCTTTTCAGACGGAGCAGATTATTACCTTGACAGACGAACAAATAGCAGGTACATGTAGAGTAGGTGCAGAGAAGCACCGGTAATAGAGTCAGCCATTTTTTTGTTCCTCGTATAAAAGCTAATGAGCTTGGTAAAACGCCTGAGCCATTAGAGCAACAATATGCCGTTTAATGAAGTCATCCCATTCCACAAGTAACAATAAGTAAATATTATATGTGGCCATTAATTGTAGAAAATCGTGAAAATTAACGATTTTTTTTTATGATAAACCAAATTACATGTATCTGTTTAGCACGCAGGGTAAAACCTGGAATCACAGCTCGTAGTATTTGCTTATTCGATCCGGCATAATTTTATTTAAATCAATTATTTTAGATTTTATCATTTTCGCCCGCGTTAAATAGAAAATGATATCATAGTACACAGGGATTTCAAAAATAGAATGACGGAGCTTTTATTGTTGCTATTAAGTCTATTTTGGGTCGGCAAGCTGCCAAATTTCAAACATTGCCAAGAGGCTTAGAGCAAATTTAAAAACCGTCGGAGTAGGTCAGTACGCAGTCTGATGAATACATTTCAGACATACTTCTTGTAGAGAAGAAATTATATATTCTACTCATTAACCAAACAGAAACAACCGACCGCAGACTTGTATTGAAAATATACGTGTACTCTTCTTATAGTGCAATTTTCTTTTTCTTTCGAGACTTAGACTGCCATTGTGTTTGCTTAATATCGTTCATTCTTAATGTACACTGGTGCATTAAATTTAGACCTGTTTTACAGTATTGATTTTATTTTAATCATAAATGAATTTCTTGGGTTAAACCTATACTGTAAAAGTCTTGACTTACCATGGCCCATGGATTCTGAACTTGTTTGTCATTGATATAATCTGCAACCAAGAACCCCCCTCCCCCCCAAAAAAGAAGCGTTTTAAAAACTGTACATTCCAAAAACTCAACAATTATTATAATAAGCAAAAATATAAAGCTCTTTCTCTTTGAAAGACCTGAAGTGAGAAATCATATATATTCCAATCATGATTCTGAAGATTTGAATGCATTCAACAAAATATTACTTCAAAAAAATTAGGAAAAAAATCATAATGTTAACATTTATGTTCATAACTTTTAATCTGTATACAATTCTTATAAATTGCAGAGTTCAAAGAAGCGTTTTCATTATTTGACAAAGATGGCGATGGGACCATCACGACCAGTGAACTAGGTACTGTCATGCGCAGTCTGGGTCAAAATCCAACCGAGGCTGAGCTGCAGGATATGATCAACGAAGTTGATGCAGATGGTAAGGATATCGTGCCCGATTTCTTTCTTTGGCTCTTACTGCACACTTTAAAATTATAATACTAATAGCACCTTAGTATGGCGAAAACAGTATGTTGCAGAATTACAGCCCATTTAACTTTAAAAAAAAACTTTAAAGTTTAACATTTTTTCTCCATTTGGGAGAGGGATGAAATAAATATGCAGAAATTCTCTACGGAGAGGACTAAAATAGAATGTGCCGAATTCTATTTACTTTAGTTAATAAAATATTGTTTGAATTTAAATAAAAATCTCCAGATATTGTAAAATTATTTTAGATTGCAAAATTCGTTTATGAATTGAATTTAAAAATTAAGCATTTCAAAATCAGAAAGGTTTCTGCTGAAAGAAAGCTGTAACCATCCTCGCATTATTCAATTATATGAGTCGCTGTGGCTTGGCTGCAATATGAGATGTCTTGCCTCAAAAGCATGCAATAAAGATGAATGATACAAGAAGAATGCACGTAGAAAGAGATGACTGTTCAAGCAGCCTTTTTTTTCTTTTTATTATACATTTTTCTTGCACTATTCATCTTCTATGTTGTAATTTACAATAAGTATATGAATCTCATTAATAAAAGTCACAACGATGACAGCTACAGTTTATATCCCTGCAAACGAAGTTTGGAGGGTATACTGGAATCACCAAGCCCGTCTGTCTGTATGCACTTTTGTCCAGAGATGACTTTGAAACTACTCAGTTTTTTTTCAAACTTTGTAGAGTTAATATATATCTTTTGAATTTGTGCACTTGGTATTTTTATTGATTTGTCAAAAATTTAGAGACAACGTGATGACTTTTTAAAGATTTCATTGTGCTTAACTTCTTAAACAAGAACAAGGCAAGAGGAGTGAAATTCTTGTCTTGGCATAGCTTTGTAGCACAGAAACTTCGGAGGTTTGTATCTGATAGAAAGGTAGCTTGTGACCAGAAATGGAATAATTTCCAAAGGTCATATTGCCCTTAGGGTTGATTGTGATTACTCGATATGATATGATATGACTCTGATCAAGCGTCATTAAGACAAAAGTCAAAATCAAAGAGTTTAGAGAAGTATCTCAAAAATGTAAAATCCTAAAGGCAAACTTTTTTATTGGAGGAGTAGCATAAAGTCATGGTCACATGACTGAGAAGTTATTTTTTTTGGGCCATGTCAGTTTGATGCTTTGACGGAAGATGAATTTTAGTAGTACGGTATTACAACCAGTGCTCACGACCAGAGGTGTTACAGCCGTCTTCCCATCATTACATTTCCACAAGATTCAGGACATAGGAATTTGCAGTATAATTTTTGACAAAATGGTAGCTACCTTTTTAAAAGCTATTTTAATGTGTGCCTTGCGGGGGCATTAGTCCTCCTGGGACAGATCTATAGTGAATTTTCCTTCTTAACATCTTACGACCAGTCCTACCCTCCAAATAATTTAGGTTATGTTTGGATTTTTAATTGAGATTTGATCTGTACCGTTTTAGATGTTTTTCTGTGGGAATCAAAACATCCCATATGATTCAGAAGATAGAGTAGTTTAAAAAAAAATAGTGTTCTGTTGGCTCGAAGACCAACAACACTTATCAATTCTGCAGAGTTTTCTTTTTTTTAAGCAATAAGAGCTGTCAGACATATTTTATACTAGTAAACATATTGAGTGATCTGTCTCATGAAATTTGCTGCTTAATTGTTATAACCTCGCAACTGCAGAGAATTTAGCTAAAAAAAGTAACTAGATGTGTAACGATATTTTGTCCCTAACGATATTTTGTCTCTAGCATGCTGTGAGATGTTTTGCATTGCAATATTTTGTTAATTTCTATATTTTCATCATGATAGCAAAAAAGCTCCGGTAAAGTTTCAATATTATTCCCATCTTCGCAAGGTCTAAAATTCTAAAAAGATACAGTAGAATACAGACAAGAGATAGATACGTGTCTTTTCTTCATGAGAGCAATTAATTTTTATGATCACTGAGTTGTCAACCACAGGTGCCTGAAGTGTGAATTGATACCCCCCATCCCTTTAATAAAAAAAACTGTTAGAGCGTATATTTTCTCAAAAATATCAAATTTCCCTGTCAGTTACATCCGTATGTCGTTCTATGCAAGCAGATGGTTCTTTTTCTTACGATTAGAGAATGGCCTTGTAAGGTATACCGGTAATTAAAATACACGTGTACAATGTATTTTCATTATACTTTACAAGGCCATTCTTTAAACGAAGAAAAAGTACAATCTGCTTGCATAGACCGACATACAGATGTGATTGACGGGGAAATTTTTTATATTTTTGAGAAAATATACGCTCTTAATTTTTTTTTATTAAAGTGTGTCGGGGGGGTGTATCGATCCACATTTCAGGTACCTGTGTTGTCAACTTAATCCCACATTTTTAAGTTCATATGTATGTATATATTTCCTTAACATCTAGTCTACAACTACTAGTTGGCTTTCATGGGTTACCCTTGGAATACAAACAAGTACTATACACCTAATATTTAGGTCTTTCTAAAATTGACTGATTAAAATATTTTTTTGATTATTACTTTTTTGGGGGGAAGGGTGCCAAACATTATAATTTATATCTATATTTTAATATTATAATGTCTAAAATGTACTGTATTAAATGTATGTAGTATACAAAATAGACATGTCCTCCTTTAACTTCGAAATTACACTCCCACACAAACTATCAATCGCAACAGGTTCTTAAAATAGATTTACTTCGTTTATTGCCTGACGCCACGTGCGTCAGGCAGTATAAGGATTAATATTTCAGGGATCCGAAACTAAGCGATCATTCTTAATGAACTAGATTTTCTGCAAGCTGATTTACGTCGGAATTTGTTACCTGCATTTAAACAAATACAGTTTGTAGAAGAAAGAATCATATAACTGATGCAAAATAATGATGTGTTTAATTCCTTCAATTTTTTTGCATGCACATATTTATTCTTTGCGATTCTTTGTACGAACATGTCCGTGTAACATTTTTTCTGCGTTTCTAAACTACTGGATCAGTCCATTTGCCTTCTACAAAAGGGGTGACACAATCATTTCGCGCCAAGTGTCACATGTAAATTATCTTCGCGCCTTTTTCTTGGGTTGTTCTATTGAATGGGTGTGATAACTTCTATGGAAATAAAGTTTATTCTTTTAACATGATTCTTAAGCTCCAGATTTTTTATTAACAGTAAATTTTATCTCATTTTTTAAGAGAACACATTGTATATGGACAAGCAACACTAAAGCAATGAATTTGCTGATTATTCTTACTATTTATTCCATAAGTGGACTAGTCTAATCATAAACAAACTCCCTCCACCCAGTAAATGGGACATCCCTTCTTGATTCTGTTTTCCACCTTTCAACATTACATTTATTAATAATGTACGTTACAAGGTAAGGGTTTTTTAAAAAAGCGTAGAAAGTCAGCGAGTAGCATATTATTTCATGCTTTGTGAGGAACAAGGGTTTCCTTTTAATACAGTGACAAGAGTGTAGGTCAGTACCCGTAGCGGAATGGGCTTCAATCCCGTGAGGTTCTAAGTAAAGAATCGGCAAAATGAAGAAGACATCAATATCTGTACTGGTTTTCATTTCATAAAAAAGCACATTATTTTAATTATGAGAAAGGTCCTGAAATCGAATGAAAAGAAAAACTTACAATTTCAAAACTGTATATAAAGATGTATTTTAAGCTCATTTATAATACATGTATATAGTAAGAACATCATCGCGTGAGTTTTGTCCGGGGGGGGGGTTATTAGTATCTTGTTTTGCGCTAGCTATAAACATGATAAAGTGTAAAGGTTATTTACTTTGATTTCTAGAGTAGCATTGAAGCATTTTTGTCTCAAACACTTCAAGACAACTTTCCCAGTTAAAACTGTTCATAATTTACTACGACGGAAAACAGACCAGTCTATAAATAGAGGCCGTCTCATCAATCTATCACTGACCATGAAGAAGTGCGCCATCTAGTGAGAGAGAACATGTAATATGAATTTCTTTAAAACGAATCATCTAACTATTTTCCCAGAATTATCAGTGGCGGATCCAGGAATTTCATAACGGGAGGGCGCAGTAGAAGGCATGGGGTCTGGGGGGCTGTATTGAAACCCCAGTGGGTCCAGAGCAAAGCTCTGATTCGCCCCCGGAAGATGACGAATTCTTACAAATAAGAGGTGTTTTTTCCTTGATTTTAGGATAATGAACATATAAGTTCTACATACAAAAAATTCAAACGGGGGGGGGGGGGGGGGGCGCACGCCCGGCGCGCCTGTGCTGGATCCGCCTTTGATTATAATCTACGCTATAGCGCACTTGCAGTTTCATCCCAACGTAACTAGTCAGCCCGTGGGCTAACTAATAAATGACCAAATAGTGGCATGTCTCAGATATTCGTTAATTTGTAGTATTTGGTTATGAAATTTGAGAAAGTCAACTGTACATCTTGTATAATGAAGTATCGCAACTATGTCGCTCCTTGATGACGGAAACGTTTAGCACCTCTCCTGCATAAACGTTCCATAGATATTGATTGATTAGTCAGGCAAGCTTTTCAAAAGCTATTACTTGTTATTATAATGTTTGCTTCGTGCTACCCTTGAACGTACGGAAGCCGGTTGGTGCCAGGTAAAAAAAATATTTTATCTGGCGGCCGCCAGATAACTTTCTGGCGGCCGCCAAATAATTATCTGGCGGCCGCCAGAAAAATAACTGGCGGCCGCCAGAAACTTATCTGGCGGCCGCCAGAAAGTTATCTGGCGGTCGCCAAATAATTATCTGGCGGCCGCAAGAAATTATGTGGCGGCCGCCAGATCTTTTTATCTGGCGGCCGCCAGAAAATTATGTGGCGGCCGCCAGATAACTTTCTGGCGGCCGCCAGTTATTTTTCTGGCGGCCGCCAGATAAAATATTTTTCTACCTGGCACCTACCGGCTTCCGTATGAACGTACCACAAATTTTTAAAATAAATTAGAAAAGAAAAAAGAGAAACTTTTCCCCCTAAAGCCGCGGAAAAATTTCAAACACTTGTTGGATATTGGGTCATGCTGAACGTCTACATAAAACCTTATCATTATCCAATTTGTATTTTGAATATGTTTATTATTTCTTGAAGAGATCAGTCTTTGCAAGGGAAATCTTCAAATTTAAAATAGTTCTTTTCTTTTCAAGTACTTTTTTTAAATGTATTCCATAATAAAAAAAAATCTCAGCTCTGTTGTGTAAATATAAGAACTGTATTGCTAGAGTATACTGTTAAATCCCAGGGACTGACTTTTTGGTTACTAGCTGTTCTCTGCTCTATTCCTCCTTCGTTCGTTCAGTTAATTAAGAAGATAAATTAAAATGCATTTCTTTTTCGAATCAAGCGATTGCTTATTTTGGACCAATACAAACGAATTGCTGCGGGATCGGTAAGTGCTTTCAAAAGGCATATTTCAGAGTGAAATGACTGGAAAAGTTAATTTGTTAGCATTTTTTTTTACATTAACATGGCTTCAAGAGATAAATTGTTTCACTAGCTGCGAATGAGTAGTGTACAAGGAGGATTGTTGCGCAATCGTGTGATCCACGTAAATTCAGAATTATAGAGCTTCGACTTTTCATTAGCCACAGGGATTTTTTCCTCCGATTGTCTTTTCAACGAATAAACATCACGTAGCTGTAACATTCTTTCTTTAAGTTGATTTATGGCTTTTCGTTGTTTCTTGTGGAGGATTATACATGGATCACACGATATATAACATGGTCACTTATCTCCTTGAAATAATGCTTGAATCTGAGTTTGTTATAATCATATGAGCAACTCTTTATTTATTATTTGTTCATTTATTTATTTATTGCAGTTTCTTCATTAAAAAGAATAGATTAACATTTTCACATGTCTTAATACTGTAAGCACATGTATTTCTGATGCAAATGAATTAGGCAACAGAGATATATCGTATTATAGAACTGTCATAACGCAAATTTTAGTATGATTTTCTAAAACACAAACTGTTTCGTGGACAACTTTAGTTTCGTAGAATTCATTATGAAGAGATCACAGTTTTGAAGAAAAGGATTAGAGAAAAAATGACCTTGTCCTTATAGTAACTAATGCTCATAAAAGTGCATCTGTCTTCATTTGTGTTTTTTTTTCTTTCTATCCCAAGATTTTTAATTTTTTAAATGGTGGAAATTTCACCATTAGGTTGTATAGCGGATATCTATATCTTAGATCCTATATTAAATGCATTGAACATTAGTTTTAAGGAAAATGCTTAGTGCTTGGTGTGCAGTGATTGATATTTCTGCAGGAAATGGCACGATAGACTTCGAAGAATTCCTCCTAATGATGGCAAGAAAAATGAAAGATACAGATAGTGAGGAAGAACTTCGAGAAGCCTTCAGAGTGTTCGATAAGGACGGTAACGGTTTTATTAGTGCTGCCGAACTTCGTCATGTCATGACCAACTTAGGGGAAAAACTGACAGATGAAGAGGTGGATGAAATGATTCGGGAGGCGGATCTTGACGGGGACGGGATGGTCAACTATGAAGGTACGGCATGAAGCATGTTCTCGACATTGCATCTTGCTTCTTCAATTTTCACGAAACAGTAAACATGCTTTCAAGGAACAACGTAGATCATGACCACATACAGTGCAAATTAAATCTTAAAATAACAAAAAACAGTTGTGTCATGTTGCATCTTGGCTTGTATCGTTTGACAGCAATAAATGCACTTCTTTCATTTGGAATGGATTCGTATCTTTAAATGACGCCTCTTTTGTGAATTTTATAATTGCAAAGTTGATCACATATTCCTGTATGATGAAATTCTATATATAGCACAATAAAGTATCTTTTGTTTTGAAGGAAAAAAAATTGTTTAATCTTATCTCCCTCTTATGTTTCATGCAAATGTCTCTTATTTTTGTTGTTCATTCTCTTTCTTCTTTATGAAGATGTACTTTGATAACATGCATGCACGTGCGTTCATTCTTGTCTTTTTCAGATTTCCGGACGTATGCTTCCGGTTTGTTTTCCAATCAGTCAAAATGACGTTTCCTTTGGCCACCATTCCTTTCCCTTTTATCATGACGTCATCAGATGCTATATCTGCTTAGGCGAACGGATATCTTAACTTGGTTCAAGCACACTAACAATTGACCAGCACGCGCATGCTTATGGGTCAATACAACGCACTGGACTGTTGTCTGCAAGGAATGCCAGTTATTTTTCTTTCACTCAAATTCAACTTTAGAAGTTTGTTTTCAAGTTGAAATGGAAGTTGTATTACTGAGTACGTTTCAAATTATTAACTAAAGGTTCAATTTTTTTTCAGTAGATATAGAATGCATTTCCCAATCTAATAGTAACAAGTTCGTTTTAAGTAAATCTTGATTTACATTGATCTTGCATCAATCATCATTCAAAGATGGTTTTACATACAAGCTTTATTGCAATTTAGACCAATAAAAAAAATTATGTCATAAATCTAGTCCGCCCTAACCAAATAAAATTCCTCCAAACGAATCTCTCAGTATTTGAAATGAGTTTTGCTTAATTTTAGTATCCGTGCGGAGCACCAATAAATGCACGCAAGGATGTAAAACATGAAAATGTTTCAATTTGGTCAAGAAATAATCGATTCTTTAATGTAATATAACAAATTTCCTCTCATTATTGTAGAACGCATAGGTCTGGATATATGTCAAAACTTGTAAAAATCACAATGCTAGAATTTATCGTCTTTAATACATGATAATGCGACATGATATATTTCATTCGAGTGCTAAGTTTTGCACTGAAATAATTACCATATATTACAATATACTGTTGTTAAAATTATAGGAAAAAATTAAAATACTAGTAATTCCTTTTCTCGTCCTACCCATCAGATCATGATAATAACGTGGTTTTGAGTTTCTGAAACCAAAATTCTAGCAAAAATGAAAGAAACAGAAATGATTAGGAACTTTATCCTATGATTATTCATATGAATGTTCATGTATTTATGTGAATTTGCCGACGTCAGTGTGAGTACTTGCATTAACTACCCCCTCCCCCTTACACCAAAGGAATTTTATCTCCTGGTAAGAACTTTGTTTACTAATGCAATTTGATTAAAAAGAATGGAACTTTTCGTCTTTTAGTTTTATAAATAGAATCATACATACGTTAATAAAGAAAGGTTGTTATTTTTTAGATCGTAACTTATTGCTATCAGGTTCCGTCAGTTGTTCGTAAACTTTTGAACATTTTCAGCGTCTATCAATTTCAACCAATTCTATGTATGAATAGGAAAAATAAATGAGAAATTCATGCCCCCTCCCTCAGGAAAGGTGGATTTAAATGTAGTCTTCTTGAACCTTCTTTTACACTTCTGGACAAATTGTGAAATGCATGTCTAGGTTTCAGTCTCGGGGGGGGGGGGGGGGATATGTTGGTCATGTATTTTAAATGCATTAAAATATTTTTTTGTTAAAAAGGACTTTTGAGCATCTCTTTGAAAAGCTTCATGAATTATAGTGATGTAAATGGAGTCAACCAATATTTGTGAAATTTTTAGCACAAGAGTCAAGAGACCCAATCCCTGCTGGTGGTCATAGTTGGTCACAGCCCCATAAAACTCATTATACTCTGGGGACCATCAAGGCCTCTTGATGAAAAAAAACCATTCTGACAAATGTATCCCAAACAGATTGTTATAAAAATAAACAAGTTAAAAAAAATGATAAAGTTATCATACAACAACGCAGAAGAGTTACTACCCTTGTGGGTTTCTTGGCCATCAACTTTCGGAATGAATGCAGAAAACTTTTCATATTAATGAACAATACTTACGTACAATCAGAATCAACAGCAAAAAATGAGGATAGATTTCTGAACAGCAGTTTTTGGATTATATATATGTCAATGGTGTAAAATACAAAATAAAAGACCTTGCATGTAAATTGTTGTAGTTTCTAAATCCTAAAAAGAGAAGCATATTTCGCATGAGTCGAGCACTATTATTGGCCATTTTTGTGTATTCTAAAGTGTATCAATTCGCTTTGGTGTTGTTCGAAGCAAGCACTCTTATTGTTATAAGTTATGTTAATAGTCATTCTTGCAATTAATAAACATACCCTTTCTTAATATGGTAGTTTTTCACATTCAATATGGCCATTGCAAATTAATTTACAATTTTTTTTGAGAGAGAGAGGGTTCCACTTCTTTATTTACCAAAAATAAATTTTTAAAAGTGATGTGTGACCTAAACATTTTTACTGAATAAGTACTAGTATCTTTGTTTTCTTTCAGAATTCGTCACAATGATGACGGCCAAGTAAGCTGTTGATCCACTAAGGAGAGACATTTGGGCGTGTTTTGTAACATTCATTACAAAATATACCTTGAAATTATCAAAGATGAAGCCGAGCACATTTTTTGTAATTTGTTTTGTTCAATCTTCAGTGTTGTACCAATGTTTAATTTTGTTCGAAACGTGTTTGATTTGTCTTGTTTGTACATCCTGGTATCGACTTGCATAAACAATAAATGTACGCATAAATCTCTATTACATATAAACAAATCATTTACAAGGGGAAAGGTATCATTTGTGTGATTCACCACAGTGAACAACTTCTTTAGAGATGGTAAGGTAAATGTGAGTTTTTTTCGGGGGGGGGGGGTTACAATGTTTCTTGGGATGCAGCTACAAAACGCCATTTTGAACAATGAAATAAAGAAGATGGGCATATTTGGTGTGTGTTCTGCAGGAATCGTGTGTACAAATCATTTATAGTTTAAATGTCCACAATATGGTCAACTGACCACAGCTGGACAGACTTCACAGAGTAACATCAGGGACCTATATACTAAGTATATAGGTCCCTGGTAACATAAAATGTTACATTACATTGCAATACCTTGTCAAATTGTAATATTGTGATATTTGGTTTGATAGTTGATAATATAATAATATTTGATTACAAGTCCGAGGATCTTAATAGTTACGATAGCATAGTAACAATTCACATAAAATGATAAACACTTATAAGATAATAGGTAATAGTTCATTGCAATTACGTGTATATAAGTCGATAGGTTGGAAGAATTGTTTTCGCTCTCGGTGCAACCGAATTAAAAATTATATATTTAATAAATTAAGAAATTAAAATGACAAACGACTTGATTCTTTGCCTGAAAATAATTAACGCTCTATAAGAGGATCGAACCAAAATCTTCTCGATTCCTAAATGCTCTGGTCTCGTAACGCATGTGTTATCATCCCTTCACGAATAATATGAATTTTAAAACGACAATGAGGCACCGTCGCATTTACCCATTTGAAAATAGTTCAAAAAAGTTTTTTATGGTCTTTGGGTCTTTTCTCAATTTTTTTTACAAACGTTTGCTTGTTCCTTTGAATTAAAATGCACACAAATAACTTTAAGAGATGACCCATAGATAGAAATTTTTTCAAAATGTAACATTTTGTACCAAATGACTCATCTATTCATATTTCAATTTTTTTTTTAGCCAATCACAACACAATATCGAGAAAATATCCCATTCCTATTTCACAGGAATCGTATTTATCAAAATAATGCTAAAATTTTATGTTACAGATCATATGAAATTACATGTAGTATTTAACATCAATATGGTATAAAATTGTGCTAAAACAAGTCTTTCTACCAAATGATGAAATAAGGTGCAGCCAAATAAATATACATTATTATAACAGTAACTTGATCCGAAGAGTCGTATCACGTCTCGTTGACAGGCGCGGATCATCAGATCAAACGAGACGCGAAGCGTCGAGTTTGATCTGATGATCCGCGCCTGTCAACGAGACGTGATACGGCTCTTCGGATCAAGTTACTGTTATAATGATAAATTTATTATATACCCTCCCTTACAACTAGCAAAATATAGTTTTAAAAAAACTTTTGAGATCAATTATATAAGATTTTTCCATTAAACAAAGCATTTTTCAAGGAACTTTTTGATGCGCATGAAAAATAACGTCATGTTTCTGTGTACTACGTCATCAGTTTCAGAGAGGGGTGATATGGATTCAGAAAACCACAGTGTGGTGATCCGGAAAGTCGGATCACACCGTCACGTGATTGTACGAAATCTACAGTAAAATTGAGTGATACACACTTGGGTATATAATAAAACATCAATAATAATAATAATCATTGTTACATTAATTTTAAATTATATTAATTAATTATATTTATAATTATTCTTGTTTAACCCTTTAGCTGCCAACGTAAATGTTTGAATTGCCAAAAAAGTAACGTCATACGTACATGACGTTACAATAGTTATGACGTTATTAAAAATATTGCGGGTTTACGTTGTATCCATGACGTAAATCGCACCTGCGTTATGTATAATTCTTAACAAATGAAGGCGTACAAGGCAAGGAAAATCCCTTGTTTTTAAGAAATAAATAACAAGTTTAAAAACTTCAATGGGAATTGAAGTGGGTCGGTCACGTGATCAAAGCCTGTGAAGGCCGAAGGCCTTCTCAGAAGATTTGATCACGTACCGACCCACTTCAATTCCCATTGAAGTTTTTAAACTTGTTATTTATTACTTATATATACATTTGAGACGGACAATCGAATGTAATCGAATATAAATATTGCACTAACTGTACGTCGTAGAATTTGACAAATTACGCTAGGTGTAAATCGGCTTGAAAAGCGGTTACGCTTCAAATTCATCTGGCAAAGGATTGTTTTGAAGGGAATATTCTGTGAAAGGCTACTTGTGATCAATTATAGTGAGCATATTGGTGTCTGGAAATTTTTGTATTCATGAGAACCCATATTCGATGTTAAAAAAACACAAGAAACACGTCCGATGTTTGATACTAGAAAGTTGGAGGAATTTCGATCGGAAAGGGATGGATGGAGACACTTGTCCGGACCAGATAACTTGAAATCAAGTACAAAATTTGATCAAAAACATAAATTCTACGATTTCAGTAAGGCATATTTATTAATTTATGATGTTGACATGGAGACACTGGCGACAGCTTACATTGTTAAGACAACGTCACAACGATCTCGATGATGGAGGTGTGCCTACTGAACTTCCAAAGTGCAGTGTTTGTCAGCTGTTTGTGGCGTGATTGCATTACATTGATATTTTTCAACAGATTTTCAAATTTATTGTGAGTAAAGTTTAATGAAAAAAAATTATAGCATTCAGAGGTCTGCGAGAAAAATAAGGGTAAATGTTGAGACTATGCAGCTCAGACATGAAACTTATAACACGTAGTTTTCTTTTCTCTATGTAAAATCGATCAAGAACTGTATTAAATACTCGTTTACATTGTAAATAAAATGATTATTATTTTACTTGCGTATTTTGTACATTTTTATGCATGAAAAACATGCTATATTGCTTAGTGGAGCAAGTCTTTTTAATAGAGATATTACTGCGCTGTGTGATTAGGTCACGTAATGACCTATGACCTTCGAAAAACTTCATACAGGTATGAAGATATTTGCTCTCTGCATGTTTATATAATAGAGAGATACCACAAATGTATATATTAGAACATGATCTGATACAAAGTAATTTTATTTTTTTAAAGGAAAGATATATTTTCCAAACAATTGTGTTGTCTGTAATGTCATCTCCAATACGTACGCGAATGCACGCTCTCTTCGTCGTTTTTTGTTTTGTTTTTTATATTAAATTACTTAATGATTGATAATTTGGTAAAGTTACTGTTAAGTATATTTAGTGGAAAATGGGTTATGTTAAAGCCATAAAGATTATTTCGGAATATGAATGGGTTAAGTTTCCAATTTGCATATGTATTTACATGTAAATGACGGAAAAACGAATGTAAAATATACCTGCTGTTTAAAAATAAAAGGAATCTGAACATATTCTGTATGAAAATTGATTTTTTATTCTAAAGAAAAATATGCTTCAACAAACTCGTTTACTTATAAACCAGTTTGACACCCTACACTGATAAGAAGACGTAGAGAGGTTAACGCCTTTATCAAAAAATTAAAAACCTAAAACAAAACGCGTGTATTTAATTTGCTAAAAATTGTGTTTAAGAGAGATCAAATACTGTTAGGATTTTATTTGTTGTCTTCATGAATCACCATACCTTAAAATAACTTAAAAATAAAATTTTTATCAATAACTTATGCCATATAATAATAAAAATCAAATGTGTCAAAGACATTTTTGACTACATATTTTTTTAAAACTTGTTTTCTAGTACGAACTTTGAAAATTGAGAGTGGGAAATAGAATAGTCCTCGCATTGTATGCCTCTATTTTTTTCCAAAGTAAATTGTGCGAGTCCTACCTCAACCTTTTTAAGTTTTGTTACTTTATTTTCAATCTGAATAGAGTACATAAACGTAAATTAATTAATATACATAGATTTTTGCTAGAAATGTCAATATTAAAGCATTATGCAACAATTATTAAACGAATTGGATGTGCACACTAAATTTAACGTGTGCAGTGTCCGATGTTCTTTTTTTTTAACTTGAAAAAATAAATGATTAAAGCGTAACTTCCTTTAAAAAAAAAAAATAAATAAACGCCTAGCTTTAAAACGGCGCTTTTCTGGCCTCAAACAGCGACCTGCCCTTGTATACAATTTACAATATTCTCAGAAATCAGGGGCAGGTTCAATTTTTTTTTCTCTAGAGGGGGATACAACGTGTCAGTCTCGGAAATTTTTGACAAGCATAAAAGAAGAAAAAGAAGCAACCTGCTCAAAGCTGAAAAATATATTTTGCGTATATGTGTGATGGGGAAAGGGGGGGGGGGCTTTCTTAAGTCATTTTTTTAAATACATGACTCTCTCCCCCTTACCTCTTAAGCGGGCTCTGTATTTCTAGGGGTGGTTTTTTTTCGTTATTTTTACATAGAAAGTTAATAACTGCATGCAATGGAAAATTTCAAAAGGAGGCGACACTCCCCACCCTCGCTCCATGAATCCAACATACGTTTTTAGTATTTTACATCCCAAGTTACCTGCAATCCGTAAGCTTCGTATCCGATTTCATGCTACTATTGTTATAAGATTAAACAAAAACTGCATTTTTAATGGATGGTCAAGTGTAGATCAACAACAAGTCATGTAAATCGCCCTCCATTAGTACAATAAAGTAAAAAAAAAAAAACCTTTTCTGGATTTATTATCAACTTACAATACTCGAACGAAGCCAAATCATCTCTTAATTTATTTTTCAATCGCTTACACCACTTGCGATCTTTTAATAGGAGAGAAAAAATTACATTAATTTTTTTGGACCCGGTTCTTAATTGGTGCGGCTCAACCCTATTCCGAGAGACCGAATATTGGGCGTAATCAATATTTCAAATAAATGTAAACATTTCTAACACACACACACACACACACAAACTAAAACAAAAGTCGACATATTTTCGTACTTTGTATCTAAAAAAAAAATAATTATGTATGGTAACACAATTAATTATAAAAAGATTGTAAGCTTGGTTATAAAAAACCTAGGTACGCTTCGACAAGTGTTAACTGTATAATGTTTTATTAACTGTGTTTATATTCTCTCTCTCTCTCTCTCTCTCTCTGAAATTGTCGTTGTTTATTCGTTTTCATAGGTACACGTACACACATGTACATGTGCATATTCCATTCATGTTTTCTCAACCTTTAATTTGCATTTCCGGATATATTTGAAAAACACTCAAAGAGAATGGTAATCTAAGAATTTCACTTGCGGTTAAAAAATTAAAAATCTTAAACACTTTTTAGTACTTTGAACAAAATATCATATTGAAAATCATGTCGACTATATCATGATCAGTATTGTGTAGTGGAGGCAGAATTATAGAAAACTGGATTGAAAGGGATAGAAGTTGGAAAGAATTCGTTCAACGAAATGCAAAAAAAGTAATAACAATGAAATAAAATACAACACTGAACTTAAACGAGCGATACGAATGCATGTGGAACTCACATGTGTTTGTGAGGAGAAGGGCGATTTTTAAAAACGCGTATTTCGTTGCAGGTACGTACTAACGGGTGGGGGGAGTAGGTTCGATCGAGGTATATATAATTTTTAAGTAATAGTCATTTGCTATATATTAAATTGATATTTATTGTTTTTTAATTCAAAGATGCCCCCCCCCCTTTTTTGTGTTGAGGCCAAAAACAAGAGTGAGAATGATCAGAATAATCACCTCAAAATGAAAGACGTTTGTAGTTTTTTTTTTTTTCAGTTTGTATTTTATTGGTTTTGTTTCTTGTTTTTCATTTTCTTCTCTCTCCCCCCCCCCCCCCCCCTCCGTTTTCACCAGAGTGCGCTTAAGAAAAGTTTCTACCACAGATTTAATTAGATTTTCAAATAATTGAATTGTTTTGTTTTTCTTTTGTTTTTTTTTTTTTTTGTTTTTTTTTTTAATTTTCATAGTCCCAAAAATAGCATTACCTGATGCATGATTAGCATTAATTCAAAAGAAAAAATCAGCAAAATATATAACCACACTTTGTATTTTGTACACGTGTTAACTTGATCTGTAAGTCATCATCAGAGGGAGGTGCAATTTCCTTTGCAAAAATCTAAATAATTTGTACTTCCGGTCAAATTGATAGGGATACATTTAGGATATCCTACACAAAGAAAAAAAAAGATCATTTGCCTAATAACAAAATAAATAAAATAAAAAGAATAAACAAAACAAACAAACAAATAAACAAACAAAAACCAAAACATTTTGTCATAAGAACAATTTCATTCATTGGCCGTACATGTATTTCCTCGATAGAGATTTCAATAAAATTACGTTGTTATTTTTCATTAAAATTCTGGAAGAAAAAGGATCATATCAGGCATATCATCAAGCATGGATATCAAAATCATCTGATTACCCCTTTCACTATTATACATTAAAAGTTATATATAATATAAAGTTAATACGGAAAAAAAACAAGTATTGGTAAAGATGAGAATTTCAGATGAAAATTACAGCAAAAACAAACCTATGAACTTATTAACTTTGATTATCTTTACAATATATTTAATTATTAAGTGTTTTAGTTAAGCAGCCGCGTGTAATATCTGCATATAGGCATACAGAACACCCAGAAAAAATAGATTGAACATACAATGTAATTGAAAACAGGAAACAAGACAATATATAGAACAATATTTAATTTGTTATTTATAAAATATTACATGTGCAATTTCTACATATATAATAAAATTAAATAAATAAACATGACAATATTACATCACTTATGTCCTATTATACCCGTATTAGATTTTTTAACTAGGGGAAAAATCCTCTTATCACAAAATCCTATTTTATGAAGAGAGAGAGAGAGGTGGGAGTCACTTTTATTATATATCTTACACTCCCGTATATGGTCTGTGCTTCTTGAAGGGTCCGACGCCATTTATTTATATAAATTAAGTAAGTAAAGGGGGTCCGAACCACCCCTCCTCGCCTAGTCGTATTTGTGGAATATTCTACGGGTCTGCCGCCGAAATACGGTTAAAATATTACCGACTCGGCGTTAAACAACAAACAATCAATCAATCTTGACAATCTAACGGCCTGAATTACTGGTAAACGATAAACTCGGAACCTTTCTCAAGGTTTGGCTTACACGTACTCGTTATTATGACGTCAATTACGTAAAATGACGTTGATTCTAACCGTTGCTGCAAAATAGACGAGAGTACCTCATAAATTGAATTTATAATAGTATGAAAAAAAATACATTTGAAATGAAATAGTGTTCAATATACATCTCATTGAGCATATTCAATAGTAACAATTATGAATAACAACTCATTTATCTGAAAAATTTCATGACGTCATCAGTGGTATGAATTTTACTTCGTTTATCCATATATTTGCCTGAAATTTTCATGATATTCTACAAATAAGTCATGAAAAACTTTAATGTTATGCAATAAAAAGGTGCAAACGTTTAACAATTATTTACGTTGAATAAAAGTAAAAGAAGTACATGGTCACAACTCAGTTCAATAAAATCGGCCCAGTGGCACTCTACGCAACTGTGTGATCGGCCCAAAATCGGCCCTGTGGCACAGAAGTGGTTAATTATATTTTCAAGTGCGTTCAAATTCTGGCTGAATGTCAATCAAATATGCGCCCTCGTTCTTTAGTACTTCATGTAAATGTACAATAACCTGTGCCATTTTTACCTCTACTGGTCAGACCAGAAAAGAAAACGCGATAGTCCGTCACACAAGCGCTTCAGGAGAGGACCCCCCCCCCCCCCAAAAAAAAAACCCTGTGGTCAGTCGTGTTCGTCTGTCTGTAAACATTTTTTTTTAAATGCTACTCTAGGCTATTTGGTCCGATGTTAATAAAACTTGGTACACAAGTAGACAATACTAAAATGTATATTTCTATCCATCGGTTGTTGATTTTGATGAATTGTTGCCATTGTCACAACAATGTAAACAAAATTTCCCAAAACTCCGCCTGGTGGGTGCAATCTTCCTTCTGATAGTCTAATTCCACGAAAATTTACAGTGCTTGGATTTCTGTATTTCATTCCACATGCCCCCGGAAACTGTGCGGCGAGTGTGCTGAGCAACAACGAGCCGTTCATGGGCTTCATACCCAGGAGCAGAGAAGGTTTTCAAAGAATAAATGCATTTTCACTATATAATACATGGATCCCCGCCCTAACACCAGAACCTCTGACCCAGAGGCCATGAAATTCACAATTTTGGAAGATGCACCCTTCCTCACCATAACTATGTACTTAATTCGTCGGCCTCATACCCAGGAGCAGAGAAGAAGATTTTTAAAGAATACTAGTAAATGCATTTTCACTATATAATCAATAGAGCCTCACCCTAACACAAGAACCCCGACCCAGGGGCCATGAAATTCACAATTTTGGAAGAGGAACCCTTCTTCATCATAACTATGCTCTTATAAGCTTCTTTAATATTCACGAGAAGAGAAGACGATTTTCAAAGAAATAATACACTTTCACTATATGATCTATATAGTCCCGCCCTAGCACCAGAACCCCTGACCCTGGGGCTATGAATTTCACAATTTTGGTAGAGGGCTCAACGCTTATTACAATCATTCCAACAGTTTGACTGCTTGATGTAGTCTATTTTGCGAAAAAAAAGAGAAATTTCTGTGAAAAATCTTTCAAATCACTACTGCTCCGACAGTTTTCGTCTGATTTTAATCCTATTTTCTACACAAGTAGACTACTAAGTTAAATGATTCTGTGTATTTTTGCTTCTAACGAACGGTGTTGCCATGATTACTTAAAATTGTAACTGTCAAAACAGTACTCCTCCTACAGATTTTGGTCTGATTTCAATAAAATTTGTTACACGATTAGACTACTGTATATTCGGTTTTTTATTTCAATGAAATGTGTTGCAATAGTTACTATAAATAGATATTTCTGTTTAAATTTTGTTCACCTCCTATAGTTTTGGTCTGATTTCAATAAGAGTTTTTACACAAGCAGCCTAATTCCGTATTTGACAAACGCTGTTGCTATATGGTTCCTAGAAATAGAAAATTCTGTGAAATTCTTTCAAAGGGTTCTCCTCCTACAATCTTAGTGGGATTTCAATAAATTAAAACATGGAACACACGTAGACTACACTAAATTACACAATTCTGTATATAGATTTTTCAATTTCTATGAAAGGCGTTGTCTTGTTTTAGAAATTTCTATGAATTTCTTTTCAGAATGATTCTTCTCCCAAAGTTTTTTCTATTTGACTTCAACAAAATTTGGTACACAAGAAGACTCCACTAAGATGCATCATTCTGTTATAGGTTTTTGATTTTGACAAACGGTGTTGCCTTGTTCCTAAAAATTAAAAAAAAATCTGTGAAATTCTTTCAGAAGGCTACTCCTCATACCGTTTTAGCCGGATTGCAATTAAACTTGCCACAAAAAAAGACTAATCAAGGATCATTATTCAATTTATTGCTGTTGCCATAGTTTCAAGTCCAAAATATATTCCGTATCTAATAAATACGTCCATCCATTGGCATGTGTGAAAAGGGACATCATTACAAGTATAAACCAGCAAAGGTACGGTGTCGTCAGAGACTTTTGGTTTTCAATATGATAGGTCCTCCAAACCTTTCTTGATTCAAAAGTTGAGTGTAAATGAACATGTTAAAGAAATCCTTCATTGTGACCTTTTTTTATGGACTACATTCAGAAAGTTAACCCATAAATTTTCAAATACTAAAATTGCCATGGGAATGTAAAATGTCTAGAAATGAAAATACTTCTTGAGAGAAAATAAAGCAAATAGCAGTAAACAATCTATATAAACAGTGAACTATCTCCAAAAGTATGTAGATATGTTTATGATTTAACAATGGATTAATGAACTGTTTCTAGTCACCAATTTATCATCTTAACTACTCTGGAGGTTGATGCAGCGCCACAAAAGGATTCAATGTAAATGGAATCAATCCATCATGAGGAATTTTATATTTCCCTACCACAAGGGCAGCCAGACATTTCAGAGATCGGTACCTGAGTTCATCAAACATTATTCCGGTCTCTCTCAACAAATCTAAGCAGTTTTCTTTAGCCGCGTCTACAGTATCTACGTGGACGCCATGTTCCAATAAAAAGGACACGATTGATCTCGCACAGTCTTGGTTGTCTAATGTGTCTCTACTACCTAACTGTCTAAGAAAACGGTGCAAGCATGTCCGCCTTTCTTTGTCAAAATAATTCACATCGAATCCGCTCTTAAGGAACAAACGAACCATATCCAAATCAAGCAGAGGGTCACATGTGTAAGTTGAAAATCCTTTTGCATTTTCATTGAAAAAGCGTCGATCGAGTACAGCATGTAGTAAGTTCGGTTCACATCTTGAGACAAATGTCGGATTGACGTCTGCAAGTCGTCTACATGCTGTTAAAAATCGCTCACTTTCTTTTTCCTCTACAAGAAGAAATTTAGCAAAGAATATGGTTATAAAAAGCAAGTTGTTATAACACTTGGATCGTTCTGATGTTGTCTTGTGTTTCCCTTTCCGTATGATGGCTTGTATCTGGTCTACAACATGTATAAACTTACAGAAAATATTCTCAATAATTAAAGGTTTCATGTCATTAGGTGTCTGATAGGCAATGCTAACAGCCACTCTTATTATCATCCGTAATGAATAAATGTTGTTCTCATGAAGAGGTTTATTCCTCTCCAAAAACAAATCATGTGCACTAATGAAAACTTGTAATGTTTCGTAATTGCTCGGTCTGTTAAAGCCGTACTGTAGAAGAGTATACAGAAACTCTTCGTGAAGTGGACCAAGGATTCTGTGCTTCACTATTACGGATTCCCGCCGCTGTCTATCACTGCCATCGCAAACAGTTTGTAGTTCCTCAAAATTGGTATGCTCAAGATTCGGTCCAAGAACAGGAAGGGTGGGTTTTACTTCTTTCTGAATTCCATGCATCCCCCGGAGTTTAACTGCCTTTAGCCAATACTCTTCCGAATCCCGGTATTCTTCATTGTCCACTGCAGACGCACCCAATAGTTCAAAACATTCAATGACGTCATTCTGACTAATCTCGGGTCTTTGGCAAAGAAGATCCGCCATTTCAGGCTGTAGGAAACAGGCAGCGCTTCGAAGTGGAGAATCTCCATATTTATCTGGAATTGAAGGATCGGCACCTGACTCCAAAAGAAATTGAAAAGATTCAAAGCTTTCATTGTGTATAGCATAATGCAAAGCTGTTAGCTGCATCTTTTTCGTCTCGCGTGCATTTACGTTTGCGCCTTTTTCAACTAAAAGCTTTACAAGTGATGCACACTTGACGGCATTCATAAGGCATGAGGACCCATATCTATTTGGTATATTGACATCTGCGCCTTTTGAGATTAGAAATTCTACCATTTTTTCGTCATTCTTATAACAGGCAGTTCTAACCGCGGCTGACTGGGAGTTCGAACGACCATTGACATCGGCACCATGATCCAAAAGAACAGCCGCAAGTGGTAGATTTCCACGAATTGCCGTCACCCACAAAGGCGGGGCAATATGGACAGAATTGTTATCTTCATGCACAACTTCCTTGCCGGTGATTTCTACATCCGCGCCGCACTCATCTAAAAAATATTTTACAATTTCCACTTTTTCAGCAATTGTTAAACGTGATTCATCTTTAAGACCACAAATATAAAACAGTGCATTCACTTCCTCTGTTGGGCATTTTTTGTTGACTATATATTTTCTGGTTTCCAAGTCATATTGGCTTAAGAAATTTTTCAATGTTTTAACATCAAAATTGGCCCACTGTTCACGGAATTGTCGAAATGTGTCCTCCATTTTTGCTGAAAGGGGAAAAAATATATACATTTATTAGATAAGGGTATGACGCCAATAGTCATTTTGTCAGAACCAAGGTACGAAGTTAGGAACTGTTGCCCGAGGATGGTCCCTGACCCGACCCCGTTTGAATAAGATCTAAAACTTCCAAATTAATGTAATATATAAAATTTCTTCTACACTTCTAAATATTTCTAGTAGAGAAAACTGGTGCACAATTATAATGCAAAATGATCCCCCAGCCACAATCATCAAAGTATTGATACAGTTATGAAAGACGGGGTCGTATTCATGCTTTTGAAGTACGTGAAAGTGTCACAAAATCATTTTCTGTCTTATGTATATATGGTCAAACTGTTTACTACTAAAGTCTGTTACAATTTAATATTATATACTACATATGTTTATATTACCATGCCACACAACCTTCTTTTGATGTTTGTTATATTTATTCAATGCTATAAGATCTATGTCTTGGGCAATAAAGATTATATATATACTAATTAATGCGATAAAATATAATTCGGGGCAACCAGTATCTAAAGGAAAATTTACTATAGCAAAATACTATACTCAGAAAAAGTGCCCCCCCCCCCCCCCCGCGTTCTACGGACCTTCTGTGAGTATGATTTAGTAATAAAATGTTTATTCTAATTTCATCTTTTTTTTTTACATTGAACACATTATTGATGCGCTTATAAGAATAAATGATCCGGAAACAAAACGTATAAAATATCCATTGGGCCAGTTTGTGTATATATTAGGAAGGGTGGGTGGGGCTCGTCCAAAAGCACCTCATTTTATCCTAACAAGAATTTCCAAATCAACCATATTCAGCTATCCCTGAGACTGTTTGCAAATATAAGATGGAAAGAGGGTTACTCCAGGATCGAAACTCTGATTTTTCATTTACATCTCAATAAATACTAATCTTAACAAGCTTGTTTTTACAATAACCCTATGATTTTGTTCTTTGAAGCTATTTAAGTGACGTGTCACAGTAAGATGTGTCTTAACTTCAGATTTATGTGTGCCTTTTCTTTCACCGTACAATGTATATGTAAACATGTATAACCTGCCCTCAACTACTTTCTGCAAAAGAAAAAAATCCGTAATATGACATTGTTAAAATAATATTCAAACAACACATGTCAGCTACATATTCGTAGTTATAAAGAGATGCAGTGGGGATAGACGGTCATAGACACCTTCCCCCTTTAGAATTTTCAGTTTTGTTAATTGTATATAATTAAGTATCTAAAGAGGAAAAAACCTAAGAAAAATGAACCCCTTACAAAAATATAGATAAAATTTCATTCCACACAAGTTTTTAGAGGCCTGAATATTACCCCACCTCCCTCCCAAAGCTTTCTCCTCCCACCACCACCCCCCTTTTTTAATAAGTCAATGTTTTTTGTTGATTACTGGATCCTCTCCCCCCCCCCCCCCCCCCCCAAGCAAACAATACTATTTTCGAGTTTGTTATGTATGTTGGTGCATGGATGAAGCTACAGATTAAAATCAATAATAAAATACTTCATAAACCGGGGGGGGGGGGGGGGGGGCACTTGTACTAATATTTGATCGTATGGAATCCATTGATTAAAAGATCTATACAAAATTTTAAGAGCTCCGAAGATGACATCACCCCTTTTCATGTATTCAGATTTCCTGAATTCTAATAGGTTTATTTGAGATGCAGAAATAGTCCATCTTTTGTGTAAAATGAGTTTGAAGATAAACAAAAGGCCCATGGGCCACAACGCTCACCTGAGTAACTTTGGCCCTGCTGTTCTTCACCAGATTTTCCCCACTTGTAATACTTATTGTGGCCCCAACCTACCCCTCTGGTTTATGATTTGCACAATTTAAAATTTACTCTACCTCAGAAAGCTTAAGTTTCAGTTTTTATGGCCCAGTGGTTCTTGAGGAGATTTTTCTTATATAATTCAATGTAAAACTTCAATTCCCTATTGTGGCCTTACCCTACCTCTGGAGCCATGCTTTGAACAATTTAGAATCTACACTACCTCAGGAAGCTTCCATATATATATGTTTCAGCTTTTCTGGTCCAGTGGTTTTTGAGAAGATTTTGAAAGATTTTTCCATTATATTTCAATGTAAAACTTGGATTCAATATTGTGGCCCCATCCTACCCCAGGAGTCATGATTTGAATAATTTAGAATCTACACTACATGTAATATGTAGATAAAGAAGAAATAACCTTATGGTAGGGCTCGGTCACTATGGGCAAACAATTTTTACATGAGTATATATTGGAAAAATCTTCTCAAAAACAACAAAGCCTTGATCATTCATATTTATGTGGAAGCATCCATAGGTAGAGTATATTCAAGTTTGTTCAAATCAGCATCCCTTGGGTTTGATATGGCCAGAATGGGCGATTACAATTTTACAAAGGAAAACATGGGTAAAATCTTGAAATATCTTTTTCCAAGAACAGCAAAGCCATGAGCAATCATATTTATATGCAAGCGTCCTTAGGTACATGTAGTGAAGATTCAAGTGTTCAAAATGTGACCCCCGGGATAGGTTGGGACCACAGTCAAAGTTTTACATAGGAATATGTAGGAAAAATCTTTAATACAGTTCTTCTTCTCAAGAACAGAAAAGCCATTATATAATTATGTCATATTTATAATATGGAAACATCTACAGGTAGTGTAGATTCAAGTTTTTTTCAAATCAGGATCACCATGGGTAGGTGGGGCTATAATGGGCATTCAAAGTTTTACATAGGTATATAGAAAAAAGAATTTAAGAAATTTTTTTCTCAATAACAGCAAATTCAATTGATCGGTCAAATTTTATGGAAGTATCCACAGGTAGTGTGTATTCAAGGTTGTTCAAATCATGACCTCTGGGGGTAGCATGGGGTCTCTATGAGCGATCAAATTTTTACATGGGTATACATAGCAAAAATCTTTAAAAATCTTTTTCCCATGAAGGATAAAGTCACAGTCATATTTATATGGAAGAATCCACAGGTAGTGTAGATTCAAGTTTGTTTAAACCATGACCCCTGGGGCCATAATGTATAATCAAAGTTTTACTTTTGGAAAACATAGGTAAAATCTTTTAAAATGACTTGGAATTGTAGATCTCTGGGTTTGTCCATTCGAATTTTCTTAACCAGACAGCTACAGTTCTGCAGCTAGGCCACATCAGCTAGATGCGGCCTTCATTTTGTATTCTATATTGTAGTAGAGGCATAGATGATCGAGAAAGTTTTTTGCACTCACTAAGTTACTTTATCCAGCGAAGGAAATAGCCTGATGATCAATTAAGTGATAATCTTTCACCTTCATTCATATTTCGTCATTCCTAAGATTTCTTTCAAAACGAAAGTAGGCTACGGAGCTTGTACAATCGTACCATGAATAGTTCGTTTGTAAGGATCCCTTTTGGGTTGGGGTTATAAAGATAAACAATTCAGTGTATGTGCTCTCCCTTTATGACTTTACTAAAATGAAACTTTAACTAATGATAAGTTTAACTTCTAAAGATCATCTGTAAAAGTTACTTTTAATTACAGTAATTATTTTATATTTAAATGCCGCTTTCACTGAAAATGGGGGATATTAATTTGGATCTGTCCATTCGTCTCTCTTTCTGTCATATATGTAACGCTTTCATTTCCGGACGATATCTCAAAAAGTTTGGATTTAAAATGTTTAAAAAATATACTTATGGAGCTAATTAAAACATCTAAATGCACTTATTGAGCTAATTAAAACATCTAAATGCATTTTAACAAAAGAATGTTGAACTACGCCTTTCATTTCTAATATTATATATTTCTTTTATTATAAATTAAACATGGATCCGCAATTTATTGATATAGAATGGACTATTTATTCAACCAATTTGGGCCCACAGTGGAGCATAATGATGTAATGTACGAAATCATAAGAAATAAAATTTTGAAGATATTATTTAAAACTTCCTCTTGGATTATTATACAGCGGACATTTTAGCAGAAAATGTATTCAGCTCTGTTGAACTTAAAATACAGTAACGAAAGACTCTTGAACAGTTGAAATCACACCTAAGAAGAATTTTGTTTTACCACTGACATTTACTAGTTTTTCTTTCGTATCTGCCTGTTTCTACCAGTAGGAAATGATTATTAATTTTGTATTTTGCTAGAATTACCCAGTTATCCTTTTTTTTTTTAATTCAAGTATTTTTCAAAATTGAGTGACCTTTTATACTCGAAAAGGACTTAATTTAATAAATTCTGGTATGGACATTTTCCCAAGAGTTAAAAAAAATTATTACATAATTGCTTAGCCTTTTACGTACAATTTAAATTTGTTTTCACATAACTTTAAAAGGGACTTTTCACATAACTTTAAAAGGGACAAAACAATATGTCGCTTTTCAATGTCGAATAATATACTGGAATAATAATCACTGTTAACAGTGTTAGACTTGCACTCATTGAAATCTGTCTCTAGTAGGTAGGGTGTTGTGTGTTCTAGTCTATACCAGTACATACATATTTGCTTTAGTATATCAATGTATAATGGATACCTTCCCAGTTCTGAACAGATTCCTATATATTTGTACAAGTTTTAGATACCCCTATAATATATTTACATGTACAGAATTTCATACTGAGTTATACTAAATTCTAAAGATGTATACTGAGTTATTCTAAATTCTAAAGATGAATTACGGCAAGATACGAGGTATATAAGGAGCGTAGGGACGTTAACCGGTTAACCGAGACTCTTACTTGTAGGAGTAACCCCCCCCCCCCCCACGCAAAGACAGACATAATATAGACATTGAAATTGAAAATTGGGGCTTAGCCCCCCAAAGGTTTTTTTTGGTTGGTTGGTTTAGCCCCCCCCCCCTTTCAATTTGTGCTATAGAACACCTATATGACATCTCAGGAGATAGGAAATAGTATGTGTATATGTACTTCCTATTGTTTGTTATTTATGATGTATCTTCCATTTAAAGTGACCCTTATTAAAAAAAAAAAAAAACTTGTTGAATGATTTTTGAAAGGCCCGGGGTAACTTTTCCCCTAATATTTGATAATACAACTCGGCAAACCTCAATCGATTTTGAACCTTCGCATGGCCGTAGGAACCGGGGAGGCACGGGGGGCCGTGCCCCCCCCCCCCCCAGTTATTTTGCCGATATATAGTTTACTATAGTAGCTACTATATGCTTGTGGCCCCTCAATAAAAACGTCTGATGACCTTTTTTTTTTGCTTGTCAAGGAATTTTTGGTAGTTGATAGTGCCGCAATGTCCGGGGTCAGTTCAAATATAATTTTCACCTTTTATTTTGAAATATTAAAATTTGCTTGTGAGTATTTTTAACATTGAATACGGTTTGCATGCATTGCGTTGAGAAATGAATAATATTATTTATGTTCTTTGGTTTAATGGTTTAATGGAAATAAATAAACAACCTCTTTCAGGACAAAAACTACGAAAGCCTATTAGGATCAAACTACGGTAAAAAAAAAATTCAAAAGGCGTTATAACGCCTTTTCGAAAGGCGTTATAACGCGAAAAAAAGCGTAATATTTACATTTGCAAATGTTTTCCCTTATATAACACTATTGAAAGCAACGCGTATCTATATCCGTATAAACACAGGTTCCTCGCGTCATAAACGTTCAATGTAATTTCTCAGTGACGTCATAAAGGGTCGACGCGCAAACAATGGATCAAATACGTGCCGTTGAGTTTGAAAAATAAAACATTTCACGCGTCAAAGATTATAATCAGGAAAATATAAAATATGAATAAGTCATAAATGTAAATATAAGTAATAATGTATCATTTTTAAACATCTATCGGATATAAATACGGGTTGGTACGAGATCAAATTTACCATAAAGCCCTTCGGGCTTTATGGAATTTGATCTCGTGACCAACCCGTATTTATATCTCGATAGATGTTTAAAAATGATACCTTATTTCTTAAATAACGCCTTTCGAAAAGGCGTTATAACGCATATAAAGGCGTAATTACGCCTTTCCAAAAGGCGTTATAACACGAAAAAAGGCGTTATTACGCCTTTCCAAAAGGCGTTTTTACGCCTTTCCAAAAGGAGTTATTACGCCTTTCAAAAGGCGTTATTACGCCATTCTAAAAGGCGTTATTACGCCTTTCCAAAAGGCGTTACGCCTTTCCAGAAGGCGTTATTGCGCCTTTCCAGAAGGCGTTATTGCGCCTTTCCAAAAGGCGTTATTACGCCTTTGAAAAAGGCGTTATTACGCCTTTCCAAAAGGCGTTATTACGCCTTGTAAAAGGCGTTATTACGCCTTTTTTAAAAGGCATTAATACGCCTTTCAAAAAGGCGTTATTATGCCTTTTGAAGGGCCATTATTATGTCTTTGACAGGCCCGTGCTTTTAAAGTGGGGGCATAAAATTGACAAGCAAACAAAAAAAACAAGAACACCCCCCCCCCCCCGAAAAAAAATAAACTGCCTAAACTTGAGGGGAAACTTTTTCTAATTTTCGGTAAAACTTTTTTTAAATGCAATGACTTGCCCGAGTTTAACCATACTGCAACAAAATGTTAATGGACCAAGCAATCAATAAATGATTAAATTTATATTTAAACTATAGCAAGACTATTCTCCCAAAAAGTGGAGTGGGGGACCACCCCCCCCCCCCCCCACTCACATTCGTACTACCGGCCTGTTTGAAAAAGAGTTGTATCCAAAAATGGAAAGGCGTTATTTTAAAATAGTAAATATATGAAAGATTGAACCAAAGCCATCTTTATTTATGCAATATTTAGGTTATAGTTTTAATATTATAAATTATATTATAAATTATAGTAATTTCTATATTCCTGCACATCTCGCAGACAGTTGTTTGCATTTTGCATGCATATTAAGAGAAGTCAACGCTCTACTTTTGAAAATCCAGGATATAGGCAGAACCAGCTTTGGGCTTTGCTAGCCACGTATTAAAAATTCATGTCAAATTTGAAATATTTTTCTCTCCTCTTGGTAAATAACAGGCAAAGTATTTGCATAGGTATAATGAGCAATTAGCCTTCAACAAAATTTCTGAAATCCATACACCTTGGTAGAAGCGTCTGGCATCAGAGAAGGATTAAGTTGGTTTAACACTGAAAATATTTTACACATTTAAAAATCTTTTTTCCTAGAAATCTAATTATAATCAGCCCCCAGGGTGGGCTAAGTACCGGTAAGTCATGTATTGAAAAAAAAGAGGCGTAATAACGCCTTTTTAAAAGGCGTAATAACGCCATTTTAAAAGGCGTAATAACGCCTTTTGGAAAGGCGTAATAAAACCTTTTGGAAAGGCGTAATAACACCTTTTGGAAAGGCGTAATAACGCTTTTTAGAAAGGCATAATAACGCCTTTTGGAAAGGCGTAATAACGCCTTTTTAAAAGGCGTAATAATGCCTTTTGGAAAGGCGTAATAACGCCTTTTGGAAAGGCGTAATAACGACTTTTCTCGCGTTATAACGCCTTTTGGAAAGGCGTAATAACGCCTTTATTTGCGTTATTATGCCTTTTTCCGCGTTATAACGCCTTTTCAAAAGGCGTTATTACGCCTTTTTTCGCGTTATAACGCTTTTCAAAAGGCGTTATAACGCCTTTTAATTTTTTTTTTTTTTACCGTAGTTTGATCCTAATAGGCTTTCGTAAAAAAAACATCCCCATCCCCTCAAAATATTAGAAAGTGAACATATACACTGTATCTGAGCATTTACAGATTGGAAGCGAAACAAACTGGTTAGTGCGAACCATACTCCCTTTGCCCTAGGTTCCATGTGGTTTCGTCCCCGTGTAATTTTGATTGTTGTTACAAGTGTACTGTAGTTGACTCACTGTCTCATAGGCAATAGGTTAAAGGTTCATTAATGGCATTTTATCAGCTACACATATTTTTAATCGGTTTTTAAACGCTTTAACGTTTGCAAAAAACATTTAGATGATCTTAGTTTTCGCGCCTAAACGAACTCGAACTTCATAAGGAGAAATTGACGAGAATCAAGGATTTAACATGGAATTATCATTAGATGACTACATAGGCAGTACCTCTGGAATGGATTTTCACGTGCAAATTAGGTAATATAATTAAAATGAATAGAAGGAGTGGTTTGTTACAGAAGTTTTTCTAGGCGTCATTTTATCTCTTGTTATATCTGTTTTTAAAATTTAATCAATGTTCACTTCAGCCTCTCTCCACATGTCACTGTAGCTGTGTAGCTGTATCAGATTACTTTTTTGAAGACATTTCGTTTGTCATATATTTGTATGGACAGTATATTTAAAAGACATCAAAAAGAGAATGTCGAAGTGTCTATTGTCGATAAAATATTCAAATCACTGCTTTTTCTAAATCATGATAAAGAAAATGAAAGTAAGGTTATTTAAGTGATGTGAGGATATTCTGTTTCATAAACCTTGCATTGTTACCATATGCCATATTTTTAAATTGCTTTTTCACACTGTGGAATTGATAATATGATTGTGTTGATGTTGATATACAATTCACAATTACCTGAATATTGATATTGATCACGTATATTGATCTGCAGATTTATATTCCAACAGAAATACCCAAGAACAGAGAAACATTGGTTTTTCTGGAAGAGGAAGAGGGAATGTTCGAGGCCTGGGCCGTGGTATTACAGGTTCAAAGTCAGGAGTAAATACTGTGAATTTTAGAGGTGGAGCAAAAGGTTTCAGAGGTGGGATCAGAACTTTCAAATCATTGAGAGGTGGTTCAGATGTAAATACTGCAAAATTTAGAGGAGGAATTGTTTCTGGCAGTGCATCCAGAAATTTGACAATTTCTGTTCCTAGTAAGTCTGGTGGATTTGATGCTAGAGCAAAAATATCTGCCAACAAGAGACCTTTGGATGCAAGGGATAAGTTGTCTTTAAAAGGAAAACAGACAGATGCCAGAGCAAAAATTGCAAATATTCAAGCTCAAAAAATGGGAGTAAAGACTAATGATGCTAGAATGATTATCACAAGTAAGACCGGAGGCCAAGGAGGAGATGTCAAAGTGAGGGTGGGGTCTAGAGATAACACAGATAGTGCTCTTCTTACAAGAACAGTTAGTAGCTTAGTAATTCTACTTCCACATTAGAATGTCATTTCCATATTATACCGGTACTCCTGCAAACAAAGTTTGAGAGTATATTGGAATCACCCTGTCTCTCTGTCCATCTGTATTTAGACATGCTTTGTCTGGAGTTTATCTCTAAAACTATTTAGTGTTTTTCATCAAACTTGATAGAAAAATTAATACATACCATTTGAACTTGTGCACCAGGTATTTTCAGATTAATTTGTCAAAATTTAAAAAGGATATGAATATTATAAGATTTTATTCTACACATTCTACATACATTCTTTATTGACAGAAATAAGATGAGTGAAATTCTTGTCTAAACATAACTTTGAAAACAGGAAATATTAGGGACTCGTACTTGATACAAAGATAATTGTGACCACAGCTGTGTCTTGACTCTGTACCAAGGTCATGTTGGCAAAGTCAAGGTCATGGGTACAGAAGTATTGAATTATTGTTCTGGCCACAATTTTGAGATGGAGAAATATTTGTAGCTGATGCTTGAAACATAGGTTGTTTGTGACTCAAGGATATTTGCTGACTTTAAGTCAAAGAAATTTTGGACAAGTTCAAGTTCAAGATCACTGGCATTAGAAATAGGAAATATGAATATATTTTGCCATAGCTTTAAAGTGAAGAAAAACATCAGTAGATTGCATGTATACTAAGCACAAAGGTTGCTTGTGACCAGAGGGCTTGTAAACAATCCTGGTCATTTGCACAAGGTCAAGGTCATTGGATTCACATGTAAATTATACATTTGCAATGAAATAACATAAAAATACTGTACTTGCCCTCAGGGTTATGATCATAGGATATGTCATGACCCTGAACAAAGGTTATTTAGACAAGATCAAGGTCACAGAGTTTAGAAGAGACACAATTTAATCCTTAGACTGTGAATGGTAAGGTTTTCTGTACATCAACATAAAGACAGGTTCAACCAATACATCTCAAGAAGATTCAGATAATGGAAATTTGCAGTATAATCTTTAGCCCTGTAGGGGGTATAAGTCCTACTAGGACAGATATAGCTTTTAAGTTGTGAAAGGTCATATTTATTTCAAATAGACATCTTTGCATTTGATCTGCAAAATTAAAGCCTTTGAGAATAATTTTGTGTATAAAACTTATTATAGCTTAATACGGGAGGAAAACAAAGTTCAATCACACGGACAATACCAGGAGGAGGAGGAGCAGAAAAGGTAGGACTGAGTAAATGGAAAACCATGGGGATTATTGTTTTTGAGTTTTGTGTCCACACCTTTTACCATAGCCAACTTTGTCATCTCTGATTTATTATGTTTTCATTCACAAGTTTCCCCTTAATTTTCAAGCCTCCTTCCTCTATAACATTTGGACAAGGTGGAAATCCAATCATTCAAATAAAGAACGATCAGTTTCACAACCCACGACAGTCGTCTGGAGGTCAGTTAGATATTTACTATGATGAGGAAGAAGAAGGGAATGTCCAAAAGCCTATGACCTATTTAGTTGAGAAAACACTGACTGTTAAAAAACCTCAACTCCTTCCAACTTACAAATTTACACAAGAAGTACCAAAACGTCAACCTCCAGTTGTGAAAAAGCCCGTCATGATTTCAACAAAGAGACCCTCTCCTATCCATTTTGTTAGCTCAGATGATGTTATTGATGAGACACACAGGGAATTGAAACGTAAGGCATCTTCAGCACCAGTGTCTGGACCACTAAAGCTTGCCAGAACCACTGGGATTGTACCAGGAATTTCTGCTGTACCGTTAGAAAGGCCCAAAGTGTTGACGTCAGCAAGTGTTAAAGAGGAAGAAATCCCAGCAGAGTTGCAGGTACAGTGCTTGATAGAAAAGTTTGAATTGTTTCTCATTGCACACCACAAATTATTTTAAATGTACATATGTGTAATAAAATTAATTTTTTCCTTATATTTTTATCAGGAATCAAGTGGGTATCGTGTCATTGTCTCTAATCTTCATACTATTGTGGTACAAAATGACATTATAGTGAGTACATTTTAATAGACTAAAAAGGAAAATTCAGACAATATATCAGCCACTTATTGAAATTATGCATGTTCTAAGTACATTTGTATTGATTTGGGGAACAATGGGTATCTTTAGTAGCCATGTACAGAAGAAAACATTTTAATTAATTTAATGAATAAATGAACATTTTCTCTTCCTACTCAGAGTTTAAATTAACAGGTGGTTAAGGGTGAATAAAGATCACTTCTGGAAAAATTTTATATACATGTATGTGGAACCCTGAATGTTTATGTGGTCAATAAAGATTAAACCAAAAAAATAGGGAAAATGCTGAAATTGAAATACTAGTTCCATTACTTATTTGTAAAGCTTTTTTCAAAAGTTAAAATCTGAAATTTTATGACTGTATATTGATATGAAGTATGCAAATGCAAAAGTAAATTTTCTAAATAGGAGCTGTTTGGAGCCATTGGACCAATCAAACGAGCCCGGCTTTTGAAGGCAGGAGTAGCTGAAGTTGTTTACCTCAATAAAGAGGACGTTCAAAAAGCTATCCAGAAGTACCACAACAGAGAATTGGATGGTAAATTTACATCTTTCAAGAATTAAAGATCGACATTCATTTTATGATTGATACGTTGTAAAAGTGATGTTCTTTTTAAAGATATAGCGGAAACAATCTCTAGAGGTTATCTTCTTGTATGTACAGCACATGTATATACATGTACAGCAGGTTAAATTGTACCTGAGTATAGAAACATTTATATTTTTTCGTAAAGTTTAAGTAAATAAATTTATTCATAAAGAAAAGTAAAACTTGTTTAGTATCAACATGCATATAGTGAATTTATGGATATAGCAAAATGTTGGGGAACCCCAGCGAAATTCTAACAATTCCTTTAAAAATTTACAGTTATAACTGTGATATAATGAATTTACTGTTATAGCAAATTGATTTTTTGTCCCTTAAACATTAAAAATAATGAAATTTACATATTTTAAAATGAATTTTTAAGATTACAAAAGAGCTAGGTTCACTCTGCCTAAAATGGCCTTGTCTATATACATGTACCAATTAAATGTTCAAGACCCTGGGTCTCATTTCAAACATCAGTGTAAAGTAAAAACTTAGTGCTTTCATTTTCTATAACAAAGCTTCTTTCGAGAATCCAGGTATGTGAAATTGCAGTGTACTTGAATTTCGCAGAAGACAGGTGTTTTAGCTCACCTGAGCCGAAGGCTCAAGTGAGCTTTTCTGATCACAGTTTGTCCGTCGTCCGTCCGTCCGTCTGTCCGTCTGTCTGTCCGTCTGTCTGTCTGTCCGTCCGTCTGTAAACTTTTCACATTTTTGACTTCTTTTCAAGAACCACTGGGCCAATTTTGACCAAACTTGGTACAAAGCATCCTTGGGTGAAGGGGAATTTAAATTGTTAAAATGAAGGGCCAAGCCCCCTCACAAGGGGAGATAATCAAGAGAAGACAAAAATAGAGTGGGGTCATTAAAAAATCTTCTTCTCAAGAACCACAGGGCCAGTAAAGCTGAAACTTATATGGAAGCATCCTGGGGTAGTGGAGATTCTAAATTGTTCAAATCATGACCCCCGGGGGTAGGGCGGGGCCACAGTAGGGAATACAAGTTTTACATTGAAATATATAGGAAAAATCTTTAAAAATCTTCTTCTCATGAACCAATGGGCCAGTAAAGCTGAAACTTATATGGAAGCATCCTGGGGTAGTGTAGATTCTAAATTGTTCAAATCATGACCCCCGGGGGGTAGGGTGAGGCCACAATAGGGAATCCAAGTTTTACATTGAAATATATAGGAAAAATCTTTAAAAATCTTCTTCTAAAGAAACACTGAGCCAGAAAAGCTGAAACTTATGTGGAAGCATCCTGGGGTAGTGTAAATTCTAAATTGTTAAAATCATGACCCCCGGGGGTAGGGCGGGGCCACAATAGGGAATCCAAGTTTTACATTGAAATATATAGGAAAAATATTCTTCTCAAGAACCACTGAGCCAGAAAAGCTGAAACTTATGTGGAAGCATCCTGGGGTAGTGTAGATTCTAAATTGTTCAAATCATGACCCAGGGGGGTAGGACGGGGCCACAATAGGGAATACAAGTTTTACATTGAAATATAAAGAAAAAATCTTTAAAAATCTTCTTTTCAAGAACCACTGGACCAGAAAAACTGAAACTTACGTGGAAGCATCCTGGGGTAGTGTAGATTCTAAATTGTTCAAATCATGACCCCCGGGGGGTAGGGTGAGGCCACAATAGGGAATCCAAGTTTTACATTGAAATATATAGGAAAAATCTTTAAAAATCTTCTTCTAAAGAAACACTGAGCCAGAAAAGCTGAAACTTATGTGGAAGCATCCTAGGGTAGTGTAGATTCTAAATTGTTAAAATCATGACCCCCGGGGGTAGGGCGAGGCCACAATAGGGAATCCAAGTTTTACATTGAAATATATAGGAAAAATCTTTAAAAATATTCTTCTCAAGAACCACTGAGCCAGAAAAGCTGAAACTTATGTGGAAGCATCCTCAAGTAGTGTACACTCTAAATTGTTCAAATCATGACCCTGGGGATGGGGGGGGGGGGGGGCACAATAGGGAATCCCAAGTTTTACATTGAAATATATAGGAAAAATCTTTAAATATCTTCTCAAGAACCACTGGACCAGAAAAACTGAAACTTATGTGGAAGCATCCTGGGGTAGTGTAGATTCTAAATTGTTCAAATCATGGCCCCTGGGGGTAGGGCGGGGCCACAATAGGTATTACAAGGGGGGAAATCTGGTAATGAACAGCATGGCCAAAGTTACTCAGGTGAGCGATGTGGCCCATGGGCCTCTTGTTGAGTATCTTCAGCAAAGAATTAAAATATGAGCCCACCCATCAATCCAAAAACTAAAACATTTTATAATCTTTGGCAATAGTTTTTAGCTCACCTCAACGAAGTTGGGGGAGCTTATGTAATAAGCCGGATGAATGACCAGGTTAAAGTTTTTGGAGCAGATCTCATTTCCAAGTAAATATAAGCCCTATATTGAACAAACTTGCATGGATGATACACCTAAGGATGGACACTACTTGATTTGCTTCAGATGCTGGATCTGACCTATATTTTCTGGATTAGTGACCAGGTTAAATTTTTTGGAACAGATCTCATTTCTAAGTAACTTTAAGTCCTATGTTGACTTGCATGGATGATACATGTAAGGATGCACACTACTGGACTTGCTTCAGATGCTTCAGCAGGTCTCCTCTCCAAGTAACTAAAGGCCCTATATTGACCAAACTGGCATGGATGATATATCAAGGGACGAACACTCTCAAACTTGCTTCAGATGCTGGATTTGACTTACATTTTCTGGATGAGTGACTAGTTTAAAGTTAGATAAGTCCATTCCCAAATAACTGCAAGCCCTATCAGACCAAAATTGCATAAATGTTGCATCTAGGGATGCACTTTACTGGATTATTAGTTTAGTATGGGACTTTGCCTTACTTAAAGACAACATTTGTTGAGGTGAGCTCTGTAATCTCTAATTACTTATGTTTTCATTATATAATTGCACATTTTGGATCAGAGGTTGAGCTTAAACTTTTGGCCATTTTTAAGAAATTTACAGAATTTGGGAATAATGATACAATTTTTGATGTCACAATACTTATACTAATGAGAAAATTATGTCTTTTTCAATAGATATACAAGTGATATTTAATGTATTGATTTTTGATTTTTAGCTCACCTTGACAAAGTCGAGATGAGCTTATGCTAAACCCCCCGTGTCAGCAATAGCGTTGGCGTCCCGGTTAAAGTTTTAGGAGCAAGTCCATTCCCAAGCAACTATAAGCCCTACCTGGACCAAACTTGCATGGGTGATGTATCTAGGGATGTACACTACCACACTTGCTTCGGATGCTGGATCTGACCTAGATTTTCCAGATGAGTGACTAGGTTAAAGTTTTAGGAGCAGGTCCGTTCCCAGGTAACTTTAAGCCCTACCTTGACCAAACTTGCATGGATGATGCATCTAGGGATGGACACTATCACACTTGCTTTGGATGCTGTGGTAGTGTCCATCCCTGGATGCAAGAAAAAATTGTTACACAAATTCACTATATACATACTTTAATGAGTTTGTTTTACGAATATAATGAATTAAGGATATAGCAAAGTAAATTTACAGGTAAGCAAAACTTCTCTATAACAGAGTTTTACTGTATATTCTCTTTTTATTGTAGGATTGCCAATGCAGGTAAAATTGTACACTCCTCCCAAACCAAAAAAGGCTACACCTGAATCAATTGTTGGCAATGTCAAAGATGTGGAGGGTCCCCTCAGGTAAATTAAAGGGTGTAGAAATCAAAATTAAATGTAGTGCACTTACTACACAGAGTCTTGAAAGTCTTCAAATTCTGTTTAGGTCTTTGAATGTCTTTGAAATCAATAAAGAGTGGTTGAAAGTCTGAATTTAGGGCTTTGGCTTTGAAAAGTACAGTTGAACTTTGGTGTCTTGAACATCGATGTACATGTATTGAATACATTGGATTTGTCAAAGTGAGTGGGAAGTCTCTTCCACTTTTTCTTTATGTATTTTAACCTCATTATCTCAAACCTTAAGATATATCAGTTTTTCCCTGGCCCCATCAAGTTCGATATAATGATTGAGATTTGACTGCACTTGAATTTCGTAATGATCCCTCTGCCCATTCAGAAATTAAAAAAGACATTACAGTGTAGTTCATCTATGCTTCTATGCACTTCAATTATAATGTAACATGTATATACCATGTAAATGATAATAGGGGAAGTGTATATACTTGTAATAGTATTACATTAGTTAAATAATCAGCATGTACTACTACAACATTCCGATTAATGTATGGATTCCAGATTTTGAGAAATCAGGAAGTCTTTAAAGTAGAAAAGTCTCTATGAACCATGTAGAAGTGAAGTTCTAATTGTAGAAAACAGATGGTAAATCATCAAGTGCATATGGATGTATGACTGAAGTTTTTGTCAGTTTATCTCTTGAAATACTAGTAGATTAAAGTTGTACTGACCTACTTTTGTTAAAACTCCAAGGTTATTTGGGATTTAGATAATTTTTTGTTCAAGGAGATTTTTCAAATCATATCAATATTTTATTTATTAGCCTCTGTAAGCTAGTGTTGAGGAAATCTACAAGTATTTATAATATCGATTTTTGTGCTTTCTATATGCAATGCTTTTTTCACAGTTTATACCGGTATATATATATAATTATCACAACTGTCTTGTGGTTTTGTATTTCCCCTAGCCTGTAGCCTGAACAATAAATTTACTTTGTAAATACAGGCATTTGTTCCTGTAATAAAAATTTACCACATATTATAATAGTGGAAAAGTTGTTTCACCACATATAATATGCTATATTTGGATCTTGGACAGAATACTTTCTGTATTTTGATTGGAGAAAAAGTTGTTTAAAAAACATTAGGTCAAAACAATGTCAATATATTCTTGCTGTGCAGCGATAGGCAATACCTGGTGCTGTGTTTATTGCAATACTTTAAAAAATATTGCATGTAACAGAATGGAATTTTAAGGCGAAAGTCAAAATAGATAGAGGTATTAGTATATAAAATTTTGTTGATAACTTTCGATTTTTAAAGATTGCAGTTCTGGCATCTCTTCAGGATCAACCTTTGCAAACACAAAGATTGAATTTTTCTACACTGTAGTTTTAATATTTTGCATCATGCCTGAGACAAGTTGTTGCATTTTCATTAACTTGTGACTTTTAATCCAATATTTTATTTATTATTTACAGACTTGGTAAGGATAATCCAAGGAAAGGCTCAGATCTTGATGTTGGTATACTACACAAAGCTTTGTTCAAGACTGGTACTCCAAACAAAACAAAGGTGGCTTTTACAGTGAAAGTGTAATTGTCCACTCCAGAGCAGGCCATGTAGATTTTCTCCAGCAAACTTGTCTTGCTGCAAAACTAGAATGTAAATATTGGCAATTCAAAGGTCCTTATTTTTTGTGAGCCATCACCCACTTTGTATGAAATGAGATTATCTGCCCATATATCCATCTCCTTAAAGCTTTCCCACTTCCCTTAAATAACTTTGTTATTGCTTATTTTCATGTTTCTGTAGAGTTATGCCCCTCCCCTGTCCCTCCAAAAAAAAAAATTAGTAAAATTAAGTTTTGGAGCAAAGACTTAACAAAGTACTGTGAGTCCTTATTTTATACAAGGATACTGCAAAGGAGTTGTGTATATGGTGCATAAAGATAAAAAGATGAGCTTTTGTGACAACAGAATATATTCATAATTCATGTATGTTATCATCTCAATTCATATTGTCATTAATGGAACATTTTTCAAATGTCAGTATCATAATCATAGGCTTTGTTTTACATTCATGTTTCATTAAAGAATTAGCACACTATTGTTTTGTATATTTCTTTGTGTGTACCCATGTGCCTCTTATACTGAATTGGATTAAGCATAATATGTATTTACTTTCTTTTCTTCTTCTGTGTGCAGGGTATTCTGTTCCTAAGATTTACAATTTGATATATTTACTGAAAATAAGGGAGAAATAGGTAAACCTGCACATGACTGGATAGACATAAACTTTAAAAGCATCCCACAGGTCTAGTTACCATGAATAATTAGTTCTGTCAATGAATCAATTGTCCATTATCTGAAGGTTGCTGACCATGCCCCCCCCCCCCCCCCCCCCCCCCCCCATGCAGAGATACTGTAATACAGAGAATACTTCAAAAAGGTGATGAAAAATCCTGCATTCTGGCTGTATTAGATTTTACTTTAATATAAGTACCAAGATTATTTTTCCAAGTCAAGGGTGTAAAAATGGAATTTATGCAACTCAACAATGTAAGCTGACTTGTGAAAATGAATATACCAGGTAATTTATTAATCTTGGTACTTATTTTTAAGTGAATATCTGACAAGTTATTTTTAATTGTCTTCGGATGGTGGGGCTATTATGTACTGGAGTTTGTCCTTGTTAATAAATGCTGCCCTTGACAGTTTATTGATTAGTGTATTTATGAATCGATGCTGGTGCAGCTAGGTCACAAAAAGTATCTAATAAGGCCTATGATATGTAATCTGTTACATAGGAATCTTGAACCAGAAATTTCAAAATAGAATGAGATTAACAAAATACTAGAGTATTTGAATTTCTTTAAAAATTTATCGGTTTAAATTAGGGATGTCAACGAATAGTCGACTATTCGACTATCAGTCGAATGGACCGACGATCGAATAATGAAACGACATTCGAATATTATTTTAACTAACTAAATGCAATAAATGAGTGATAGATGAGATGGAATTCTCATCAAAAAATGAGAAACAGTCTTTTCTCATAGACAGTCGATAATTTTCCTCAACAAAAAACGGTAGATTATCCATGTACGTATAGAAAGTACAGCAATTATAAATGCTTCACTACTGCGAGAATTAATTGTCAGTAACTGTCTGTGTTGTTTTTGTAATAAATTAACCAATATAATGGGCTTTGTTTGTAAAATTATTCATTGGACAATTATCTTCTGTTATTTTAAGTTTGCTCAAATGCAAGGAATAAACCTGTTTTGATACATCGATAATTATTAAAACAATGCGCTTACATTTTAAACTGTTTGAGGACATTTTGATAGCCCCCCCCCCCCCTCCATTTTATTTCATAATAAGCTTTAAAAAATATCGGCTGGCAATTTTTTAATGCTTACTAAATAAAAAAAATGACCGCATGTACAGGCCGATTTATGAATTCTATTTATGGGGAAATAATAAATTTTGGAGAATTAGGTTTTTAAATTTATTTCATAGAATCATGATATCCACGCGTTACGTTGGATTAATTTTGATGTTACTTTTTAAATAGATTTAAGTAAAAAGGTTTCTGAGTATGTACCAATGAAGTATGAAATAAAATTTTATTTTCAGAAAATGTTCCGAATATTCGACTATCGTTCGAATAATGCAATCGAATGATCGACTAAGGAAAATAAATATTTTGACATCCCTAGTTTAAATCAATTTGTTCACTTCAACAAAAATACACATAAACCATTCTATACTTTATTTATCAATATATAGTACATGTACATGCATTGCTTGTTTTTAAAACACACAGCATCATTTATGTGTAAATAAATCATTTTATAAGATAAATCTAACAAATCATTGTCAATATTCATCATGTTACACAACCTTATTGACACAATGAAAAGTTGCACACATGACCAGAAATGCTCAAGTACATTTATACTCGCAAATCAATAATGAATATGACATATGTTTTTAATCAAAGTTGTTAGTTACTAAAATTCATTCAAAACAAATACTTACATTGAATACTGCCACTGACTAGTCATAAAAATGAATATTTTCAGACTGACTGACTGTGACACTGTAATCAACCCAACTGAACACACAGTCACTTATATATTACAATACATAACTTGAGGACAGGAAGAAAACTTGACATTTTATATGTAGAATGTTTGCTAAAATATATCTCTCTCTCATTGAAGATACAGTTAAACTTTGTTATCTCCAAATCCAATATCTTGAATACCATGGATATGTCGAAGTGATTTGAAATTCCCAACCACTATTTTCTAATTGTATTTTAACCTCGGTGCTTCGAATCTTCGGATATCTGGAAGGTTTTTCTTGGTCCCAATGAGTTAGAGATAACGAGGTTTGACTGTATATAGATATTTCAAAAGTTCTTTCAATTGCAATACTAGTTGATGATTGTCATGTTCTTAAAATTTCTAGTCAAAACAAAGTACACTAACATTAAACAGAGGACCATGGGCCATAGCACTCACCTGAGTAACAAAGGTCCTGCTGTTCTTCATCAGCAGATTTTTGCCCTTACCTATTCCTAATTTGATCACTTTTTGTGGGCCCACCATACCCCTGTGGGTCATGATTTGAACAAACTAGAATCTACACAACCTCAGGATGCTTTCATATAAATATGACTAATCGTGGCTTTGCTGTTGTTGAGAAGAAGATTTTTAAAAGATTTTCATATATATTCCTATGTAAAATTTTGATCACATGTTGTGGCCCTGCCCTGCCCTCTGGGGGTCATGATTTGAACAAACTTGAATCTACACTACCCGAGGATGATTCATTATAAATACGCCTTATCATGGCTTTGCTGTTGTAGAGAAATTTTCTTTTTTTTTTGAAGATTTTTTCAAATATATTCCTATGTAAAAATTTGATCACCCATTGTGGCCCCATCTTACCCCCGGGGGTTACGATTAGAACAAACTTGAATCTACAATAACTGAGGATGCTTCCATACATGGCTTTGCTGTTCTTGAAGAATTTTAAATGTTTTTCTTATGTATTACTCTGTAAAACTTTGATTGCCCTTTGTGGCCCTATGCCCACTGTGGCCATACCTTTGAACAAACCTGAACCTACACTACATGAGGATGCTTCCATATAAATATGCCTTACGGTTTTGCTGTTCTTGAGAAGATGTTTCCTACATATTCAAATGTAAATCTAATATCACCCATTGTTGCCTCACCCAACCTCAGGGGGTCATGATTTGAATAAACGTTCTGCACTATGTAATTAAGCTTGCACCAAAGGTTCTTCTTTTCTGGTCCAGTGGTTCTTGAGAAGATTTTTAAAAGATGCCATTAAATTTTCACTAATTCTAAATTGTCTCCCCTTGAAAGGGTGTGGTCCTTCATTTGCACAAATGCAAATCCCCTTTACTTTGTGGCAAGTTTGGTTGAAATTGGTCCAGTGGTTCTTGGGAAGAAGTTGAAAATGTGAAAAGTTAACAGATAGATGGACAGACAGAGGCCAGATAAATTATGATCAGAAAAGCTCACTTGTAGAGCTTTCAGCTCAGGTGAGCTAATAAAAGCAAGTATGTGGTGGGCAGGATTTATGGCATGGCCTGAATAAATACTGATTAATCACTAAAACTATTAAATCAAAATGAGGAAGCCCCTGCTAGCTGACGGATCTTCTCAAAGGACAACCAAAAACACAGGGACCAGGGTGCCTGAAAAATGAGAATATTTTTGAAATTAATTATTAAACTGTGCAAAAGTGATGATCAATAGATAATTCACTCCCAAAAAAGAATTCAATCAAAATCAATTGGAATCTGAAATGAAGGAGCTAGGTTTATAAAAATTTAAAACAGTTCAAATGGAATCATGGTGACTACCTATCTAAGAAGAAATCTCTGAAGAAACTGTAGCTTTGAGGACCAAGTCTTATTGAAATCTGACTAAAACAGTAGGAGGAGTAGCATTTTGAAAGAATTTTACAGAAATTTTACTTTTTAGAAACCTTGGCAACTTAATTTGTCTCTGACCAGAAGAGCTACCATGATAATAAAAATGATGAAATTTTCTTGCTGGTCATTGTATTATGATTCCATGATTTAACAAACTGGCCAATAATTCAACCTTTTTTTTAACTCATGAAAACTGATTTTCAGAAAAATCCCCCCCCCACCCCCCCTCCCCCCCAAAAAAATTCAATTTCTGAAATACTGACCCTCAGAAAAATTATTTTTATACCTAATGAAAGCATGAAATCTCTTGTTTGAAATGACATAGGACCATTTATGCATAAAGTGAACCTAGATTTTTGTCTTACCATTCGTAACCAGATGGGGATGAATCCTTTGTATAGAGCCATCACACCTTCCTGTGAGGATGTTTTAATCAGACAGTCTACTGAACCGGTGTATAGCAATCCCCTGTAATAAATGGTAAAACATACTTTATAATGTAACAGGAAGGAGAAAATGTACTGCTGTACTGAGAATCAAACCCGGGACCCCTTTATCACGAGTCAGGTGCTCCATCAACTGAGCTATCCAGGCCCATTGCCCAAACTATTACAATAATGAAAGATAACATAATGATCAAATATATCAGTGTGCATTTTAAAATGCAACTTGATTAAAACAGCATTCAGTTGACATATTTTGGTATCTCAGACACAGATGGATCAAATACACCAAGGACAGGTCAGTGTTATTAAACAGCCAGATTTCACCTTAGATACTTCTGACTCTTAAAATCACAGTTCTGTTATAATTAATCCCTAAACCCAACACAATGAGTACGGTATATACTCGCCTATAAGTCATTTTTTGGGAGTTAAACTCTGGTCCAAAACTCTTTACCCAACTTATACACGAGTTATAAAAAGGTTGGCATTTTAGCGGGTCAATCTTCTAATTTAAGCTTAAAAAATACAACCGACTTATAGGTGGACCGTCTTATAGGCGAGTATATACGGTATGCCATAGCAAGCACTTGCACCCTTGATCTTTCTCTGCTTACTTTTATTACTACAGTCATACAGTTATTTTTTCCATGACAAAGCTTACATTTTGACCTTTTCATTTGTACTGAATTGAGACAAAGATTACAAAGATATAGTGACACATAAATGTATATTAAACAACCCTTTGATATCAAACAAAAACACTCATATAACGACATGCACAAGGTCACACTTCTATACATTTTTTTGAATACTGTTGCAATCTAGGTACTAGCTGATATATGCCTGTTCCACTTGTCTTGAGTTTTTTGAGTTAGTTTTAAATGCTGCCTTCTACACTGAATGACTTACTTTCCATTTTTGGTTGGCTGGTTCATTATTCTCGTTTTGACAACATCAGCTGGTGTCCCAAAGGTGGCTGCTACTAGACCTGAACAGGCACTGAAAGTATTAAAAGTTCATAAACTAGAGGTACTACGAGCAATGAGCTCACAAAATGATACCCCCCCCCTCCCCACTCCCATATGAGTATAATGGCAAAGTCAATGTTTTGCTATAAGGAAGCCCAAAAATATGTGTTCGATCAAAAGTTAAATAGGAGATGCAGAATGGCACTATGTAACAAAGATTCTTGGGAAGTCTTCTTAAATTTTATTCAGTGATATAGGAGTTACAGATAAAAGATAACTACCCCCAATCTTAAAGAAACAAGAGGCCCAAGGGCCTTATCGGTCACCTGAGTACAACAATTTAGAGGATCCATAAACTGATAAATGAAGCTTTGTTGCCCAATAGCAAGAAAAATAGTACAATTAAGATCAACAAAATAATTGGTCTAGTACCTTTCTATCTATCCCCCATTTATCACTTTTACCATGCGACTTTTAACAAAACGTCTATATTATTACCTGTCATATTGGCCTCACTTGGCCTTTGAAGAACATTTAAAAAGATAAGTTATTTTTGTTTCATTTTCATTCATCTATTATTTCCAAGTCTACCTGATCATTAAAACTATGAAAGTACTTTTTGTATTATATAAATGTTCTTGCATAATTCTCTTACTCTATTAACCTTTCAAATACATTATCTACAGTGATTAATTATCAAAGGTGAATGGCAAAGGGGAATAACTTCACTCAGTAGAATACAAATTAATAGAGCCCTGGCAAGGACCAGATCTCTTGACTAAATGGTCCAGATATTCAAAATTCTGGTAAGAATACCTTGCTTATTAAAACTTTTACTCTGTTTGCTTCATATATGCCCAGGAGCAGAGGAGATTTTCAAAGAAATAATGCATTTTCACTATTTAACACAGCCCTACCCTAACACCAGAGCCCATGATCTAGGGTCATGAAAATTTACAAATTGAAAGAGGTACCCTCATCATCATAACTATGCAATTAGTTGAAAATTTTCAAAGAATTCACACATTTTCACTACAGGTGACTCTCGATGGCTCAAACTCCGATCTCTCAAAGTTCTCGATCTCTCGAAGTGAACCTCCGGACCCGTTTTTTTCATCTATATAACTAAGCAAATTTACTCCCGATCTCTCGAACTTCCGATCTCTCGAAGTTCTCTATCTCTCGAATCAAGACCTCGGTCCCGTTACGCATATTTCATTGTTTTTTACTCTCTATCTCTCGAAGTTTGGATTGCGCATGTATACACGTCAATCAAGCGTAAAATTAATTCAGCTTGGACTTATCTGGATAACAGTGAACGCCTGGGGCTGGGATGGACGTGTTAATTGGGTGTTTACATAGATGATACTACACCTGTGAGTCGTCCGAGTGTTGATATAATTAATTGGTAAATTATAAACAAATCGCTTCACAACTTATTTTGACTGGACGAGACGATAATTTTGAGAAAATAATTTAGGGACGTATCAGGAATTTTCCATAGATTATGAACTTTAATATTTATTAGAGTCTACACAATCCCAGTTTGGCAAACATTGCACAAGAAATCCTATCTCAAGAATTGTATACCCAGCAATCTTGTGAGGGACCGATCATAGCCGTGCCGGGGTGGGGGGGGGGGGGGGGGGGGTTTAGCAAAAATCGAAAATTGCTATTCAGGTATCATGTAATCATGAAATGAGAACAAATAAATATTGAAACTTAATCATTTTATTTATTCAAAACAAGATCATTGTTGTTGAAATCAAGTGAATTACCTGTAAAATACGAATGAAAACGTGTAATATACTTCCGGTATGTATAATAATAGAACAATGATTATCGGAACTGAAAATTCCGGATTTTATTCACTTTCTATCTCTCGAACCCCCCGATCTCTCGAACTTTTCTTGCAGTCCCTTGAACTTCGAGAGATCGAGAGTCACCTGTACATAATCAAATAGAACAACAACAACCCCCCCCCCCCCTCCCCCCCGAGAAACAACAGAACCCCTGGGACCACAAGTTTTAAAAAATTTTGTAAAATTAAGCATCCTTGCTCATCATAACTATACACTTGTTTCTTTGCTTTATAACCAGGAGTAGAAAAAAATATTTTGAAAGAAATTATGAATTTTCACTATATAATCAATAGAGTCCCCCCCCCTCCTTTAACCAGAACCCCTGACCCAGGGGCCATGAAATTCACAATTTTGGAAGAGGCAGCCATGCTCATTATAACTATGTACTTACTTAGTTTATTTCATACCCAGGCGCAGAGAAGAAGGTTCTCAAAGATTTAATGCATTTTCACTATATAATCAATAGAGCCCCGCCCTAACACCAGAACCCCTGACCCAGGGGCCATGAAATTCACAATTTTGGAAGAGGCAGCCAAGCTCATCATAACTACATACTTAGTTCATTTAATACCCAGGAGCAGAGAAGAAGACTTTCAAAGAAATGACGATTTTCACTATATAATCAATAGAGCCCCACCCTAACACCACAACCCCGACCCAGGGGCCATGAAATTCACAATTTTGGAAGAGGCAGCCATGCTCATTATAACTATGTACTTAGTTAGTTTATTTCATACCCAGGAGCAGAGAAGGCGATTTTCAAAGATTTAATACATTTTCACTATATAATCAATAGAGCCCTGCCCTAACACCAGAAACCCTGACCCTGTGGCCATGAAATTCACAATTTCGGTAGAGGCACTCTTGCTTCTGATAACTATGTACTTACTTAGTTTATTTCATGCCCAGGAGCAGAGAAGACGATTTTCAAAGATTTAATGCATTTTCACTATATAATCAATAGAGCCCCGCCCCAACACCAGAACCCCTGTCCCTGGGGCCATGAAATTCACAGTTTTGGTAGGGGAACTCTTGCTCATGATAACTATGTACTTACTTAGTTTATTTCATACCCAGGAGCAGAGAAGACGATTTTCAAAGATTTAATGCATTTTCACTATATAATCAATAGAGCCCCGCCCTAACACCAGAACCCCGACCCTGGGGCTTTAAAATTCACAATTTTGGAAGAGGCAGTCTTGCTCAACATAACTATGTCCTTAGTTAGTTTATTTAATACCCAGGAGCAGAGAAGAAGATTTTCAAAGAAATAATGCACTTTTACTATATGATGTATATAGCCCCACCCTAGCACCTCAACCCCCTGACCCTGGGGCCATGAATTTCACCATTTTGGTAGAGGGCTCAATGCTTATTACAATCATGCCAACAGTTTGACTGCTTGATGTCCAGGAGTAAAGAAGAAGATTTTTAAAGATTGCATTAATTTTGGTGGTTTTAGCCCCACCCCTCAGGCCCCAGGGACCATGAAATTCACAATTTTTTTCCCCTTCACCCATAGGTGCTATATGCCAAAATTGGTTGAAATTGGTTGAGCGGTTTCAGAGAAGAAGCTAAAAATGTTCAAATGTTAATGCACAACGCACGACGAATGACGAACGCCGATGGACAAAAACGGATAGCAATAGGTCACCTGAGTGACTCAGGTGACCTAAAAATGGCAGGTTCATGTTTTGCTACGGGAAACCCCAAATTCGTTAAACCGCTATCCGATAAAATGGAAGCCACTGTATGTGTCTCATCAAAATGTAATTTAATATAAAAGGTGCATAATGGCACTACACTGTATGTAATAAAGATTTTGTGAAAGTTTTATTAAATTTTATTCAGTGATATAGGAGGAGTTGCATATAAGAGATGAGTACCCTCAATATTATAGAAAGAAAGGCATGCAGTGACCATGTTTTGTTACAGAAAACCCCAAATATGTGTCTTGAGAAAATGTAAATTAGGAGGTGCACAATGGCACTCCATAATAAAGATACCGTGAAAGTCTCATTACATTTTATTCAGTGGTATAGGAGGAGTTGTGTATAAAAGATGGGTAGCTCCAAGCATAATGGATGGACAGATAAACTGACAAACAGATGGACAGACACCCCCATCACTATATACCCACACTTTTTAAGGGAGGGGGGGTATGATAAAAATAGACCTTAGATGAGGATCATAAGTGATTCAGTGAGTCATTTTCTACTACATGTGTATATATGCCTTGTCCAAAATTTTAGAACTTTGTTAAACAAGAACAAATTAGTATACTGTAGATTCCTTATTTTACGCGAGTACTTAATATCGCGAAATGGCTCAAGGGCGTCAAATCGCGGGAATAATAATTCGCGAATGGGTGATTTATCTAGAGATTTTACATACATTAAAGCACCATAAAAATAAAAGCGAGTAATTTTATTTCGCGAGCGGTGCTTCTCGTGTATTTACGCGATAATTTATTCCTCGCGTATATTTAGGAATTTACAGTAGTAGTTTATGAATTATGTTATGTATTTTTCTTTATTTTCTTCATTTAGCTACAGGTATGTTCTTTCAATGATTGGATAAGCTACCCTAAAATTTACCTAAAATATCAAGAACTATGACACTGACAAATATTACTAATTATTATTTTAATATTACTAAATTGTTATAGACAATGAAACTTCTATTGATTGTAACACCTTTTAATATTGCTAACCTTGCTAAGGAATGTGTGACGTAATTATCTTTGAGATCAGTGTAACGTAAAATATTCTGCTTGGCTGTATCATAAGTACATAAATCTGAAAAGAGGTCAAATTAGTATCCATTATCACATATAGTTTGAAAAGATGTAAAATTAGCACATAACATATTGATTTAATCCTGTATTACATTTCTGATTGGCTGAATACTTGCAGTTTTGATAATACCTTTAATCTCTTAATTAGAACAAAATCCATTTCCTACCCTGTCTATTTCTGATCTTTTTTTGAAATTATTTTCTTATACCATGAAAATAAACAGTAGTGAAAAAAACCTGTAAACAGTATTAAGTGTGTGCAAGATAGAGAAGAGTTACCTCCCATGTTAACCAGTGCTGCCCTCTGTACATTGGGGACCACTCCTCGATATAGGCCTTTAACACCACTTTCTGCCACTATTTTTTGAAATGCATCAAAAAACCCTTTCACTCTAAAATGAAAAAAAATAAAAGAAATAGGCAAGATACAAGATAGTGACAATGGTCAATGCTCAATTGTTTTCACAGTATACAAAGCTAAAATAAATTTTTTAAAAAAGTTTCTGACAAAACTGTAGCTTTACTGGTGTGTACTTATAATAAAGAAGGGGAAACAAAAGCTTGAAACTTAGTAACCCTGGCAATACCATACATAAGAATTATGATCCTTGGTTCATTTAATTTGGGTACCAGGTTTTACTGTTTATCTACCGGTAAATCAAAACCCAATAAACAGAAATATTATACTTCAGAATAATATAGTCACTCTGATTGGTTTAGAGCATGTCACATGCAGGGAGACAATTTGTGATGTCTCCCTCAAGTGCAGGGTGACAACTGCATTGTCTCCCTTTGGATAAAAAAATAAATGTTGTAAGCAAGATATATAGATATATATATTTTATATATTTCAACGGGATTGGTAATCAATAATTTCTCACAAAGATTTCAAAATGTCTGTTGACATATTTTGAAAGTATGGAATTAGAGCAGTGGGTAGGAGAACACAAGAAATTTGACTGACATTTTCTATTCTATTTTATCAAATTAAGATTCTTCAGGATAATAAAACTATTATGGACTGTATAGAAGGGAGACATCACAAATTATCAGGTTTGAGTAGGGTTGTCAACCATTGATCATCTAATTTTGTGCAGTGGCCAGATTAAATCACAAAAAGAACATGCATTTTCTTCTTTTCCTTTTTTAGAATATGCATCAATTTTTTTCTACACTTGAATGAGCATACCTTGGAGGTTTCCCCTCCAATTTTCTTCTTCCCTCCATCTGCATCTGGACTTTAATGAGGTCAGTTGGACTGGCTATCAGCTGTCCCAGAGCTCCAGCAATCAGGCCTCCTAGTGATGCCTTCCTATCAAGTGTTTACAAACTATAATTATCATTAGAATCAGAATGTCACCTGAGCACACTACAACACTGTCCAGTAAAGGATCCATATAATATAAAACAAAATAAACTGATAGATGCAAGGGAACTTGGATGATCAGGGAACAACAAAATAGTTAATCTATTACCCAGTGAAAAATCATGATGTAGCTTTTTTACTTGCCTGTACTTGCCAGTGATAATACACTCAATTTGTCACTATAACCAGACTGAACAAGTGCACTTATGGTAAACTCATCACATTTCCTCCCATATGATCCTTTCTTGGTATTTGAAGAATATTTATTGTACAAAGATAAGGTGTTTTTGCCTCATTTTCATTTTTCTATTATTTACATGTCTACCTAACCATTAAAATCTATGAAAGTACTATTTGTATTATACATTAAAAATTCTTGTACAATACCTTTAATTAACTGACCTATTAGTTACATTATTTACAGAGAATGATTATCACAGGTGAATAGCAAAGGGTAATAACTTCTCTCAGCAGAGTACCCAACAAGATCTGGGTGCGATTGAGCATTTTCCAGCACCAGATCACTAAACCAAGAGATCCAGAATTTCACTAATCTGGTGAAAATACCCTTGCTCATTATAACTTCAAACTTTATTTGCCTCTTAGATGCCCAGAAGCAGAGAAGAACTTCAAAGAATTTTTTTTTTTATTAAAAAAAGCATTTTCACTATATAATCAATACATCCCCTCCTTAACACACAACACCCCAGGTCTATGAATTTCACAATTTTTGAATTGGCATCCTTGCTCATCATAATCATGAACTTAGTTTGATTGCTTGATACCCAGGAACAGAGAAGAAGGTTTTCAAAGAAATAATGCATTTTCATAAATAATCAATAGATCCCCACCCCAACAACAGAACCCCTGACTAAAGGGCCATAAATTTTCCAATTTTGGAAGATGCACCTTTCCTCATCATAACTCATGCATTTTAAAATTTATCTGCTAAATACCAAGGGACAGAGAAGAAGATTTTGCAAAGAAATAATGCATTTTCACGATATGATCGATAGAAGACCGCCCTAACACAAAGCCCCTGACCCAGGGGTCATAAAATTCACAATTTTGGAAGAGGTACGCTTGCAAATCATAACCATGCACTTTATTTGTCTGCTTAATACCCAGGAGAAGAGAAGAAGATGTCCAAAGAATTAATAAATTGCATTTTCACTATATAATCAAATACAGCCCCACCTTCCCACCAGAACCCCTGACCCAGGAGGTTATGAAATTCACAATTTTGGAAGAGGCATTCTTGCTTGTCACAACCATGCACTTAGCTTGTCTGCTAAATATACAGGGGAGAGAAGTTTCTTAAAGAATTTATATGCATTTTCATTATATGATCTATAGAACCCCACCCTATCTCCAGAACCTCTGACCATGGGCCATAAATTTCAGTTAATGCTTATACAATCATGCCAACAGTTTGACTACTTGATGTCCAGGAGTAAAGAAGATTTTTTTAAGACAGCATTAATTTTGATGGTTTTAGCCTCATTCAACAGGCCCTAATGGGGGGGGGGGGACTATGAAATTGAAACTTTTCCTTTCCCTTCACCCATGGATGCTTTATGGCAAAATTGGTTGAAAATGGTTCAGTGGTTCAAGAGAAGAAGTTAAAAGTGTTCAAAAATTTATGACTGACAAATGACACAAAATGCACAACAATGGACAGTGACTCAGGTGACCTAAAATTGCACATATTATACTCCACAATCAAAAACATTTGTTATAACACTGCCAGCTAATAAATTTGCGATTTTTTTTATTCCACAAGTTTAAGATTTCTGATTGAAGCTACGTTTCATGTTCCGAAGCTCACTCATATAAAATTTTGCTTTTAGTAACACTAATGGTTTTCCAAAAGAAATCTAATTTATAATTAAAATGCCCACAATTTTAGTATACATTGCAGGGGAAATTTTGACAATAATGGCCTTTTAACTTTTCAATTCTATAAATGAGTAATAGAAATTTATCCCACTGCAAGTTATCTCTCTTATCAGAAGGCCAATGAACCTTAAAGATACAGATACATGTATCTCAAATCAATGTGTTTACTTTGATAAATGCTAAAATTGAAGAACAGTCCATCAATATATATAGCAACCCGCTTGTGCAGTTAAGAATTGGACAAAATTTGACATCACTTCATTTCAACATCTTGAAAATAACGTTTTCTTATAGTTATGTGAAACAAACCTTATATTTTTGGAAAGAGGATAAAATAAACTTTTGATCTATGTGCATATGTTTATGTTTATTTAATGATAAAAGTGTGTTTTGAAGCGGTAAAGTCAATACACACCAGTCAATATCGATTATATATATATATATATATATATATATATATATATATATATATATATATATATATATATATATATATGGCTAATCAAAGTACATACATGTACCTATAAATGCAAATCTACACTTCATATTTTTTAAAACGTATTATATAAATAAATGTAAACCAATACTTCATAATTTTTTACCATACTGGGAAGCTGCCATCAGCCTCTCTTTGTAGAATGTGTTCCCTGAATAATTCATAAATTGACATCCGGCTACCTGTGTACACTGCCAAACAAAAAAAAAACTCTCAAAGAACTCATTAATATGGATCGGAAAGATTCAAATTTCCATGCCTAATTTTTCTCTTATACAGATGAAGTTTCTAAGTGATGGATATTGACAATCTCACTTTATGATATTTTTAAAGGGAGATGTAATTTACTCTATTAAAACATATATACTGAAGAAGCTGGTTAAACTCGCTGTGATTCTTGCTTGTGGATTAAATGTTCCATATGATTAATGATTAAGTTCTCCAATTGGCAAAATCATCATAGCTAGCCAAGCGTGATGATCTGCTCCTCTCCTCTTTTCATTCTTCAAGTGAATCATTTCTTTTGGCTAACGAAGATATAATCACAAAATTGGCATATGCCTATACTGAAGATTCAATTGTATGAAAGATCACCTACACAGATTTTGCTTCTTTCATTACTTTTCTGAAATGAGCTGTACAATCTCTGGTTATACATTGCTTGGTAATTATATTTATTATTAATTTCTCTTTTTAAAAATGTTGAGCATTTGATCTAATTATCTATGGAGCAGAAACTAATTTTGAAGCAAGGCAAATAATGTATACTTATTATGCCATTGCTAGTTTAAGCCTATTAACTATAACCAGAAGTCTCTGATGAGACTGTAGCTCTACTGGTCTGTACATATAACAAAGGAAAAGTAGCACTTGGATTTGAAACTTTGCAACATGCAGCAATAAATAGAATAATGTATCTTAATGTAGTCTACTTGTGCGCCAAGTTATATTGAAATCAGACCAAAACTGAAGGAGGAGTAACATTTTAAAGAAATTTCACAGAAATTTCTATTTTTAGTAACCATGGCAACACCGTTTGTCGAAATCAAAAGTTGATGCACTAAGTTATGTATCTTAGTGTAGTCTATTTGTTTGCCAAGTTATTCTAATATCAGACGAAAACTGAAGGAGGAATAGCCTTTTAAAGGAATTTCACAGAAATTTCTATTTTTAGTAACCATGGCAACACCGTTCATCGAAATCAAAAACCGATGCACTAAATTATGTATCTTAGTGTAGTCTACTTGTGTGCCAAGTTATATTGAAATCAGACCAAAACTGTAGGAGGAGTAGCGTTTTAAAGGAATTTCACAGAAATTTCTATTTTTAGTAACCATGGCAACACCATTCATTGAAATCAAAAACTGATGCACTAAATTATGTATCTTAGTGTAGTCTACTTGTGTGCCAAGTTATATTGAAATCAGACCAAAACTGTAGGAGGAGTAGCGTTTGAAAGGAATTTCACAGAAATTTCTATTTTTAGTAACCATGGCAACATCGTTCATCAAAATCAAAAACCGATGCACTAAATTATGTATCTTAGTGTAGTCTACTTGTGTGCCAAGTTACACTGAAATTGGACCAAAACTGTAGGAGGAGTAGCGTTTTGAAAAGTAGCACTTGGATTTGAAACTTTGCAACATGCAGCAATAAATAGAATAATGTATCTTAATGTAGTCTACTTGTGCGCCAAGTTATATTGAAATCAGACCAAAACTGTAGGAGGAGTAGCGTTTTAGAGGAATTTACAGAAATTTCTATTTTTAGTAACCATGGCAACACCGTTTGTCGAAATCAAAAGCTGATGCACTAAGTTACGTATCTTAGTGTAGTCTATTTGTTTGCCAAGTTATTCTAATATCAGACGAAAACTGAAGGAGGAATAGCCTTTTAAAGGAATTTCACAGAAATTTCTATTTTTAGTAACCATGGCAACACCGTTCATCGAAATCAAAAACCGATGCACTAAATTATGTATCTTAGTGTAGTCTACTTGTGTGCCAAGTTATATTGAAATCAGACCAAAACTGTAGGAGGAGTAGCGTTTTAAAGGAATTTCACAGAAATTTCTATTTTTAGTAACCATGGCAACACCATTCATTGAAATCAAAAACTGATGCACTAAATTATGTATCTTAGTGTAGTCTACTTGTGTGCCAAGTTATATTGAAATCAGACCAAAACTGTAGGAGGAGTAGTGTTTGAAAGGAATTTCACAGAAATTTCTATTTTTAGTAACCATGGCAACATCGTTCATCAAAATCAAAAACCGATGCACTAAATTATGTATCTTAGTGTAGTCTACTTGTGTGCCAAGTTATACTGAAATTGGACCAAAACTGTAGGAGGAGTAGCGTTTTGAAAAATTGTTTACAGACAGACGGACAGACAGACAGACAGACAGACGGACGGACGACGGACACCTTACTATCGCATAAGCTCTTCTGGTCTCTGACCAGTAGAGCTAAAAAACATAACAGTCCAGTGCTCTACCAATTGAGCTAAAGGGTTGACCCTCTAACCCAAGCTAGTAGGAAGCCATGTATCTGACACTGCCACATTTACAGTGTTTTTTATTACATTGAAAAAATAGTTGATATGTCATCTTTGTGAGACATGACACTCTGCAAATTGATTGTTGAAAAAAAAAAATCATAATTAATTATACAAAATCAAATTGATCTTAATACCTTTATATCCAACTCATTTTAAAAATAAAAGGCTGGTTCCAGTAACTATGTATTTTGACAGATATAAATTACAATTAAGAGACTTAGACAACAGAGATCTTTATTTCTTTCTGCCCTATTCCCAGGAGATATAGATAAGACCTGCTTGATCAGAGATGCCCTAACAGCTTCCCACACTGAACTCATTAATTAATCTTTAACTGGATGCATTTCCACTCATTACTCCCAAGGGACTAATGGATTTACACTATCTGCTGTGTAATGTAACCAGAAGTCTCTGATGAGACTGTAGCTCTACTGGTCTGTTTGTATAACAAAAGAAAAGTAGCACTTGGATTTGAAACATTGCAACATGCAACAATAAATAGAATTATGTATCTTAATGTAGTCTACTTTTGTGACAAGTTATATTGAAATCAAATGAAAACTAGGAGTAGTAGCGTTTTGAAAGTATTTCACTAAAATTTCTATTTTTAGTAACCATGACAACACCATTCACCCAAATAAAAAAAAACAGAAATACATATTATGTATCGTAGTGTATTCTAACTGTGTGCCAAATTAGATTGAAATCAGACCAAAATTGTAGGAGGAGTAACGTTTTAAAGGAATTTCAAAGAAATTTCTATTTTAAGTAACCATGGCAACACTGTTCATTGAATTCAAAAACCAATGCAATAAATTATGTATCTTAGTATAGTCTTCTTGTATGCCTAATTATATTAGAAGCAGACTAAAACTGTAGCAGGAGTAGTGTTTTAAAGGAATTTCACAGAAATTTTTATTTTTAGTAACCATGGCAACACCGTCAATTGAATAAAAAAAACCGATGCAATAAATTATGTATCTTAGTGTAGTCTACTTGTGTGCCAAGTTATATTGAAATCGGACCAAAACTGTAGGAGGAGTAGCGTTTTAAAGGAAATTCACAGAAATTTCTATTTTTAGTAACCATGGCAACACCGTCCATCGAAATCAAAAACCGATGCACTAAATTATGTTTCTTAGTGTAGTCTACTTGTGTGCCGAGTTATATTGAAATCGGACCAAAACTGTAGGAGGAGTAGCGTTTTAAAGGAAATTCACAGAAATTTCTATTTTTAGTAACCATGGCAACACCGTCCATCGAAATCAAAAACCGATGCACTAAATTATGTTTCTTAGTGTAGTCTACTTGTGTGCCGAGTTATATTGAAATCGGACCAAAACTGTAGGAGGAGTAGCGTTTTAAAGGAATTTCACAGAAATTTCTATTTTTAGTAACCATGGCAACACCGTCCATCGAAATCAAAAACCGATGCACTAAATTATGTATCTTAGTGTAGTCTACTTGTGTGCCAAGTTATATTGAAATCGGACCAAAACTGTAGGAGGAGTAGCGTTTTAAAGGAATATCACAGAAATTTCTATTTTTAGTAACCATGGCAACACCGTCCATCGAAATCAAAAACCGATGCACTAAATTATGTATCTTAGTGTAGTCTACTTGTGTGCCGAGTTATATTGAAATCGTACCAAAACTGTAGGAGGAGTAGCATTTTAAAGGAATTTCACAGAAATTTCTATTTTTAGTAACCATGGCAACACCGTCCATCGAAATCAAAAACCGATGCACTAAATTATGTATCTTAGTGTAGTCTACTTGTGTGCCGAGTTATATTGAAATCGGACCAAAACTGTAGGAGGAGTAGCGTTTTAAAGGAATATCACAGAAATTTCTATTTTCAGTAACCATGGCAACACCGTCCATCGAAATCAAAAACCGATGCACTAAATTATGTATCTTAGTGTAGTCTACTTGTGTGCCAAGTTATATTGAAATCGGACCAAAACTGTAGGAGGAGTAGCATTTTAAAGGAATTTCACAGAAATTTCTATTTTTAGTAACCATGGCAACACCGTCCATCGAAATCAAAAACCGATGCACTAAATTATGTATCTTAGTGTAGTCTAATTGTGTGCCAAGTTATATTGAAATCGGACCAAAACTGTAGGAGGAGTAGCGTTTTGAAAAATTGTTTACAGACAGACGGACAGACAGACAGACAGACAGACAGACAGACAGACAGACGGACGGACGACGGACACCTTACTATCGCATAAGCTCTTCTGGTCTCTGACCAGTAGAGCTAAAAACCAGTCAGTGGTGCATAACAAAGTTTGAAAAGGCAACAGCCTTCAAGCTATTGTAAAATTGACAGACACTGTGCACTGCATGCAAAAATATTACATCATTCTCTTTATAACAAAGAAGTTTTTTTCTCCAAGTGTCATTTACCGTACCTATATGGGGAATTATTTACCGTACCTATATGGCAAATTATTTACCGTACCTATATGGCGAATTAAAGCTGGTTGTAATCCCTGATAAAGACTGAGTACTCCTTCTTCACGGACTGTAACAAAGAAAGTAGACATTATTTTTAAAAAATCTTAAATCATAAGAGGCCCATGGGCCACAACGCTCACCTGAGTTACACTGGCTATGCTGTTCTTAAGAAAAAGATTTCTAAAAAAGTTATTTTCCCTCTCTATTCACATGAATTTATGGCCCCATCCTATCCCCAAGGGGTGAACCAAGTCACGTCATAATTTGGATCCACATAACAAGGAAGTGCTTCAAAATCAGTATGACAAACATGGCCTTCTTCTGCTCTGGAGATTTTTTAAAAGATTTTTTCTGTGTACATGCATTAAGCAACATTAAATCCCATCATTGGATACCCACGGGTGATCTCAACTTTTACTCATTACCCGTGGACAAACTTGCCGAAATGTCGTCTTAAAATATGCTAATTTTGTTGTTATAGACAAAGAATCAGAAAGTTGGAACTCTTCAATTTTTAAAATACGTTTATTAGTTTGCTATTTATGCTTTAAAAATCTTGACACTCCTTTAAAGGTGCAAATTTTATGATTGAAGACAGATCGTACATGCCACTTACATCAAATACCAGTAAGAAATTACAGGGGAGTACCTTTCTCAAACTGAGAAATTATATGGGAGTACCTTTCTCAAACTGCGAAATGCACCTGTGAGTGGATTTATTTGCAATCCATGTGTTAACTACAGAAAAGTTTTTGTCATTGCTGAACATACATACGTAACGTCAACTTTAATTTGTTGATTTGCCATCGCGACTCTGCTAATCAAATGACCCGTGCATATTAATTACATGCGACAATTTTTCGGCGAGTTTGCCCAAAATCCTGGCCCTGCTGTTCTTAAGTAATATTTTGAAGATATTTATCTATATATTCCCATGTAACACTAAAGTGATGCTTTATTGTAGTTCCACACCACACCCTAGAGACATGATTTCAACAAATTTGAAGCTGCACTACCTGAAGATGCCTGCCAATAATGTGACTAATGATGCCCTAGCTAGCTTATAATTAAGAAAGAAGATTTTTAAGACTTTTTTACTACATACTTTGATCCCCTATTGTGGTCCTAGCCTAATCCTGGATGCAACATTCTGAACAAACTTCAATCTGCACTACCTGAGGATGCTTGCATATTATTACAACTTTTCATTGCCTTGCTCGTGAGAAGAAGATTTTTAAGGCAATGTACAAATTACCATTTGAAACTTTGTATCCCATTTGTCACCCCACCCTACCCCTTTAGGCCATGATTTCAACAAATTTAAATCTGCATTACAATACTGTGGAATCATTTAAATTCGTGGGGGTCAATGTTCGTGGGCAAGCAAAATTTTATTGGTTTGTGTGGATGTAATTTTGTGGGCAGCTCGTTTATTTGGTAGATAAAATCAATCAGTACGTTGACAATATAGTTGTTCGTGGGGATGTAAATTCGTGGGTAAGGGTTACCCACGAAATCCACGAACATTGATCCCCAATGAACAATGATGATTCCACAGTACCTGATGATGCTTGCTACCAACAGGACTAATCATGGCCCAGATTTTACAAGACTTTCACTATTTATTCCCATGTAAAAATTAGATATCCTATTGTGACTAAGCATGGTCTTCTGATCTAGAGAAGGATATTTTTAAAGATTTTTTCATAGAGATATATATATCCACATCTACCCCTATGGCCCAGGACTTGTACAAATTTAAAGCTTTCAAAATAGTTTCATTTTTTCTTGCTGATTGTTCTTGAAAAGATTTTTCATTACCAGGTAATTCCATCCCAATTTTGTATTGTCTCAAATATGTCCACTTGGCAGAGGGTGTGGCACTCCATTTGAATAAACTTGAATCCCTTTATTCAAAGATACTTTGAGATAAGTTTGGTTGAAATTGGCCCCATGGTCTGGAGAAGAAGATGAAATTGTGAAAAGTTTACAACAGAAGACAATGGAAAAATTTCAATCAGAATCTCACTTGAGCCTTTTTGCTCACTGGGACCTCAGATTTTGCTTCATTATAACCGAGATTCTTTACATCTATATAAACAGCATAGTAAAAAAGTCTTCTACAGAAATCATAAAAGATTCCTTATAACTAAGATTTCCTTGTAAGCAAGTTCTTTTTAACCAAGTTTTACTGTAATCTGTGATTATTAAATATACAAACTAGTAATTCCTCAAAATACCAAGCAACTTTTCTAGTGACAAATATCATTTACAGGATCCAATTCTAGACAAGTGCCACCACAGAAAACAGAGTTCCATTTTGAAAATATAGGATATTTTGAAATTTATCAGAATAACAAATATCAGACCTAGAGTTTATGCAAGAACCAGTTACTAACCTATCCCTAATGCTGTGCTGACCATTCCTCGTTTGGCCATGAGAGCTCCATCCCCCGCTTTCTCTCCCTGAATTTGCAGGCGGGTCTTGGTCAAGTCTAGAGGGTATGTAGCTGAAACAATGCAGAGAAAATTAATTTTATTCTTGATTAATCTAATAACAATCACACAATTAATTAGGATTTGTTCTAGTACATGTAGTAAGTTGCTGTTCATTATAAGTATTAAATGCACTTATCAGCATGATCAGTGAGTTTAGTTGAATCTTAAATTCTATGGTACTTTACACTGTATTTTAATATCAATACAATTTTTTTTTAAATTCAATGATACTTTATACTAAATTAAGGAAATTGTTTTTCATAAATTTAAAATATATTTTGAATTCAAATACAGCAGAAATTGAAGGCATTTTTGCAGCCAAAAGCTATAGTATTTCACTCCAGTCTGATCCCAAAATTACTGGTAATTCCTTCAATTAATGCTATAAAAATTCCAAATTATAATGATTTTTAACTCTTTAATTTTGCTTGAATCGAAAGTCTTGTTAATTTGATTCACAGTTGTTCAAGGACCATAAGAGCACATTGAAAATGCACAATTTCCTGAACTTTGATTAACATTTGATTAATTTTCATCAAATTTTTAACAAATACAGTATGCAGACTTTTCCATCAGTGTTTTTTTTAAAGACATAATCTGATATCAGTACTGTACTAAGTTTTGTAAATTTGGTAGATATGCTAGCATGTGTTCTATGTTTTTCAAAGCAAACTGTTCCTAAAAATAACTTGAAATTGAAAAAAATTGAAATTGAGAAAAAAAATGCAATATTCTTGTGACATTTATTAACTAATGAATGATGCAATCCCAATGGCTTGTAATCTTAAATTAGAAAATAGGGTAGGGAGTATCTTTCACTCTAATTTCATCATTTCATTCCAAATTGACATTCTCTAGAGAAAGGGGGAAAAGACTATATGCCCTTTGGCCCCTGTTAAATCTGCCTATGGACTAGCTATTCAGATACATACCTAGAAACTTTAATTTGCTACAACCTATCTAAAATTTTTAATTGATCTTTCTTCTATGATCATATTTCTGTCAGGTCACATTGTTAATGTTGTACTTGAAAAAGTCATACAAATATAATCATGACAATATACCCCAGTTTCTTAACAGTTACTTGTATTGTCTTCTACATGTATATAGAATTTAAAAATTGTATACTTTTAACACTCAATAAATGTTGACACATGGTGACTTATAAAGTACCAATGCACTGTCCCGTGGTATCTTTTGCAATTTAGTGGAATATATCTATTCAGTTTATATTTTTGTATATATATGTACATGATGTATATCTCTGGCTTTTTTGCATTATGGTACACGGTGGTACTTGTTTACACTTTACAATGTGTATTTCAAATTGTACATGTTAGCAATTATATCAACTTATAAACCAAGAGTAAATTGACTAAGTATATGTGTTAAGAAAATGCTGAATATTACTATTATCACATTTTGTGAATAATTATTATATTTATATGTTCTGTTTAATAATCATGTATGTAATATGCTCAAAAGGGCCCTGATTTGGAATAATAAATATTGTCAATTGTATTGAATTACCTCCCCTGATTAAGTTCTTTTAGAACATGTCTGAGCACAGGCACCTGAATTTTTATCAATCAGTCACTCAATAAGCCAAATATCGAAAAATTCTATCCCCTCTATGTATTTATATATAGAGGGGGTAGAATTTGATATTTGGCTTATTGAGCGACTGATTGATAAAAATTCAGGTACCTGTGGTTTGAGAAAGGGTGCCATCTTTATACTTAAATTTCTCATTCCTTTCTTTCATTAATTAGTTATACAAATTAAGGTTTGGTGGAAAAGGGGGGGAGGCAATGACCCCCTTTTAATCTACCTAGCTGTGTACAGACGTACTGTACAGTGTACACCAAGTTAACATCAAACAAAAACTGGTACAAATAATTCAGTATGCTTCCAAGAACAAATCTTGACAAGTCAGTTATCTATTTAAGTATTACCTGTAAAGGGGCCACTGGCCTTGAATATGTGTAAGATAAACACAGATAAACATTGAACTCCGAAGGTACATACATTATTTTTAAATCTTAACACGTGGCGCAAAAAATAATTTATAACCAGTTTTTTTCATTAAAGAGATTAACACTGACACACCTGTTTCTGCACAAACTGCTGCAATAGATGACAGGACATATTTAAACCAAAAGGAATCAGCTGATGATGGTGTTGCTAATTTACTCCCGCCTGTCATTTTGTAGCACTTGTGTTAAATCCTGCTGCTAGAAAAAATAACGTTTCTGTACTCAATGCTAATGATAAGATAGGTCTTTCTGTCTGAAAAATTCTCCACGAAAATTTCATCGTAGAGACTGGGACGTCACATACACATTTCACGTGTAAAACTTGAACTGAACTGTGTAAAACTACGCCACAGAAAGGGAGGTAACTCCTCGGTCATTTCCGTAGCCGCAAAAGGACGAGCCAATCTGATCCTTTGATCCGCTCACACAGATCGCTACCTATGTGAGCCACGGGCGCTGGAAGTTAATGCAAATATTGAGTATGTGCATGTATAAAAAGGGATGCATACTCAATATTTACAATTAAATTCACTTTATTGACAATTACCATATCGGCATACAGTCATGAACAATAATAAACACGATCAATACATGCATTTATCCCATATGTTTACCCTTTATCCCGTGGATATGACTCACGGTAAAATACATCCCCTCCTCCCCTCCCCCTTTTCAGTGCTTCTGTTTGTTTGGATTTCATTGCTAATGCATCAAATTCTTTTAAAATAATATATTTAGACAGAAAATGACAATGTCGATTTACTGTGTTGAGCGAAATGCATGAAACCTGCAGAACACCATAACAAATAGATAAAAGTAACACTCTCTAAAATTATTTATGCACAAATAATTTAAAAATTTAGAAATAAAAAAAAAAACGCTCCTAAAAAGAGCAAATCATGACAAGGCCAATGATCTTATACATGTATCTGCACAATTTTTCTGACCGTAAAATACATTCCCTCCCCCCCCCTTTTCAGTTTTTCTGTTTGTTTGAATTTCATTGCTAATGTATCAAATTCTTTTAAAATAATATATTTAGACAGAAAATGACTTAATGTCGATTTACTGTGTCGAGCGAAATGCATGAAACCTGCAGAAGAACATAACAAATAGATAAAAGTAACACTCTCTAAAATTATTTATGCACAAATAATTTAAAAATTTAGAAATAAAAAAAAACGCTCCTTAAAAGAGCAAATCATGACAAGGCCAATGATCTTATACATGTAGCCTATACATCTGCACAATTTTTCTGACCGTCATTGGATATTTTTTTGATACCCCACAGTCAAGTGCAGTTGTGACGTCACAATGGTTTTTGCGTTAGCGTGATGAAGTAAAATAAAGTGGAGTCCTATAAAAAACAGTGTAAAACATTGGTTGTGAAGTATTAAACATGGGATAAAAAGAATCTCCCATGATTTGTAGTTGGATATGATTTTTATCCAACGAGTTGTAGGTTTTTATCCCATCGCCAAGGCTCGGGGATTAAAAAAAAACACACACAACTCGTTGGATAAAAATCATATCCAACTACAAATCATGGGAGATCCTATATATACAAAGTGACAAATGTGAGGTAAACAAAATAATGTAGAGTATAACTCTAAACAGTATTTATCATGGATGGGCACTGATTCTTAATTTTGTTACTGCAGATCTATAACTTTTTTTTTCAAAGGTAGCTTTAAATAATAATTTTTGTAGTAATGAAGACAGTTTTCTTTGCATAGATATTCCGACTAGATACAATTTTTTGTCTTCTTTAAATGCAGAAATCACTAAATAATTATTATAATCATGTTTGCATACCATTTCCTTGAGTCTCTTATAATATTTAAACATATATTCATAACATAAATAGTACAAAGGAAAACGACCCAATTAAGATAAAACAGCAAGATTTGATGCCTTTCTATATACCCCTAGTATGTCTTTAAATATTAAGTGTTGTGTTTTTTCAAAAGGAAATTGGTCTGAAGACATAAAGTCACATTTAATTGAAGTCAGTTATCCATACTTCATATCCAAAAATTGAAAATTTATGCTATAAATTAGGCTTTATTATAAATCAAAAAATAGGAGGAAAAATCAGTTGGTTTGAAAATATTAGAAATATTTGGAATAATTGTGGACTATCTAATATTTGGCTTGAACAAAACTCAAATAATACAAAATGGTTAAAGCTAAACTCACATTAATTGATCAATTCAAACAAAGTTGGCAGTCAACTCAATCCAATTAAAATTAGATCTTCCATTCGCTCCCCGATTTTTTATATGTCGCGACATATAAAAAATCGGGGAGCGAATGGAAGATCTAATTTTAATTAGATTGGCAGTCAACTCTTCAAACTTCACCTAAAGCATTAAATTATAGAATATACAAAGACGAATTAAAGTTTGAAAACTATTTTAATATTTTATCAAAAAAAGGATTTAACTACATTTTGTAGATTCCGAACTTGTAACCATCATTTACCAACTGAAAGCGGACGTTGGCTTAATATACCAAGACTAGACAGAATCTGTTCCTATTGTAATCTAGAAGAAATCGGATATGAATTTCATTATATACTTACGAAAGCCCATTGAGCTCATTTTCGTAGGTTAAGAAAAATATTTTTTCTCTTTATAACACGAAAGTTTCGCGTTATAACGAGTAACTTTCGCGTTGTAACGCGTAACTTTCGCGAATTAACGCGAAACTTTCTCGTTAAAACGCGAAATTATACACATATAGTCATGTTTCTCAGGAACCTGTGATCTTGACTGACAGATAAGAAACATGAACCCAGACGGGGACCTCTATGAATTTATAAATGACATTTCTTCAAAAGATGTAAAAGAAAATTGATGCGAGAAATGGATAGATTAGTGTCAATTTTGCATTTAATCTCAAAACCCTACTAATTAATAAAATGAATATTCCTTTAAAGATTCTCTCCTTTTTCACTTGTTGAATTCAAGAAATTCTTTAGACTGATTTTTTTCCTCAGGAATATCTCCACTCGTCGCTTTCTTTTTTAAGGCTCTTTTTTATCACTAAAGTTCACTATAACTTTACCACTAGTAAAGGAATCCATCATTTTAGGCTATAAGTTATACACTTTAGAAATCTAGCTTAAAAGTGAGGGAACAAAGTATCATTTCATGAGCTTAACGTGCCATATGATTCTTTTGAAAGAATAATTATAACAAGATACTGTTAATCAGAAATGTATCGGGGAGGAGGGGTCTACTTTTTTGATTTTCATCCATAATATTATTTATTTATATATACGAGGGGTTGTTAAAAAGACTAGCGTTATAAATGAAAACTCTAATTAACTGGGATTTTTGACTGAGGGGTTTTTATTTTAATCAATTATGTTTAATTACCGCGTTATATCTCCACAATAAAAACACGAAATTTATAAACTATGATCATAAGGGACATAATACGCTTTTAATTTCAAGTAACTGAGAAACATGGGACAAGTCCTTTAAGGTATACAGCAAAGAGTATATATATATATATATATATATATATATATATATATATATATATATATATATATATATATATATATATATATATATATATTCGCGTTATAACGCGAAACTTTCGTGTTATAACGCGTACCTTTCGCGTTATAACGCGAAACTTTCCCTGTAAAACAGAGACATTTGCATAAGTCTCCATTGTCTTTTACTTTATTGATCTAGTTTATTCATTACAATGAAAAACGAAAGACTATTTTGAACTTGGATTCTCATAAGCTGAAAATTTTATGGTTTCTCGCCATTGAATGCGTCTTTCCTCTTTCTAAATCTTTTTTTGCCGTCACATTTTGTTCTCAACGCTGTTCAAACATTTTCAAAGTCTATGCGAGTTTCTCAAAAGTGCATGAAACTTTCGGGAAAATAATCCCCCTTTCCGGTGTCATTTTTAACACTCTCAATAGAATTCGAAATAAAATTAAGATCTCAGAAAATTGAAAACAGTGAGATACATTTATATATTTTACAAAACAATTGTGTCACATCACATGAGTAACCTAATGTTAAAATTGGATGACAAATATCCGTATCAAATGATCATCTCCGATAGACTCACTGTAGAAATACAACATAATATTTAAAAGTTGTGCCACGTGGTCATACCATTACTTACGAAAACATCGACAATTTATTCAAAGATATATATATATATATATATATATATATATATATATATATATATATATATATATATAAATATATATATATATAAAGCACTAAAAATGACCAACGACACGAACAATTATAATTGTCAAATTTTCGGGACAACCTGTCCCTTCCTCAGGACAAAGAAAAAAGTTAAGAAGTCATAAAAACAAAGGAAATAGAGAAGCAAAAACAACTAGCACTACTACTAAACTACCAAACACTAAATATTTACAATGTTACATGTTTAAGGATACACCAAAGGTTTCCAAATGCCGGAATTTAATTTGCATGTAATTCCTTCATTATCAAAGATAACATAATAAAAGTATATATCATTTGAAAGCTTGTTAAATTTACTATTTAATTATCCTAATTTAAACTTTAATTAGTAACTTATTTAAAAATTATTTAAATATTAATGTAAATTTTAGTGCATAAATATTTTATAAATCAACTTTTTTGTATTTAACCCCTCAAAGTGCTAATTTTGCCTCAAGGTAGATTAAAGATTAAACTTAAAAACTGTATCTCAGATTTTTGATAAATCTTCTAATTCAAAAGTTACAGCCATTTGTCCTTCAATGTTAACAATTTATTAGCCTAATTTAACATTTCCCTCAATAATTCCAAAACTAAGCTAGATATCAAAAATCTGAGATACGGTTTTGTGAACATACATTTGAGAAGTAACCCGTCCAATTTTCAGAGAAATTGGTCAATAAATAAGGGAGCCGAATCCTTTGAAATCATACCACAAACTGTCTGATCTTACTTTACAGTAGAGGGCAAAAACCCATTACACAACAAAATCTGCCAAAGCTAGGAATATATGACACCTTGGAGATTCAGCTTTGGATGCCTGTCACTTAGCCATATTTTCCATGCATATTCACAAGAATGGGAGGTTCTTTTCTGTATTTAGATGCTTTTAATTAAGTAAAATAGGTTCAATTCTGAATCAGTAAGATTTCCCGGCAAAATGGCAAGAGCTAAGCTCCACCTCCTATTTTATGGTCATTAGTGATCTGTTAGATCTTCTTCTCTAAATCTAGAGTCCCTGTAGTTTAATTACTGATAACCTCTGTGTGGCTAGTGAAGAATTCCCCAAGTGGTCACAGTGATTTATTGCGTCTTTCATGAGCAGGCAGTCACAGATCAAATCAGAAGCTCCAATAACGGAACATTCACATGTGGTAGTGTTTATGTTTCATTATTCTTAAATAATTAGAAAACCATTTCATAATTACCAAAAATTTTACATGCATTATAAAGCAGTGATTAACTTCTTTTTCTTAGCCAAAAATCTCAAAATTGTTGAAAATCTTGAAAAAAGCCTTTGGTGTATCCTTAATTTGGAGTTTATAAACAGTTGTGAACAAAGAAAACCGGAGCGCTATGAATTGCGTCCGGTCTATCGGGTGTACGCTGGTGAAGTGTGATTTACATAATTGAACGAATTAATTATCGCTAATTAATTACGACCAACAGTAAATCGTACATTGTCTTATTCTCTCAAAATAGCGGAACTCTACATGATAAAAAGAAATTAAAGAAAGATAATATGGAAGGACAATTTTGAAATATGAATTTGGATATATTATAAATTTAGAAATCGGAAAAAAGAAATAAACAAAAATGTAAGCTGTAAATATTTGGGTAGGTTGTTCCAGGATTGCTAAAACGAATTAACGGTAAAGTTTACACTATATAGAGAGAATGAACTTGTTTGTTACAATCCGGGATTGGGTCTAGTTCACGTTCATCCTGGTGAAGTCATTAAGTTTGTTAATACCATTAGGGCGGAATGACTTCAGCTTGTGCATCCAGAACTTTTCTTTGCCTTTTCTCTGCGCTTCTGTCCATCTTGAATTATGGTCAATAACCACTACTGTCATGTCCTCCCATTTGTGACCTTCAAGGTTGAAATGATCCCCAACGGGTTCATTGAGTTTTTTGGTCCTAATGGTAGAACGGTGATTATTGACTCTCCTGCGGAGATCTCCTGTTTCACCAACATACTGTTTGGAGCAAACTTTGCAACTGATGAGATAAATGCAGTTGTCTGTTTGACAGGACAAATTCCCTAGTATTTTGTAGCTGCGGCCTGTAACGGGGCTGTTAAAACTGTCTGTGTCAAGGCTGTACTTACAGAGAAGACATCTTCTGTCAGAGCAAGTTTTAAAGCCCCCGTTAGGTAATGGATTGTCCAATCTGGTTCTTACTACCATGTCCTTTAGGTTCCTCGGGCGTCTGTATGCAGCCAATGGGGGCTCCTTAAAGACCTCTGCCATTCGTTTATTTGAGTGGAGAATTGGTAGATTCTTTTGAAGGATACCGCTGAGGTTCTTAAGGACGGGATGGTATGTGGTTTCCAGAGGGACCCTGTCGCTATTGTCTTTTTCCTTGTAGCGTAATAGGTTTTGCCTGTCATGTCCCGCCATCTCATCAATAGCAGTTTGTACGGTGCGGGCATTGTATATATATACGAAAATGAGCTCAATGGGCTTTCGTATATACTAAGGTACAGTTCACTACAAAAAAAAAAAAAAGAATGCTATGTTTAACAGAAAAACACATAAGATTGAAGAATATAATTAGTTTTAAAAACATCATGAATAGTATAATCAACACTGCTTTCTGAGAAAACTGTGTTCGTTTATAAAGAAAATAAATAAAATATGCTCCCCGGCCTAGAATTCCCATACTTCACATATATAGCAACGTACTAATTTTTGTTCTTTATTATTCACGTATGCCAATGTTATGTATTAAATCACCCAAATGTTGTAAATCTCTATATACTATTGTAAAATGGTGAAGAGATTCAAATTAAAATGATTGATTTGATAGATCCATATGTGGTAATTGGTATTATCATTGACTGATATAATATCAACATAATTTCAGCTGAAAAATTAATATTTGCAGGAAAATTTGATTTAATAGCATAATGCTTCTGATAGTTGTTCAGCTGCAAATATCAGTTTTCCATCAGATACAACACCCAAATATTTATATTCATTATAGTCATTATAGTGTATGTTAATCATTTGGTGATTGTAATAAAATCTAAATGATGTTTCATCAACTGTTTGATTTTCTTGAAAAAATTCAAAACATTCTGTTTTGTTTTTGTTTTTTCATATTAACACACAATTTCCAGTCTGAACAATATTTTCCTAAAACGTCTATAAATTTACATTAATTTCCAGTGCCCGTAATATGAGCGGATCAAAGGATCTGATTTTAATCACATAGAAGGACGAGCGTTCCGAGATTCAGTTGTTCCATATATAACGATAAGTGACTTTAGTCATATATTAATTAATATAAAAGCTATCAATATATATAATGGATCTCTCTCTCTCTCTCTCTCTCTGTGCGACTAAAAAAAATAACTGCCAAGTTGAGACTGCGCCAGTTGATAAGTAAAAGCATTTTGGAGTTTTAGCACCACAAACTTTAGGTATGCAGCATGTACATAAAAAAAAATACATAAAAAAGAAACACATTGAAATACGATTATAATTGTGTTTCTTTTTTTTTGGGGGGGGGGCTAAAAAACATTCCATAAAGTGACATGCAAATTTTCTAACATATTGTTTGTGAAAAAAGGTCAATATTTCATATGTGCAGATCCAAATACATTGGAAAGACTATTAAAAAGTATAAATTGACATATATCTGGAAAAATTCCCAAAACTGATTTTAATGTTCGAATTGATTATTTATTTCTAAATTGACTTATAGTATCTTTTTGTGTTACAACACATTTGACACAAATTTACACAAATTTGACACAAATTATAAGTTTAGTGACTACAACCAGGGACCTATATATACTAGGTCCATGCTAGAACTGACTACTTGGAAAAATTGGATCGGGCTCGAAATGTTTGATGAATCACCAGATTTCCCCTTCCGAGATAGAATGTAGATTTTATCAAAACTTACAGAGGAGTTAACTAATACTTTCGATTTCCGATAAACTATTCTACGAAATTAAAACTTAAATTAGCGTTTGAGTTAAAATAATTTTTGTGTTTTCATTGGCATATTTTTTTCTATAACGAAAGGAAACTAGATATAGGACTTCTCCAACACGCGCAGGAATTTATCACGGTCAAGATGGAGGCGATAGCGAAACATGACTTCAGAGCAACTGCTGATGATGAATTAAGCTTTTCCAAAAATAATATTTTGAAGGTATTTGATTCTTTTTCTCAGTTTAATTAGTAGCGTTTGACTCATACATGTTGGTGTCGTTTTTGCTGATTATAAATTTGTTTTGGATACTTGGGCGAGTTGACTTCCTGGAAGAAAATGACATCAAAAATAGTTTCCAATGTTTGATTATTATCTCGGTGCTAGTTTACCAAGTTCGAGATTTCGGACTTAGTGTGTCATATTACATTGTATACAAGAAGGCACTGTATTAATTGTTTTTTCTCAATGATCTCGAGCATGAGTCATTAATAATCAGTATACCTACGCATTTAAACTTGAATATTGAGTAATGGTATACTTCTTTGAATAGTTGGACTTATATAGGTCATATCATGCAACTATTTAGACAACCATAACCTTCTTTAAACTAGTTGTTTAATAAAATTTAACATTGCTTTTGGGATGTCAGTATTTGATTTTTGTGAAAAAGATCTTTGTTTGAGACAATATACTCTGAATCTAGGCTTTAAAACAAACTTTGTACTAAGTTCAAGGAATTAATTTAATCATATGAAGTACTAACTGCAGATCTGTAGCTCAAGGATCTGAAGAAATTAGATGAACAGGGAGCTACATTTCCATGCATTCAAGAAAAGTTTGATTGTTATACACAAAAAATGTGATTTGAGGATTGTGTAACAGGAAAGGAGAAAATGTATGGCCGGATTTGGAATCAAACATGGGGCCCCTGCATCACAAGTCAGGTCCTCTTTGCACTAAGCTATCCACAGCCCAAACCATAACATTTCTCCTTCCTTAAATTGTCTTCACCCTCCAAGACACAATCCAAGTTCTTCTTAACCCTGGCAGGACTTTTACCTGCAAGTCCAGGGGTGGTAGATGGCACCAAATTATATAACAGGAAGAGGCAAAAATTAATGGCTGGACGGGAGACCTCTGCATAGTGTTGTACCGATAATCAGAAAACATCGATTGTCGACGAAAAAATGATACCGATTCCGATGATCGATTATAATTTTTCATAATCGATCATCAGAATCATACATTTAATACAACATATTCCGGAATTATCCATTTCTGGTTTAAAATTTATTTCTTCTTAATGAAAGAAAATGGCGTCTGCATCTGATACTAGCCACCTAGCACGAAGCAGAGGTGATTAAGAACCAAAAGGTGCATATATAGAGAGTGTAAAAGAAGCAAAACAACAAAGAAAATAATATGTTATATATTTTATATATTCATGTTAAAGAAATAATATGAAAAAATTGTAATAGTCTGCTTTTTATATACAAAACTATGACATCCGATTATAATCGGTAAAATCGCATCAGAAGCAGTAACCGATTCCAACCGATGATCGATTATGAAAATTAACCGATGTCCCATCACTACCTCTGCATCTCTAGTCAGGTGCTGTAACCACTGAGCTACTCAGGCTGATATCCATGGCCCAAACCATTACAGTTGTATTTTTGTGCTGCCATCTCAGAATGTTCTAATCATCTGTTCTTAGCATACTCTTTATTATTTTGACAATAAAAAAATCCTCGTGAAAGAAAATTTGCATATCTGAGGTCTGAACTAATACAAAGATGTATACACATGTAATGTACTGCTAAAGGTCTGTTTATAACCCAGAATTTTAAAATATTAATCATAAATGTAGTAAATATGAACAATTGGTACAAAACCATCAACTTACTTGTTGTCATAGTTTTGGGGAGGGGAGGGGGTATTAGGCCTAAAGAACCAAAAGACTGAATTAAAAATAAAAAAGATGTTTGCAGTTTGAATGTACACAATTCATACAGGAGGCACTAGTGGCCATTACCCAAGTCGTCATGCCACCCACAACATAAATGGGCCCAAAAAAATTATGGTCTAACTTTCTTGTAGAAGTAGTAAAAGAATGATTTATGAGCACACAGTAATACATGAAATGGTAGCTTAAAATTATGGAGGCATAAATCTCAAATTTCTTTTGTGTAACAGTTTATTAAATATTCACTTATATGAATTCATGTAACTGTAACTCTCTGGTCATCCATCCCAATTTTCTTTAGACAAATGAGGTACAGATCTGTAAATAAAGAATAACAGATCAGCATTGAATTGTGTTTGTGGAGGAGAGGGGGGGAGGGACATTGACTAATGGTTATCATTCACCCCTTTTGTAATAGGGAAAAGAGCCGCATACTGGCTCACAGAATGTACATGAAGTAATGTTGGGATTCAAATTGACAGGTTTTTAAAAAAAAAAAAAAAATTTGTCATTTCAGATTTTTATCATATTTGTACTATAGACCATTGGTCCACTTCCCCACTATTGGACCCTAAGCATGCAGACAGCATTCCTTTTGATCATAGACTTCCTTGTGTACATACAGTCATGTACCTGTATTAAAAAAAAATGCTCATTATTCAAGTGTTTACATTTACTCAAAAATATGTACCTTGAAGAAAATTTATTATAATCAATGTCAAGGATTCACATATTATCTGGGTAAGAGGTAATACAACAAAACGAGTTTTAAAATCATTTTCCAGGTGCCCTGCTCTAATTCTCTACTAATATTCATAGGATTAAATTTGTTTCAGGGATTTCTTCTTGGTTTTGAATGTTTGTAGAAAATTTATGACATTTTCATTACAGACCCTGTAAAACGAAACTCTTCCTTAATTTCAGTGACTCCCCCACAACATATGTTTGCTGATTTATTTTATTTTATGTAAGGAATGAAAGTTTTTACTTGATATAATTTTGAAAATTGATTTTAATATTTAATAAGTATCCACGAAAATAGATTTTGGGAAGAAGTGAAAAAGGAGAAGTTATGCAGGTTTCCTTATCAGGAAAATATTTTGTGTGTGATAAAATATGCCAGGAAGGATTAATTAGAGAAATATTTAACTATATCATGGGAATATTTTACGTAGAGCATTGATTGCTCCACATACAAAAATTCTAAATTTTACAATAATTTTATATATATATATATTTTTAATGTGGTTAATGTTGTCTGATTATGTTGTCTGAAGACCAACAATATACTGATAACTGGTATGCAATTTTTTATGGGGGGTGGGGGAGGTTTAATTAAAAAAAAATCTTTAAGTGTTTTACTGACCTACTGACCTGATTTTTGGTAAACAAGTCTTGAAAATCAACTAAAACAAAAAAGTGGCCTAATAAAAGATGGAAAAAGAAAATGAATTTGGATGTTTAGTGCATATTTGTATGTGTATGGCATGCACAAAAAAAGAAGACTTTAAGTTTATCTTACATTTACTCACAAATAAGGAGGTTGGAGCAGGTTTATTTTATCAGATATAAGAAATGTGTGTGTCTTGTCTTCTTGGATTCTGATAAAAAGTTATTTTACCTAAAGGTACATGTATAATTGTATTTTTTGCAAGATAACAAAGTTCACAGTGTTTGGTTCTTGTATTCCATCCAATCATAGCAATCATAGCAACAGAAGTATGTAGACATGGATAGTCTGACACCGAAGTACATGTTCTAATTTTTTAAGGATGAAAAAAAATAAAGCACTTTAAATATCTGTTTCTTTATGTAATAACTAATTTGCAATCTAAAGAAAATTTATCCAATGCGAATGTTTCCTAATTTTAGATTCTAAGTATGGATGATGACCAGAATTGGTTCAAAGCAGAGCTAGATGGTAAAGAGGGATATGTACCAAATAACTATATAGAAATGAAACCTCATCCGTGAGTATGCTGTTACAATATATATTGAACATCACCAAGAAAGCATAGAAATAATCATTTAAATTGAAGTCAGTCATGAACAGAATATATTGAGTATATTGTTTTCTTGGAGTTGTAAAAGCTTAATGGTTAAGGTTCATTTTATTATATAACATGCGATATGTGGACACTGATAGAAAGCAATATTTTGTCATTTATGAGGGTTTCATTTTGTATACATATGCATTCTGTTTACATCAAGAGGATTGATTAAGACTGTGTTTAATTTCCACTAATAGGTGGTTTGCTGGGAAAATTCCTCGATTAGAAGCAGAAAGGCGATTATTAGAGAAAGATGGTAGAGGAAACTTCATACATCCAGACGGGGCATTTCTGCTGAGGAATAGCGAGAGTGCTCCAGGAGAGTTCTCAATATCAGTAAAGTAAGTCTACGTTTATAGACTCTCAATATCAGTAAAGTAAGTCTCCCTTTATAGACTCTCATTATCAGGAAAGTAAGTCTCCCTTTATAGACTCTCAATATCAGTAAAGTAAGTCTCCCTTTATAGACTCTCAATATCAGTAAAGTAAGTCTACGTTTATAGACTCTCAATATCAGTAAAGTAAGTCTACGTTTATAGACTCTCAATATCAGTAAAGTAAGTCTCCCTTTATAGACTCTCATTATCAGTAAAGTAAGTCTCCCTTTATAGACTCTCAATATCAGTAAAGTAAGTCTCCCTTTATAGACTCTCAATATCAGTGAAGTAAGTCTCCCTTTATAGACTCTCAATATCTGTAATGAAGTCTCCCTTCATAGACTCTCAATATCAGTAAAGTAAGTCTCCCTTTAAAGACTCTCAATATCAGTAAAGTAAGTCTCCCTTTATAGACTCTCAATATCTGTAAAGTAAGTCTCCCTTTATAGACTCTCATTATCAGTAAAGTAAGTCTCCCTTTATAGACTCTCAATATCTGTAAAGTAAGTCTCCCTTTATAGACTCTCAATATCAGTAGTCTCCCTTTATAGACTCTCAACATCAGTAGTCTCCCTTTATAGACTCTTAATATCAGTAAAGTAAGTTTCCCTTTATAAACTCTCAAGATAAGTAAAGGAAGTCACCGTTTATAGACTTCTCCATAAAATTTGCTCGTAATTGGCATAGAGATTAAAAGTTATCTGTGTTGCCTAAGGGAAACAAAGATGCTTTTTTTTCTGATCCATTTCTCCTTCTCTTTAGACCATTGTCTTTCAAATTATTTTTTTTTTTCTAAGCAAAAGTTGAGAATTTGGCCTTCACTGAGGATGATATTTTAAAGGTCACAATTTGTGAAAAGAAATCTTGTTAGGTCCCTATTTGAGAAATGTTACATAGAAATCATAATGGTGCACACAGTTTTAGTGTTTGACCCAGTATTCAGTCATGGTCACTTCTTTAGTTAAAGGTCAATGCCATCTTTGATGCCATCATTTTAAACCTTAAATCCTTCATCATTCATACTTAGTTCATTTTATGAATCAGATATATTTTCTGTCTTTTGAAATTTGTCCGATAGAAATGGTACTGTCTTTTTGGATGTGATTATTATTAACAGGAATGTCATAAAGGTCAATAACAGGAATGTTACAAAGGTCATTAACAGGAATGTCATAAAGGTCAATGACAGTCATAAAGGTCAATAACAGGAATGTCATAAAGGTCAATAACAGGAATGTCATAAAGGTCAATAACAGAAATGTTATAAAGGTCAATAACAGGAATGTTATAAAGGTCAATAACAGGAATGTTATAAAGGTCAATAACAGGAATGTCATAAAGGTCAATAACAGGAATGTTATAAAGGTCAATAACAGAAATGTTATAAAGGTCAATAACAGTCATAAAGGTCAATAACAGGAATGTCATAAAGGTCAATAACAGTCATAAAGGTCAATAACAGGAATGTTATAAAGGTCAATAACAGGAATGTTATAAAGGTCAATAACAGGAATGTTATAAAGGTCAATAACAGGAATGTCATAAAGGTCAATAACAGGAATGTCATAAAGGTCAATAACAGAAATGTCATAAAGGTCATTAACAGGAATGTTATAAAGGTCAATAACAGAAATGTTATAAAGGTCAACAACAGAAATGTTATAAAGGTCAATATCAGGAATGTCATAAAGGTCATTAACAGGAATGTCATAAAGGTCATTAGCAGGAATGTCATAAAGGTCAATAACAGGAATGTTATAAAGGTCAATAACAGAAATGTTATAAAGGTCAATAACAGAAATGTTATAAAGGTCAATATCAGGAATGTCATAAAGGTCATTAACAGGAATGTCATAAAGGTCATTAACAGGAATGTCATAAAGGTCATTAACAGGAATGTTACAAAGGTCATTCCATGCCTGTTGTCCATTTTGACATGTGGCCCACAGTGAATAACATTATAATTTTCAAGACATTTGACAACTTGTATCCCCTAGCAGAAATCAGTTCAATGTATCAGATATCTTCCTCTCAATAAGAGCATAAATGTCAGATGTAACCATCAGTTTATTAATACATGTATATGTTATACTTTGTGACATTTCTGTTAACTTAATATCAATTAATATCACTCCAATTCAACAATTCTTAATTGGATGGAAGTTGAAACGGCACATGAAAAGTCAAAATATATATTTAAAAAAAAATGCATGACTTTGATATTTTAGATTCTTCCTGTTGGCCATGGTTTCATTATTTGCATCATTAAAAATTTACTGAATCAAATAAAAAAATTCAGATACATGTCATGAAATAAAGAGCAGTTGATAAGGCAATTAATAATGATGTGTCTATATGAAATTTAAAACAAAAGTTTAAAGAAAGACATTTAAGATAAGCAGGTCATACAGCTTGGGGGGGGGGTCTCTAAAATGATACAGATGCACAGTTCTAACCTGTCAGTACTTGTTAAGAACAATTCTGTACTTTTATATGCCCTTGCTATTGTGATGTAATCAAAGATTTGTAGAAAGTTGACGAAGCTCTCATTTCCTTGGTTTGTATCAAGTATTGTACGTAATAATCAGGACACAGGAAGGCTATAAATAATGTAAATCAACCATACACAAAAATTTGGCTGTTTTCTGTGCTTGAACAAGAACTTTTTTTTTCTGTAGTTTTGAAGATTATTGTGAAGTAAGTGGTAAATGCTATTATTATATTCTAAAGACGTAATACATGATACATCTAGCATGTGAAATGATTTCTAAGAACTACGGTCTACATATACATTTGCCTCAGAGTTTGAATTATTTATCAAAGGAAAATTAAGAAATCATCCAAATGTACCCTAAATGCCAAATAAAGAGCCAAATGAAATAGATGTCTAGTGGAAGCTGCTCCAGTAATATGAACATGTTGAGTACCGGTACTGGTTTTGACAATAAATATAGATCTTACACTTTACATTACACAAGATAACTATCATTAAGTTAAATTTTTGCATCTAAATTTAAACCTTCAAAACAAGTCCACTCAGCATTTGCAGTAAAAACACAGATTTAGGGAATTCTCAAATATTGGGATTTTTTTTTCAATCTCCATCAACATTCTTTATAATTCCTTATAAAGGAACCAGTGCACATTTGACTAGCATTTGGCAGGAAACTGAGCACACTTGGCAATGACAATTTCAGTGATCTGTCACATGAAATTTTAGCATTCTTTTGATGTATCAGGTTCCTGTGTAATAGGAAAGGGAAACATTTTCCTCAGATTGTGTTTTGATTTGCTAAGAAATAACTTGAAATTTGGCGCGGTGAGTCATTGGGTAAAAAAAATGTTACATTTTTAAACACATTTTTCTAAAAATTTGCCATCTTGGGGTCATCTTTCCATGATTTTAATACGTTAATTGTGTGCATTTTTATTTCAAAGCAAACATTTGTAAAAATGGAGGGAAGACCCATAAAAAGACCATAAAATATTATTTTTTTATCCCCCCCCCCCAAATTCATTGTGTAAATGCGGTGCTTCATTGTTGTTTTGTGAAGCAAAAATAGCTCAGTATTACGCATTACCAGTCTAAAACACTCAGGAATTGAGAACTTTTTGGTTTGATCCTCACATGGAGCGTTAAATTTTTTTGATGCAAACAATCAAGTCATTTGTCAGTTTAATTTTATTTACTGATTATTTAAAATTTTAAAATGGATAAATTTTGCTTTATTTGCACTGAGAGCAAAAACAATTTTTCCAACCTACTGAAACTTTAATATAATTGAATTTAACTCTATCAAATTATCTGTTTATTTGGCCTGGTTTTTATCATTTATGTGAAGTGTTACTTTGTTATCATAACTATTAAGATAAGCGGACTTAAATATTACAATTTAGCAAGGTATTTCAACGTAAATGCAAAATTTTCCCATGTGCGTAACTTTGTAAAGTCTGTCCTTCTGTGGTAGCTGTCTAGCTGACCAAATCATAGATATTTAAACTATAAATGTTTCGTACATATAATTCCTGCAGATCACATGCCAGATATGCTAATCTTATTTTACATTTATATTGAACTTACTCATGGTAAGAAGTTGTGGTCATGAACATGACATATACTTTTTTTTGTCAAGGTCAGTGATTTTTTGTGTCGCACACTGAGCAGAGTGACATTTAGGGATCACTTTACCCGGCATCTGTCTGTCGACTTTAACACCTTATATCTTGAGAACTGTAATTTGCTTAATTACTTGGTACTATGGCTTTTGTAAATTACCATGGTAACCAACCACATGACCTTTTGACCTACTTTTCAAAATACTTCAAAGAGCCAATATGCAGCATATACATGTATTTTGCATTTAAGAGGAAAACGTTTGCTGTTTGGCATGTGCACTGTTTGTCATAAAATATAATGAAAAATGCTGCCCAGTGTTAAAAGCCACTTGACCTTTGACCTACTTTACAAAAAATACTCCGAATGGTTTAATTTAACTAATGTTGTTTTAATTTTAAGAACTAGGGTTTTGATGAATAGTATTAATTTTATACATGTTTATGAACTTGTTGCACTGTACTTTGAAACTGTATGATATAGCGAAGTTATCTCACAGATCCCAGTGACTTCGTTATAAGCGAGTTTTACTGTAATTGGTATTCTAAAATGGATGGTGTAGACTGACAATTGCAGTAAAAGACTCTTTTGAAGGATGTAATAAAATGATAAATAATCATTTCTAATACTAGTAATATCAATTTCGTTATTCATTTTAGCCTTTAGGGTTTGGGAATCATATTTCTTTTTATTGGTTTTGTTTTTTTTTTTGTTTTTTGTTTTGTTTTGTTTGTTTTATTTTATTTATTCATTTATTTCTATTTTTTTTTTTTTTGGTTTTGTTTTATTTTTTTTGGTTTTGTTTTTTTTTGCTTGCAGGGAAATGTATGAATTATAATGCTAGTAGCTAATAAATAGTTGACCACTCATAGATTTATTTACATCTTTAAGGAAGCTATAAAGCAGGTGACACATGCGTTCTTTGGAACACTTAGTTTGTTTTGTTTTGTTTTTTTTTTTGTTTTTTTTTAAATAGTCTAGAAGTGTCATAAGAGCTGGGTTTTGACAGATTATGTTAATGGACTTTGGAGTATGTCAGAATACTCATAATACCAGAGCAGTTGTGACTCGAACAAACTTAATTATTTTATGTTGAGCAATATATTGTCCAAAAATGTACAGTGGCACCTTATTTATTTGGATGCCAATAATCTGTTGGCTTTACCTTCATGACAAATAAGTTTTTTAGATAAGATTATCATTGATATATAAAGCTTTTTAATAAGGCGTATCTGGACTCTTCATTTATATACCTGATTTTATTTTGGAAGGTCTATCAGGTGCCACTGTATAAATTAACAGATAGCAAATTTTGATCCACTATCTCTACAATTAGTGTTCCAAAATATATTAAAAATGACTTATATGCACGCATTTCTTCAGCACCCAGATGAATTTTGCTAAAATAATCAATGCAATCGTGGGCACCTTATCTTTCAGAGTTCGCGAGGCGGTGCAGCACTTTAAGGTCCTTCGGGACGGAGAAGGCAAATATTACCTCTGGGTTGAAAAGTACAACTCGGTCAACGAGTTAATAGAGTTTCACAAAACTTCGTCTGTGGTCCGGGGACAAAATATAAAGCTCGTTGAATTGGGCCAGGTAAAAAAATATATATGCATATTATCTCTCTTTCCTCTCTCAAAATGTGCATGCTTTTTCTCTTCCAGGTTTCAAGAAAATATCCAGCATTTTAAAGTATTAAGGGATGGAGCAGGCAAATATTTCCTATGGGTTGTCAAGTTCAACTCTATAAACGAACTGATCGAATATCATCGGATGTCATCTGTCAATCGTGGACAGACCATTGTACTCAAAGATATGGCGACTAACAGGGTTGGTAGCATCACACCCCACCGCATGACCACTAGAGTAGTTGGCCCTTTGTTAGATCTTTGATGACAACTTTGTTGGAGTTTGGAGTGATCTATTTTGTTTTTGTCGTTGTTGACATCTGTTCTTTTCTAACTCTATAAGCCAACCTCTGTGCCTTCCTCTTGACTAACTTGGTGTGTACTATCACTATTTCCTCATCATGAGCTTTTTTTCCAGAGTTCATGTGCATGCAGTTGCATATAATGCTCCCATTAGATCATATATAGGGAGTGTGCATGGAGTCTGATGAAGTTTTTGATGCAACTAATTTGAAAGTTGTTTTGAAGAGGTTAATCCCCCCCCCCCCCCAAGTTTGGAACCATTAAACCGTCATTTATGGTAGTGGTAAGGATGGGTTTAAGGGGGGTTGAACAAGGAATGTTCAGGTGTCATGATATATATAATTGCACAATAATAAAATTGTGGAGTATTTTTTATGAAAAGATCAAAGTTGAAAGAAATATTAAAATAAGGTATCATTTTTATAGGGATTTAGGTATGAGCTGAGCACACGATCAAATTCCATAAAACCAGAATCTGTATCTACAGTGTATATCATAAAATATTTTAAAATGATACCTTATTGCTCATATTTTACATTTGTGACTGACATAACAAACATTTACACTTTTAATCTTAAAATCATAAAAAATTTCAACTACCTAATTAGTGTCACTTCACAATGAGTTGGTGGTTATGTGAACGACTACAGATGCACACCGCTCAATTGGTGTTTAAGGAAAACATTTGCAAATGTAAATATTTTCTTCAGTTTTTCTTTTACACTAAAATATTTTCAAGCCATTTTCCTACACTCTAACCTCCTGCAAATATTTTTGAAATTGAAAGGCTATGTATGTTTTCTACACATTGCACATTCCTGGGCTGTTTGGCATTTTTTTTTTAAATTTTTTTGTTCGTTTATGTTTTTGCACTGTCCTTTTTTTTTTTTTGGACTTTCAAGTTTTTTTCTCTATCATATATTCATTTTTGATTTACAAAACAGTTGATTTCCAGTAACGTTACATTTGAACATTGAAGGAAAGCCCTTTATAAGTTTAGACTTGAACTAGAATTTTTTTTTTCGAAGCAGAACTGTTGACTCTGCAAAAAAAAATTTGTTGAATTTAATTGAAAAGACTCTGCTGCAACTTTTTGATTTTTTGGTGTTTTTTATTCTTTTTATATAGCACACTTTGATATAACTTTATTTCTATTTTAATCATGTAGTCATTTTTATCCTAGGTACAGTGTATTATGATTAAAATTATCTGTAAACTTCATAACATCTACCATGTTACCAGATAAACTGTAGACTTAAATTTTATAAAGCAGGACAGGCAATATTTAGATAAATTTATTGTAAAATAATATTCAGATGTTGTTAACTTTGAGGTAAAGTAAAAATATATGTTCACTTTCTTATTTATTACACTGTAAATGTGTTTTGCTTCAAGTATGTTTTACTGAAACAACATGCAGACTAGCAAGTAGTTCTTGACATGTGTGAGTATTTGCCCTGAAAATCTTCTAATATTTTGGTTTTCTTTGCAGAAAAAGCGAGCAACAGCCCAGTATGAATTCAAAGCCGAGACAGAAGAGGAGCTGGGATTCTGTAAAGGTGATGTAGTCACAATTCTAGAGGAAGTGGACAGCAATTGGTGGAAAGGCGAGCTACACGGTCAAGAGGGCCTGTTCCCCGCTGCATACGTCCGTGTTCTTGACAGCTAAAGTCCCCCCACCCCCCTCCATAATCATGTACTGACTCTTGCATGTGGAAAAATCAGCTTGAAATAATCGTTTGTAATATCGTCATTTTGTAAGGACAAGCCGCTTTCCCCATCTCTTCTGGATGGATAACCATTGGTCCAAAATGTCGACATATGTGATAAATATTGGGGCTCCTGGAAAATCTACTTCTGTCAGCCATAGTGTGTCAGCCTTATTGCATCTTAAGATCATGAATATCAGGCTTTTTTTTCCCATTATGTTGAAAGTCTCAGAAAAGGATCTTCTTTCCAATCAACTTATTTTTTCTCTTAAGAGATCAAATGAGTACAAATGTATTTGTATAAATTTCATTTTTCATAGATACTCATTGTACATACATTAACATTCTTAGCAGTATATGTTGCTTAATTCATTATTTTGAAGATTGTAAGAAAACTCTTTTTGTAATTAATGAATTATGGAAATAGGACAGATTTAATTGGATCTCTCCTTGATTCTTCTGCTGAAGTAGGAACCAGAAAGTCAGAGACTTGCATTGTTTTAGATTTAGTAAGAGATTGGGGCCAGTGTAGAATCAGATGTTAATTTATAATAGTGAAATGGACAGATCTGATCATTTTAGAATGAGGTATTTTTTTGTACAGCTGATTAAAAAAAAATGAAAAATTTTCCTCTAGAATCAAATAGTATATAAGTTCTCTTTGGCTATATGAAATATGCTTTTAATTTTTATTTAAGATATTCCATGCTTAATAATGCCTCCCCTTCCCTTTTTGTCACTAAATATCAAATGTTCCACATATATTTTTTTAATGCATACAAATAGTAGCTATGTGTTTTGAGAAGGGTAGCTTGCATAATGACTGGCCAGGTGTGCATAGATTGTTCTCTATACAGTTCAAGTAACCATTTAATTTTTAGTCTTAGCTAGCAGGGACTTACTTAAAAGAGAGCTTAAAATCTCTCACTGGTTATTTTGACATGTTTATGTTGCTGTTGATATATGGATATATATATTTATATACTATAAATACCTTTATGATCTTGTTACTCTAATTTCACTTTTGATATCCAACATAAATGCACTTGGCATCAAGCTGATTAAGAGACTAGAGCCTCCTCTTTCTACAGGTTTGTTTTATATAATTGTTTGTTTGTTTGATAATATTTGTTTCTTAGATGAAGATGATGCTCTAAATTTTCTGTGCTGTTCCTCCAAGTACTTCCTTCAATATGCTGGTCATGACTTTTGTGCTCTGTATAAAAGTGATTTATCTCGAAATTGGCACTGGTGATATATCACTTAGTTTCTGAGAAACAATATATCCTCTGCCATGTTTTATAAAATGTTAACAAAAATTGTCAAGAATGTCATTCAATAAATTTTAGCAATTTTTAATATCTTTTAAATTTATGTGTCATATTCAGAAATTTTTGCAAAGATTAAGGTTCTTAGATACTCTGAAAAGAGAGATAACTCGAACAAGGATAAATGACTAATTATTCCTTTATGACATCGCCAAGTTGAAAGGTCATTTTTGTCTTTTGCCTGACAAGGTATTTTGAAATTGTGTGGATTTAATAGTATATTAGATTTCTTTTGGAAAAAAAAATCATAATAGTGACCAGAGGGATAATGAACAAGAGCGATTTTTTCCTATGTGGATAAGAAAAAAAAACATTGCAAAAAGTCCAAGGACCTGAAATCAAGGGCATGTATACGCAGTGTAGATTTGTTTTAATTGTTAAAATAGCCCTCAATTTTTTTATATCAATTGGTTTATTTGTCCAGGCCTCATAAAATTTTACCCCAAAGGTTTTAATCTTTGCTAGCATAAGGCATTCCAACATAAATAATGCAGGATCCCGAACATAGTGAGTCTTAAGACCAAAACACGATACCCATTTACATTTGAGGAACTTCGGGAAATGTACAAAAAAAAGAATAGGCTTTTTGAATATTATGTTTTATTCAGTCATACTCCGATCCAATGGTGATGCTGATTTCTCCGGGATGGATGTAAGTGGCGTGGTACCACTGGTTTGTATCCAGCACGACTGCAAAGAAAAAGAGTACACTTTATAAACATGTTTGATCAAACAAGGATACATTCAGAACTCGGAAGAGTAAAAATAAACGTCTCGAAACGTATAAGCTTCGGTTTGGCAGAAACTTGTTTGAAATACATGTACATACGCAATTTACGATACAGTTACTGATTCAGTTAATGATTCATTTGGAGGTACAAATGCTACATATGTCGGCACTTGAAAAGCTCTCGAGATAAGATCCTTGACAAAGGACATAGGAAAGAGTGATAGAAAGGATTGTTGGTTTCTTTTCTAGTTTCGGGGGAAAAAACTTGTAATGTGGGAAAGGTTGGAGTGTCCAATAGTGTCGATTTCCGCTATTTACTGGTGTTACTCACCGAAGGTCGCTAATCTGACATAACATTAACATTTGATTACATGTATGCTTTTAAATGCATTTCAAACGTAAGCAAAATCATTATGTATATAGATATACCTATTATGTACTATTGTTTTATTTCTTTACCGGCTTGTAAACATGGACTATTATATCAGGCACAAAGTATTGTTTTTGAAAGGGGGAAGGCAAATTGCATGAAAAATCTTTGACAAGCAAAAAAAAAGGGGGGGGTCCCAACATTTTTTGACAAGAAATACATCAACCTGGGAGGATTTGACCATGCTATAAAAAAGTGAGGGGAGAGGGGGTACCAGCCATTCATTGAACATTTTGATACTAAATTAACAGTAAAACCTTGTGTTTGGGAAGCCCCCCCCCCCCCCCCAAAAAAACTGACCGATACTACCTGCCTGTATATTGCTGCATTTTTATGTACATGTACTGTACTGAGTAAATACCATCTAAACTGACAACAAAACAACTAAAATTTCTCTACAAACAATAAAATGATTCCTTTATTTAAAATGCGCGAATTAATGGTTGCAACAATTACAGAAAAAATGTGTAGCCCGCTTGTAACATGGGTTTATATATATATATATATATATATATATATATATATTCAATTTTTTTTTTTTTTTTTGCAATGACGGTTACTATCGATAATCCCGCATAAGGAACAAGAAATAAAAACGATTTTCACAAAAAAAAAAAAAAATAACCTTTACTTTCGCTATCAGCCTTACTTATTATATTGAGAGTTCCTTTTACTGAAATTAAACAAGTTACCCTTACTAACATAACATCTCTGAAATAACAATTACTTGTAGCTTCATTATCCTACAATTTATCGTATCTGCATAGTGTTTTACTGATACTTTGTGTTAACATGCAGATATATGTTGTCATGCAATCAAGTTGTTATACCCTTACTGAAAAACTACACTATATTGATATTTTGTAGACATTGTTCACTGATGTTTGACAGTTACTTATTTTAATACTTAGTGATGAAGTGCCTGACCGGCTTGTTACAGTTAAGACCTAATATCTCGTCATTGATCGCCACTTCCTGCCATGTTTTCACATTTACTTATTTTCCCTTACTTCTACTGAAAGTATAATGTGTTGGTCGCTTTACACCTCTTGACTGACACTGATACTTACTGATGTCGCCTTTACTGACTGTGACGTTTAGTTCAGTACACACGTCCTCACACTCGGGGGTTGGGATCAAAGTCCATGTTTTCTGTCCAGAAATCTGGGCCTGCCAGGATGGGCGCTGAACATAGTCTAACTGCAAATATGTATGAATTGAGACCAGTCAACTATATATATCATGGGTGTGAGGAAAGTGTTAGCCAGGGGAACACACTCTCCATTTATACAAGACAACCTTAATTGATACCTGCACAATATTGCAATAAGCGTAGGATCATTCCATGCCAGGACTTAATAATTCATGTAAATAAGTGAAGTGGATATTAAAGGTGTCTAATGGGGAAGAAATTGAATTTCTAGAGAGATGAAAAAAATCAGCAACCACTAGGAACACAACGTGTATTATTTTTGACATCCAATGTATAGAAACACGTGCATTTAACGCATTTAAGTGAGTCTAATCACGTAACATTTGTAAATTAGCAGACAAATTCGTGATTTCCGAATTCTAGATATAATCCACTGACTTCCTGTTGAAGTGTTTGATAGGACAGGCTCCATTAGCAATAAAGGAAGTAAAACCAATGTACTTCCTGGAAAGGCATGGCTGGAAATTATGGCAAGCGCCCTCATTGGAGGTGCTTAATTTTTTCCTTTATTGTAAATTGCACTTGTTAAGAATTATGTCGACTGATCCAAAAATGCACATGGTAAATTAGAAAGGGGTCAAACTTTTTTTTGCTTATTTTTGTCAGTTACAGGAATCTCGATATATGATGTATGGTGAGTGGTCGGGGAAAAGGTCACAGACTTGCAAGTTTTGCGACATTCACCGGCCTAATTTCAAATGTCAGTCTAAAATTTTTTTTTAATTACATGTATAAACACACTATAACTTCAAACAATTTCAAGTTCTCGCAAAAAGATCAGACAAATAACGCAATGATTATGAGCAAGTTTGAAGCGCATATTGCATAACCATGAGAGCTTACTGCTACTTATAAAGAGAGAAAACAGAGAAGTTGTCACGATGAAAAACACTTTAACATTTAAACAGCGCTAATGCTCCATTCCCGAAGAGATAAATCCGACAAGATGGAGATAATGGATGGGAAAGTCCATCTTACAATTTCCATTAACTCTTGTCCTTTCCTTCTTTTTCACATGGGGGATTTGTCTCTACAGCGATAAAGCATAAATGAAAATCCTGATATCAATGAAAATGAGTACTGTCTTTTCATACCAGGGCTATATATTTTCTTCAATACTTGCATACGCATGATAATTTAGAACTGTTTACTGTATATACAGGTAAATTTTCGCCCCGTTTTATTTTCACCCCTTCCGCCCTCTGCGTAAGTGAGCGAATCTAAAACGTGACGGATTCAAAGAATATAGCAGAATTTCTTACACAGAAGTGTGTCTGATCGAATTTAAAACGGGGCAAAATTGTTGGCAAGTGTAAAGTGGTGAAAATTACAAGGGGCGAATATAACCCTGTACAACAGTATTTCATAGTAATATGAAGAGTTCATGAAATGCGACAATTCACCTCTCTCCTATAGAAGGATGTTACAATGCTATCAATAATGATGTAGAATAAATGTTTTTAGGAATTAAAAGACAACTAGATTAAATGGTTTCTTTACTAAACACAATTTTTTTTTACGATTGAGCAATCCTCAATTTTATTTTATTTTTATACCTAGTATCAGCAGATGTACACACCTTGAAATAAAGATAAAGTCTTTAACATACATGTACGAGGGCTGTTCGGAAATTATTGAGCCATTTTGTATATTTTTCTTTCTAATGAACGTCTTTCGGTGAAAATTTGCACATACGTTTGACAAACATTAAGAATTCATAAAAGCAAGAAATATTTTACAAATATTAAATTTCTTCTCTTCAATGGTATATAAATGTGTCAATTGTAGGGGTACCCGGCGCAGTCACGAAATCAGATATTGAAAATATGTAACACCAATGTTCAACACCCCGGTGGACCCATAATAAGAGCGAAAATTATTCAATTTATGTATATAATTTTTTAATTTTATTTTGACTTCATGCTGTGCAAGTTTGTTAGAATACCGATCAGAAATACGGAGATCATTAAAAAAAATTAAGCGCGGTAAAGAAATTTGATAACGACGACAAAATGGATTTTGACCAAGGCGGAGCAGCGAGAGATCTAAAATTTTGTGTAGCGCTATGTAAAACTCCTTTCCAGACTGACCAACCTGCTAAAACAATAACAACGAGAAAAAACATGTCTAAGGGTTTGTTACATGTATTTCATTGGTATACATTTTTTTCTAACCTATAATTCAACCACAGTAAAATCAGAAGTCCCGGACGACCATCAATTTTTACCGTAACGGAATTAATAACGTTGACCCGCGTTGAATAAATTGGCACTGCATGATGCTAAGTCATCCTGTATAAATGACGCATGAAAAATTTACAATAGTGAAGCAACAGCACACATTTTTTAAAGAATCGTTTAAGAAAAGAGACAGTTTGATTTTTGTAGGGTATATAATTATGATAACAAAGAAAGAAGAGTAAACGCTTCCCGATCGTTTCACATGCAAAATCATCTCCGACTGACGTGACGTTAAGATGACGTAGCGATGCTGCTCCAGGTCGATAGACATATGCATGTTTATTATTTCACCGGAACTTATCTAATTATCCTTTAAATTAGAAATTTTGTATAATTGTTTTATTCGTTCTTTATAAAATGTTGACGAATTTTCCTGAAATTATCTCTGACCTTTATGGAGTTAAAGTAATTGTCTCAATAATTTTCGAACAGCCCTCGTATATATATCTCATTGAGGCACCACAAAAATTCTGGGTTGAGTGCTAATGGTGGCGCTGACGGACAATAGTATTTCCGATGTATAATGATTTAAATGATTTACACTAATAATTATTTAGAATGGGTTAAAATATCTGAGCCAAATTATCTATTTCGTATAGGTTAATATCCCCATTCCTTTAATATATATACATGTATACGCAACGTAGTTTTGAACTTTTTCTTATTCGCTGTATAATTTAAGAGGTTCAATAATTGAAGGACCTTTGTGCGATTTTATGATGCTTGGTAATGCTATACATCGCCTCTGAATCAAATTTTGAGGAAATACCAGCTAAAACTATAATTTTGTTGATTTCTCTTTAAAAATCACAAGGATTTTCAACATTTGATATCTGTTCAAAACTCCTGGTAATGTATGCTGATTTTTTGTCTAGGGACATCTAATGGAACTATGATTTTAAATTAAGAATATCTTGGAAGATTATCAGTGGGAAAGGTACATTGTAAAATACATGTAGATGTACGTTGCGTATGACCTTTAAGGAATGGATATTGGACTACTCCTTCATTTTATGTCTATAAAAGATTCAGACATATTTTTATTAGATAAATAATCACTTTAATAACTACATTCTTATATAGATTATAGTATGGCAAAAAAGTGTTGTGAAGTTTTTTAAATGACTTAGCACCGGTCTCGGTAGCTTAGATGCAGAGGGTACTGAGTTCGATTCCCAGCATCGCTAAACATTATATTATTAATTCTAACATTTTGTTACGTTCTAACAAGCTTTGCACCAATGAGAGGTACGAGAGGGTGAACTTGTATATGATATGAAAGATGTTTTCTCGCTGTTTCTTGTTTGCAATTTTTATTCCAAAAAATAATGGAGTATGCAGACAAAAGAGTGACGTCACAAGTAAATTTTAAAGATTTATTCACTTTACTTGGGATTTCGTGGAATTTGATTTGATACTATTCAAATTATAAAAAAAAAATCGTTCACACTCACATGGACAAATGCTCCAAGTCCGGGTCCGCCCATGAACATCCAGTCCACTGAACTGGATTCGGAGTCCGCCGGAAGGAAGTACGGTCGCTGGTAGTGCTGACGTAGTATGGCGGACACTTCGGAATGACAGTTACTCCTGGGGATGAAGAAAATGTGCCAACTTCATCAAAATCATTATATGGCCAAATTAAGTTTGAAGACGTACTCTTCGGGGGTTTCTTTAAATAATGTAAAAAGAATAATAAAAGATTGTATTAAAGCACAATGCCTATATCGTCTGGTGTTTTGAAATCCAACATTTTTTAAGGAGTCAAACAGTTTAGCCTATCAAAATCCGTGAAAGTTCTGATCGATCAAAAAAAAGGAATAATTTTTTACAATAGTGCTATTCAAAGTTTGGTAAACTAGTTAACTGCAAATCTTCCAGTATCTGATAATTTACAACTAAAAAAAAAGGTCACAGAAACATAAATGAAATTAAATGCTCTTGAAAATTGTTCAAAACCATGTTGCATGTCTTAAGATTGTTTACCTAACATATAGAACACCAAAGAATGAATTTAAAAAAGTAGATATAAATAAAAATTTGGCTCAAGTCAGCAAAATTTTTAGCCTGTTCTAATTGGAACATGGATTGAAACTTTTTTCCTTACTTGTACCATATGGCAGAACTCGATCATATCTGGACATATATAATTAACAGTATCTTTATGATTGTTTCGGAGGATATTGATATTGATAACATGATAGGTTTGTTTAGCAGTTTACAATCGACAAAACGTGCTGTCGTATTTATCATCCGGACCAGCAGCAACACATGTGGAGGCTTTGTATGTATTTATCAGGTATCGAGTGTCATTATAGGAGGATATAGGCTAAAACCTGTTACAGCAATTTGAGCAAAACTTAATTGTACATGTATGGACACATTTTCAAAGAGAACACAATAAGAGGCGCGTTAACCTGAAAGCTAGCTGTATTTTTTAAGATCTTCGAAGCAGCTATGAAAACAGTATTTTTCCCTTCTATATTTTCAAATCAAATTTTAGTCGGTGTCATTTTTAGCAAAATTGTTTCTCTAAGAGAATATGAAGCCTTGAATGATGCACCTGCTGCACTGGTAGCTGTATGAAATATGAAGATAACGAACAGTAATCAAGCTCAAAATCCCATTAAAACAATACGTAATTAGGAGCATAGCAAACACGGACCTCTTAAAACATAAGAGGTGGAATCAGGTGCCATGGAGGAGTAAGCATCCCCTGTCGACCCGTCACTCCCGCCGTATGTTCCTTGTCATGATCGGGTAAACGGAAAAATCCATAGACAATTCAGTGAGAAAATAATGGTCTAACTATTTGTATAAAAAATGACAGTCAACATTCGACTTAATGATAGGTTATATTTGTTGACAAGGTCATTGTGTCGACCATAGAATTTGCGAAATGTTGACTTTCAACGAGACTGTTTATATCCTTGATTCATTAACTTATTTGTCAATAGCTTGCCTCTTTCAAAAATTGTTCGCACGTGGAGCATGCTCTTGAATATTGAATCAACTGGGAGACATAATCTCCATATGCAGGTGATGGTCTATTACTACATAGATAAATGCAGGTAATGGTATATGACTACATAAATAAAGGACATTGGCGATAGAAAAGTTGAAGTCATTACGTTTCTCATAAAGTTTTGTTAGGCTACCATAAGCGTCTTTTTCTAGTAAAATATGAAACAGATGTTTCGGACTCTGTGGTATCTTTAATTTCGAGTTCAAAGGGATACTAGTATATCGAATCAACGTATGAATGAAAATAAATATTGTTAATAAATAAAACGTCGTCAATATATCTAAATGTTGAATTGAAGGCCACAGCAAGAGGCTTCTTCTTTTCATGTAAAAGTTTTTGAATAAATTCTGCTTTATATGAATACTGAAATAGGTCTGCTTATAACGGGGCGAAATAAGTACCCATGGGAATTCGACAAATTGTTGGAAGACTTGATCTCCAAAAACCACATAGATACATGTATCGTCAATCAAAAATACAAGCATCTTTTTTAATGTCAGCTTCGGAGTAGTTGTGTGTAAAATCAGAATGTTTTTAACAAAATAATTTTCCAAATGACCAATGGCAAGGTATGTAAATTTACGGGTTCCATACAAAGATATGTTAGATATTACACATATCAACATAGATCTAGATATATATCAAATGCATTTACTTAGACATCGAACATTTTTGTTGAAAATATACCTTAAAATGAACCATTAACATAAAAAAATTCTTGCATGCCATTGGGTCTTGAAAATTGTACATACATTTCCTAGACAATATAGATTGTGAGCACAAGAGTCTATATTTTATAACACAAATATGCATGACGACATTTGTACTCAATCTGAATTAAAACAATAAAAAAAGTATATCTGCATTTTATCATCTGTCAAGGAAGCGATATTGGTAGCGGACTCACCAAGAAATTTACGGGTCTTAAGGTCAGAGGACATATTCCTCTAATATCTGTTTTGTATCTCTCCATAATATATAAAAAAAAGTATTAATAATTATCATCATCTTGTGATTTCTAATTTATCTTTAAACTGTCTTTAAAAAGAAGAACACCAAAAAGTATGATAATGACAATTCAAATGATTTCCAATAGCATTATATAGGAAACACCATCCTCTGGTATCTTGCACTAACGTCTAGTATTTTGTGAGTGAACTTGTTAAAGTAGCAATACTTTACTGACAAATTCTTGGCGAAATTTATATATTATCGCGGATTGTGTCATCTGACCTTAAGTTCAATTCTCTCTGGAAACATTTTGCAAAACAAAAAATCAAAAATATAATTAACAGTTTTTGGGATGTGCCATGAGACATTATATATTATTATCATAACGAGATCTTATACTCCCAGGATTGACGACGGTTTAATATTAAATTGAAGGACTCTAGAAACCCACACACCTCCATTGCCCAGTAATTCATACTCACGAGACAGCTAATTATTAGAGTTATCTTTCATCACCCACGATGTAGTGGAATGAACTATATACTGATTTTTACCACATTTTCGTCCATATCATATATTTTCAAATGCTAGCTTTTTTCCGGAGTGTCATTCTTTCCTTTCACAAAGTTCTGAACAAACGCACAAACATTATGAGAACACAGCCCCTTCATATCTGTAGGCCAAGTAAAAGGGGGAGGGGAAGGCAGTTCATAAGATTTCCTTATATTGCATTAAAACCCATGAGAGAGAGAGAGAGAGAGCATTTATATAGTTTCGGTTTCATAGTTGACATAAAATGAACGTACACTAGTATTTCTAGTACATGTACTTATGATAATGACTATATCAATACTTTCAGAAAATACTCTCTTTTTTTCCTTCCATTTCTACTAAACATTTTAAATATTGTTTTAAAATTCAACTTGGAAAAACATTTTAAAAAAAAAAAGATTTTAACATAATGACGAATAGTTCATTGGAGATTTAAGTAAAATCTCTAATTGGAGTCAGTGTTTAATTGTGTGCAATTAATTAATTCTGTCTTTTTTGCATATGAAAATTAATGTCTGGTGTGATATACGAACCCCAAAGGCATGTCTTGGATATTAATGGATGTTCATAAGTGTATTGCAGAAAAGTATTTTGACTCTCAACGCTTGGGGAAAATGTTTAACAAATTTTAATGCTAAATACAAAAAACCCATCGAAGTCATGATTTTCATTAAGATTTCCTCGGTTCAGGTAATACATTTAAATACCTAAAATTTACATTCAATATTGACAATATTAAAGTCCTTAAAAAAATTATAAAGCTTATTTACATACCATCCAATGTACCATGGTTTTTCTCCTGGTGTAAAATTAGCTCTCTCTGCAGACATGTTAAAAACTTCGCCCAAAGTCTCAAATTCTGTTTTATATGGAAAGAATTGACATTCTTCGTCAATAGTTGTTAACGCGCCTTTTGTTTTCGTGTATATATTTTTGAAGAAATCAAAACTAAAATTGGTCATAGCTGTCCAGTTTTGTGTTGCGTCTTTGATGAGAACAGGCACGGCGGTGTAAGCATATTTCTTCACAAAGTCCTCAGAGGAAATGTTTCTTTCCACTGGAAACTCTTTCAGATTTCTGCAACACTCACAATTTGTCAGGGGTCGGGCAATTTCAATTGTGAATCCCCCATTATCAACAATACAGCGAGATTCGGAAATTAATTCATGTAGCTCCTCGTCTAACCCAAAATATTTCATGGCAATTCCAGCACAGGTCATGACCCCTGCCGTTATAATAATAGATAAGGTCAAGGCCATTGTTATAGTTTTGGACCATGAGTTCTCCACTGGAGCCTGGACTTTCAAAGTTCCCCGTGATTTGAACACATGAGCTACCAGGTCCTGCCCAATGCCCCTCTCTCGGGCTTGGTCTCTTAATTCACACAGTCTCGAGTAAAACTTTTGTCGACATTCAGGCCCCTCGTTGTTATTTACATTCTTTTCATCGGATTCCACGCTCTTCTCTTTTCTGTTCTTCATCTTTCTCTGTCTTACCTGAAATGACTCCGATTGTCTTCCTATCAGCAAGTGCGCCTATACGTAAATGTCCTTAAATTTCTCTCAGTAAACCTTTAATGGTATACCGTTTCACTAATAAAACAATACGCCATAATGTTCGTCGGTAAACTTGAAGTCAATGTTTTACAGGGTATTTCAACATTCACTGCCATGTGTTTACAACTTCTGACAAGGAACTTAAAATTCTCTCAACCGTGTTTAACCCTTGACCCGGTATTACGAGAGTGTCACCAGCCGTTTATAAACGATAAGGATTTTATAAATTGTTGGAGCTTATTTATAGATAATGCAATATTTAGTCTTGCATGATAGACGGATCAATAATAAACAAACAGTCTGTATGTCAGGTATTTAAACACCCGAAACGTTTCAAGTCTGCACATGAAAAAAGTTGACTTCTCTCGTTTGTAAAGATATTTAATCACTGCCTGATTTTCAGTGTTGGGGGTGCATGAGTTAGACTTCACTGGGAGGGGCCTGTGAGACGGCTTGATCTTTTTGTCAGTGAATTCAGGGTAGAATGAAGAGGGGTGGAGTGGGGTGGAGTTTTGGGCTGCGTTCAAGATCGTAGCGGCTACATGTATACGTACTGCTAGATAGCGCAAAACAGTTGAACGAACTCCCATAGCGACAGCAAGCGTTAATTCGTATGCTTGCTGTTACGATCTTGAACGCAGCCCTACAGAACTCTTTATATTTTAGGGATAATTTTCCTTCTTGATTTTATATTGAGAACACAGGCACTTGGGGTATGGACCCCCCTTTTCCATTTTTTTTTCTTTTTAAATCTGGAGTAGAGTCACCTTTTCCCTATTTTTGTATTCTAATATGCACTATATATTATCAATAATGTAACTCTTTTGTCTCTATATGCTGTTTTTAAATATACTGTTTTCGACTGATACATAAAAAGCTCAGTCGAAAACGGCATATTAGAATACAAAAATAGGGAAAAGTTGACTCTACTCCAGATTTAAAAAGAAAAAAAATGGAAAAGGGGGGGGGTTCCATACCCCAAGTGCCTGTGATTGAGAATTGTTAATTTGCATTTCACGCTTGTAACGTAACAGGAAAGGAGCAGGTGTATAGCTGGACCGGGAATCGAACCCAGGACCCCTGCATCACTAACCATTTGCTCTACCTGAGATACCCTGGCCGTTATCCACGGCCCAAACAATTACAGTAGTTAATCATATTTATGGGGGGAAATTTTGGCACAAAATCTATTAGCAGACATTGCTTTTTGTTCTTTATTTTATTTTGAACAGAATAGTTTAAATTTGTTTCAATGGAGGCCCGGGTGTGAAGATCAATATGTTTTTTTTAGCTTTTTATTGGGGGGGAGGGGGGTATGACATAAATGAACATTTGTATTTACTTTGAACGATTCATGGTGGGCTCATTCCACCTCCATTCAGCTCTGAGCTGAAAAGAGACGTTTAGCCTTAAAATGTTCTCTTCAGTAGAGTATTAAATCTTATTACTTTAAATGACAGCTTGCTTTGTTTAAGGCGTACATGTATTTTCAAAGCATAGCATACACAACTTGTGAAAACCCTTACTTCATAATAATGAAAAATGATGCAAGTAAACAATTCATAATTATTTTCATTTTATTGTCTTGTAAAGAGGCCTGGTTATTAATTGCCTCCCCCTTCTTTCTCTCTCTCCACCGAATTATGCACTTAAAAATTCAGCGCAACCTTGGCCGTATTTATCATGGTGCAGTTGTTTACGCATGATGCATATAAGTGCAAAAATTCATTAATGCACGTCACAAAAAGTCAAATGTTGACATTTAAAAGTTTACCACGTATGTGAAAACTGGACACCTTTGATTATAAAGTCTATGTTTTAATAATTCAGACAAAATTAGTGTCAGATGACATAAGCATAATTCAATTCCATGGATGACAATTCGGATGGATAGCTCAAAAATTGGTGGGAGCAATGTTGCAAATGTATAAATTATAGTCCCCTAATTTTATCTGAAGTTGTATGAAAAGAATTACTCTCACCATCTGTATCCTTACATTAAGTTTTATGAAATTATCTTGAACAGTTTCGTTGAAGCTAAAGAAAATGCTAACTAAGGGATAATGAGGTCAAGGTCATAAGGAAGGTCATAAAATATTTACAAAGTTGAATTGCTCTCACCAATATACATCTTTAAATGTAGCGGAATTTTAGTCATTTGTAACAAGCTTTATCTTTTTCAATGAAATCAATGATATCATAGTCAAATAGTCAGTATCTTTGGAATAAGATTGATTTTCAAAAGTGTGCAACATCGTGGATCGTTATCTCGAACTCGATAGGATCGAGAAAAAACTTCGAGATTTCCGAGGCTTCGAGATATCGGGGGCAAACTACTTAAAGAATAAGTGGTTGGGACATCCAATTCACTTCGACATATTTATGGTATTCGAGATACCGAGGTTCGACTGTAACTAAATAAAAGAACAAGGTTCACTTCATGCATATAATGATGGCCCTGTAGATATACCGATTTATTGACTAACACTTTATGTTCCATTTTAAACATCAAGATAAAGTAGAGACTAAGTGCTTTCATTTCCTATTGAAAATTTTCTCCTTAAAGCCAAGGTATTGGAAAACAGGCTTCATGGAATTGCAATTGCTGATCTAAAATATAAAACATGTTTTGTAAACTTCAGAAATAGTTCTATCATTTAATAGTTGCATGTTTTAGATCAGAGGTTGCGCTCTTTATTAAATATCGAAAAATAGCTTTAAAAGTTGGCTGTTTTTGTAGAATTTTTCAGGATATGAGGAAAATGACGCATTTCATGACGTCATAATGCATTTGACTAGCCAGAAAATTACGTCATTTTTGATAGATACGCAGTCACCAAAGGTCTAAATGATATTAAATGCATTGTTAACTAAAACCAAGCAGTTTCAGTTTTTCTGAAATTCAAAGGGCCTAAAAAGGCCCTAAGTGAACCTTGTTCTTTGTATTTCTTAGTCATCGAATTTCGTGGCCTAGTAAAACCTCAAATACAACAAAAATTGGTGTTCAACGAAAAATAATGAAACACCAATAATAGATAGTTTTCAGTAGGCCCAAATTAGCAAGAGTTATTTCCCGTTGGCCGCCATATTGGGGGTCAACATGCTCATATTCCTTCATTATTCAACCAACTTTAACTTTTTATACTGGCCATTGTGGGGTAGGAAGCATTGTTTTTCTGAAATATATACATTTGTTAAAGCCTCCTTTATTTCATAATTTTTATTCTATAAAGATTTTCCCCCAAATATTTCTGCTACACTCTCTTAGATTTGGTAAGACAAAGAGGAAAAATTACCAGGTTGACCACCAAAATGGCGGCCAAGGGGAATAACTCAGAGAGAAAATTCGCCATATGAAAACTATCTATTATTTGTACGAATTGATTTCGTACTACGAAAGCCCATTGAGCTCATTTTCGTAGGTAAAAAAATATTTTTCGCGTTATAACGAGTAACTTTCGTGAATAAAGGCGAAACTTTCGCGTTATAACGCGTAACTTTCGCGAATAAACGCGTAACTTTTGGATTAAAAGTGAGAGAACAATGTATCGCTTCATGAGCTTAACGTGCCATATGATGCTTTTTAAAAAAAATAATTATAATGGGATACTGTTAATCACTAATTCATCGGGGAGGAGGGGTATAATTTTCTTGATTTTCCTCCATAATTAATATATACGAGGGGTTGTTAAAAAAAAATCGTGGACTAGCGCCATAAATTAAAACTGCTTAAGGTATATATTTATACAGTAAAGAGTTAAGATACATTAATTTAACATCATCTTATCCATCTAAACAAAAAAATATAAGACGTACACTATATATATACATGTATAGAGAGAGAGAGAGAGAGAGAGAGAGAGAGCACGATGAAATTCACTTTAAATATGAGGATACCCACTTCCGCCCCAACCCGGGGTTGAACTCTCGACCTATGGAATCCGGCTCCTAGCAGTACAGGAACAGTTGTAAAATGTGCTTAACAAAGTGAATTTCATTGTGCCTCCTATATTAATATTTCATCACTAAGGGCAGTTATGTTAGTTTAAGAGTTGTTGTAAAATATGCTTTGTAAATAATATTAATTTCATTACAATGTGTATTTGTAATAATCCTCTAATAAAACAAATGTCCAAATAACTGTATCTCACCTCTATTCTCAATGACCGTGTAATGTAGGGCGACGCTGCGCGAAATCCATCGGATTCGAATGCATGTTTGTAGACTTGCCTAGACGGATGGCCGAGCGGTCTAGCACGCTGTTCCTGTACTTCTAAGAGACAGATTCCGTAGATCGAGAGTTCAACCTCGGGTTGGAGTGGAAGTGGGTATCCTCATAAAGCGAATTTCACTGTGCTTTCTATATTAATATTTCTTCACTTAGGGCAGTTATGTTACTTTCAGAGTCGTTGTAAAATGTGCTTTTTATATACCAGTATATATATCTCTTTGAAGAAATTATCAATGTCTTCGTAAGCGATGGTATGACCACGTGGAGCATCCTCAAAATACGATGTATTTCTACAGTGAGTCTATCGGAGACAAATCTTTTGATACGCAAACTTTGTCATCCAAATTTCATATTACATTACTCATGTGATGTGACACAATTGTTCTCTAAAAGATACAAATTTACCTCATTTTTGTCAATTTTCTGGGATCTTAATTTATATTCTATAAAGAGTGTTAAAAAATGACGCCGGAAAGGGGGATCTTTTCCCCGAAATTCATAAATATAGTTTCACTTTGGAAAATTTGGCAAAGACTGAAAATATTTGAACAGCCTAGTCTTTCGTTTTTCATGGTTATCATGATCTGGATCATTTAATCAAGATAAAATGGGGACTTATGCAAATGTCTAGGTTTTAAAGCAAAAGCTTTGCATTTATTCGAGAAGGTTTCGCGTTATAACGCGTAACTTTCACGTTTATTTGCGAAAGTTTCGCGTTATAAAGCGAAACTTACGCGTTAATTCGCGAAAGCTACGCGGTATAACACGAAATTTTTTTTTAACCTACGAAAATGAGCTCAATGGGCTTTCGTTCAAAAGACACCCTACACTACAAAAAGAAAATTTTAATTGACAACTCATCAT